TTGTTGATACGTTCTTGTAGGTTGTCAATTTCACGACGGGCTTCAGAGAGTTCGTTTGTCAGGCGTTCAACAGTCTGGTATAACTGTTGGACAAGTGTTGCTTGGTTATTGCCAATAGTGGGGTCGGAGGAGGTGATTGTCTCTTTATCCATAGCTTGTGTGGAATTCAATGAAGCTCTAGAGCTTCCGAGAGTGGCGTGAACTATGGGATATAATTCAAACGCTTTGATGGTTTTATGACATGAAGTACATGCAAATTGTGGTTGAAAGGGTTCTTTGGGCGAGGAACCGTGTTTGTGAAACGTTGTAGTTTCGAAACATTCAGGACATATTAGGTGTTTGCGAACGGTGGGGAATGCAGCTTCTAGTGCAGACAGTTGCTCTTCTGAGAGTGCAGGATCTGCAGCTTTATTGTAGGAGCCTCTTAGTGGTCCCATTACAGTTGTCAAAGGTTTTGTTTTTCGATATGTGGTTTTGCTTAATGTGTAAACGTCTATTCGAGTCGCTTGCCTAAAAAGGAAAAATTATATAAACTGATGGGAAAGCGGAAAAAGAGCCTCATCTGCAGGTACGCTATTTTCAGAAATTATTCGGACACTTCTACGGACAGAAATAAAAATTCGAGAAGGAAAAAGAAAAACGGGACACTTTTTCTGCTTAAAGTTCGTACATTTGCAGAGCTCTTAACAGTTTAATGGACAACGTTATATTCGAAGATGGTTTAGATGGAAAGTTTGACGAAAATGGTGCTGCGGTTTGCGTCGTTAATATGGATGTTGACACAGATAACTATCCTTTGGGTGCTGTTACTGACTTTGATATGTATAATGACTTCAAACCTCCTGAGAGATCTGATCAAGAAAGAATCCAATAATAATTCTGATAAAAAGCTAATCGAAAATGAAGAAATGCCGAAAACAACCTATAGAAAATATAAAAAAGAATATATGGAAACATTTTTATTTACTTACTGAAAAAGGGATGTCAATTCGCGGTGCAGCAAGCGCGCTCAAAATTCCCAAAAGCACAGCATATGGCTGGCATAAAAAGAGTCTTAAGGCGGCAGATGAGTCGAAATGAGAAAGGCTGGTAGTGGCCGGTCAGTCCTTTAACTGAGAGTCGTCAATATCTTGTCGAGCTCACTGATGATAACAGTGATCTTCGTTTAGATCAAATGATGGAGAGCTTGACTAATCAATTCGAGGATCTCTCTATCTCCAAAACAGCCCTTTACAATTTCGCAACGCAAAAGTGCTGCATCAGCTTTAAAAAAGCTCATTTTCACTCTATTGAGAGGAATAGCCATGATAAAATCTAAGAAAGATATCAGTGGGTTAAGCGATGGATAGAAGATACCGATTTGGATTATAAAAGCAATTGCGTATTCATAGATGAAGCAGGCTTTCATATCAATCTAAAGCGATCCTTTGCTTGGTCTCAAAAGGGAACTCGTGCAGTTGTTAAGACTTCCAAAACCAAATCAAAGATGATGACGATTTTTGGCGCTATTTCGCCCTATGGAATTGTGAATATCAATGTAAGAGCTGCAAAGGCGATGGAAGCATCTAAAAAAAGAAAAGTAACAGGTAGTTGTGGCACAGTAGTAGTTGCTACAGAGAAAGGCAAAGGCGGTACCTGTACGGGACACTATTTCAATTTCATTGCCAGTACGTTAGATATTATGGATAAGCATGAACAGTTCAGAGGTCATTATCTTGTAATGGATAATGCACCTATACATACACATGACGACATACGAAGCTATATACAGGGTCGTGGCTATGGATGAGTTTTATCTCCCGGCTTATTCTCCTGAATTGAACCCCATAGAACAGTTTTGGTCAGTTTGTCAAAGCAAACTCAAGCGAGAAGCACTTTTAGACGAAGAAACATTGACACTACGTATTCGCGATGCCTGTAACAGTATTCTTCTGAGTGATATAAAGGGTTTCTGCAGGTATTCCGCCCAAAAGTTTCCTGATGTGTTTGGAGCGCAAACCCCTTTAGACAATTGGGACATTTGGCCCACGGCCCAAATCATTTTCTTTCAGTGACCCATTTTATGCTCCGAAATTTTCAGTCAGAAGTGTCCGAATAATTTCTGAAAATAGCGTACCTGCAGATGAGGCTCTTTTTCCGCTTTCCCATCAGTTTATATAATTTTTCCTTTTTAGGCAAGCGACTCGAATAGACGTTTACACATTAAGCAAAACCACATATCGAAAAACAAAACCTTTGACAACTGTAATGGGACCACTAAGAGGCTCCTACAATAAAGCTGCAGATCCTGCACTCTCAGAAGAGCAACTGTCTGCACTAGAAGCTGCATTCCCCACCGTTCGCAAACACCTAATATGTCCTGAATGTTTCGAAACTACAACGTTTCACAAACACGGTTCCTCGCCCAAAGAACCCTTTCAACCACAATTTGCATGTACTTCATGTCATAAAACCATCAAAGCGTTTGAATTATATCCCATAGTTCACGCCACTCTCGGAAGCTCTAGAGCTTCATTGAATTCCACACAAGCTATGGATAAAGAGACAATCACCTCCTCCGACCCCACTATTGGCAATAACCAAGCAACACTTGTCCAACAGTTATACCAGACTGTTGAACGCCTGACAAACGAACTCTCTGAAGCCCGTCGTGAAATTGACAACCTACAAGAACGTATCAACAATATGAACGAGGCTGCTGACCCATTATCATCTTCAGATTTCCCGCCCCTTCCGGAATCCCAAACCCGATCAACACCCTTCACCGATGCACCCTGGCACAACCCAGCGAAAATTCAGGTATTAAAACAACCATCATTACACCAAATTGAACAGCGACGCCTGCAACGCGAAGCAGCTGCAGCACGTTTCTTCCAACCACCCTCTGAGAAACAAGGCTTCAAATACGTATACATTCCCACCAAAATGCGTATCCTAGTAGGCACTATTCGTACCACTTTCCGTAAACTCGGAGTCAATAATGCAAGACTCCTTGACATACACTACCCCGCTCGTAACACGGTCGCGGTGCTCATACATAACGATTATGAAGCCGAATTCACAGAACTCCTCATCCACAAGAACGTTAACCTTCTAAAAGATTTTACACCATTCAGCGGTAAAATCCTGGCCGATCCCAAATACACCTCACTTCCTACTGCTGAACGCGACTCCATTGCAACTGAAATTCAGAAAAACCGTCTATCTCGAGCACTTGATTACATGAGAGCACCAGTTAAATACGCTGTGGCCCGCTCCTTCTTAGACCAAGAATGGATTACCCGCTCCAAATATGATTCTATTATAGCTGATCGCTATAATACGAAATTATCCTCAATTTTTGCTCAAATGCCTAAAGAGCAAACAAGCGAGGATATTATCACCCCACATCAGATGATGACCTGCTAATGGATACTTTAGACAATTCTACAGCTCATGGACCTTCTTCCTCCGTTGCACATTAAATATATGAGAGCCCTGACAATCTCTTTATTTAATGCAACAGGCCTCCCGAAACAAGCGATCACACCTTTACTCCAACTTGCTAACAAATCTGATCTTCTTTTTCTTAATGAGACTTGGTTATTAACACCCAACAAATATCCAACCCTTTGGCCCCAATATCATACTTATGGAATACCAACTAACTCTATTAATACCCATCGTGGTACCCTCGGTCTCGCCCTTTTAGTTAACACACACAGCAAACTATCGATCTACCAATTAACACATGAACACCCCTTACTAGCTAAATATTCCCTATCCATCATTCTCTCCAACAAAATATTGATTCATTGCCTATATCTTCCTCCCTCCCTAAGAACTGAAGATATACAACAAATTTTAGATTTACTACCCTTACATCTACCACATACAACCAATACTATCATTTGCGGGGGATTTCAATGCACGAATGGGCGACTTCACTGGCGATACCAGAATCAATCCCACAGGACGACTAATATTCAATTGGATGAGGGCTAGCAATCTTATTTTATGGAATGAACGTCTTACCCACGGTCAACCTACCTCTTATACGTTCCAAGGCACTAGTATTATTGACTACTTTTTCAGCACTGCTGAATTGTATACACCGACCCTTCGCATACGCGATGACCTGTCACCCAACTCTAACCATAAGTTTATGACTCTGTCCTTTGTTGTTCATGAGAATCTACTCGCTCTACTAACATCCCCACAGATTAACTGGAATGTCAAGAAACTCAAACGCTTCGAAAACTATGATCTATATAAAAAAGTATTCTTACAGAATCTATCCCTGATATTGCCCCCACATCCATCCTTTTCTGATAGATCCACTGCTTGCCAGTATATTGAAACTATCCATAATCAACTATGTGAGAGCATCATAGCGACACTAGACTTCGTCTGTGGAAGACGCCCACCTCATACCGATGACTATCTCAAAGGCTTTTGGACACCTGAAATGACAGCTGCATTTAACCGGAAGGAATACCTATGCAAGAAATGGCGAAAAGCTCGAGGTTTGAATTGCCTCCGTTATTGGGAACAGCATCAAACAGCGCAAGCCACACTCCGGCGTCTAGTCCTACAACGTAGACGGGAAACTTGGCGTACTTTCTGTCAACAATTAGCACAAGGCGATTACATCAAAGCCATTGCCAAGTTCAGCAAAATCCGCAAGAACCGGAAGATCAAACCAACCTTCTCAACAATGGAAGGCCCTCAATACTCAGCAAATCTGATGTCACAACACCTACAGCAGATTTATGCTGGTAAACTTCTTCCTCGTTCCTCTACGTCAACATATTCCACAGAACCGTTTGATTCCCGCTAACTTCCGCCCTATCAGCCTAACATCTACGTTTCGTAAGATCTTGGAAAAAACTCTCCATCACATCCTTGAACAAACTGGCCCCCCTCTCGATATAGCCCAAGGTGGTTTTCGCCTTCTCGGAGTACTCTAGACCAAGCGCTCTGCCTTATTGAAACTTGTGCCATCCTGCGTCGACATCACAAAATCACACCAACATTGGCATTCCTTGATATCAAATCCGCATATGATACTGTTGACCGAGATTATATATGGAACGCAATCCAAACCTATTTACATCCAGCCCTGCTAGGTCTTCTTAAAAACCTATTTGACGAAGTTCAAATAGAAGTACTTGTGTCTAACGCTACTTCCCCTCGGTTTACCCCGGCTACAGGAGTATTGCAAGGGTCTATCCTCTCCCCATACCTTTATTCCGTATATATCAACGAGCTACCTTCTTTACTTCGTGAACAACCACTTTCATTACCGCAGCCCGATGGGGTATGTCGTTTTGCGTTATCTGTGACAAGCCTACTATATGCGGATGATGTTGTGCTCATAGCTGCTCCCACACAACTTCAGATACTCCTCAACAAATGTGAGGAGCATAGTCACAGTCTTGGATATCATTGGAACCCACTTAAATGTGCTGTAGTCGCTCCCAGTTCCGATACATCCTCTTACTCTCTATATGGTACTAGCATTTCACGTCAGACATCATTCTCGTACCTAGGTATCCCCATTGGCCCAGGTGGACACTTACTTACCAACGATCTAATTCAGAACAATACCAACAAAGCCTTACACACTATGAACACCATGTCAGCTATTGGCGTCAATCATAAAGGTTTCAATCAGCTCCTATCAACACGCTTCTACACCCAAATTGTGCGCACCCAACTGGAATACGGTCTTGCCATCAGCTCATTTTCATCACCCCAAATAAAGAAAATCGAGGAATGCCAAACAGAATGTATAAGACGAATTTTTGGAGGAAATTCCCGTTCATCAACCAAGGTCATGTTACATCTGACCAACCTTCCATCCATGAAAGAGCGTGTTCACCGCCTACAAGGAAAGTTCTTATTAAGGTCCATCAATGGTCCCAGGGATATCCTGTTATCGCAGTTTTTACCATACTTACGTGCTTCAGCTAGTCTGTCTCATTGGTACAAGCTCTCCAAAACTCCCCTCTGGCAACGCTGCTGCAACTTTCATAACCCTGACCGCATCGATACTCGTGTGTTCAATACTACCTATCATGAACTTCGTGTCGAAAACCTTCAAACACAACGCCAAGCTAACAATTCGGTTCTCCTCTCCTCTTGTCGCCCTTTTCATGGTGTTGATCCAACTCTTTGGCTACCTATGACTCCCGTGGAACGCAGTCGAGTTATACGTTGGCGTCTCGGTTGGTTACCTGGTGGGGTTCCAAAACCGTGCATACATCACCCTAATGTCATGTTTACCCGCAAACACTCAATAATATGCCTTCACATGCACCGTCGATTACAAATGCCCTGCACAGTAAATGACCCAATATCATTTCTTCTCAGCATGCTTCCAACCATAAAAACACGTAACAAACAAAATATTCAACGCTTCTCCAGCTGGAAAATTCGATGGCCCGCACTATATCAAATCCTATTCGAACTTGATTATCTACATCATGATAAGACCCCCCCCCAGAAACTCCCACTCTTGGTAACAAGTTAGTCCAGTGGCTCACTCAGGACTAATCTAGTCCTTGATTTACCCTCTTTTCCTCTTCCCTTCTCTACTGCCTTTTTCCTTTATTGACTATCAAAAAGGTTTTTTAGCACCCTTCTCCCCTTATATTTGATCTGACCCGGGCAATTCAATCTCATAATGGTTATGTGCTCATGTGGGGTTAAAATTATTTGCCAATAAAAATCTTGTTTAATCGTACTGATTACCAGTAAGGTTGAAATGTACCCTGTTGAAATCTTATTTGTCTCAGTGTGCATGGAACTTACAACTGGTAAAGGCAGTAAATCTGAATTGTTTCTCAGATTGTTAAGCGAATTGGAGGTCAGAACATGACAATTAGGTTATAATTACTTTCGCAGTGATAAAATAAAATTGGCTGCTGTAATATTTGTTTACTATTGTTGTAGCTCTACTCTTAGCGCCAATTTCGCTTTCTCATTGCAATCTTGACGGTTCTGCATTTGTTTGAAAATCAAAAACAATTGAAAACTGTTTTTAGCAGTGATGACCTGTTTAAGCAATTATTGTTTGTTCGTATGACCTCTAAAACTCTGTGGAAGCCTGAGATACTCTTACCTGAAACAAACACAAAATTAGAAAAGAGGCATACAATTATTCCAGAGAGGTTGCTAGGGTTTAACGACTAACAACGTTAGGATTTGAGCAACCAGACAGTCCGAACGCCTTTGCAAATCATACAATACATGAATACGCAGCATAAAGACAATAAAAAAAAAAGAAAGAATGGTAATAAATTATTATCAACGTAGTTACTCAAACATTACCTACCGTATATTCCATTATTCAATAAACCTGTCGCTAAACTTTTCAAAAAAAAAGTTCTATGCCACAACATGAAATTGTCATTATAAAAGACCAAATACGATGCCATAGCCATGTATGGTGTGTGTGCACTGTAACTATTACTCGGCATTGTATGTTAAAGAATGTATTCTTGTTCTGGCCGCAATTATGGTTTAAAAATTATCGATAGGAACATCTAGATCAGCCTACACTTTGTACATATACAATTTTTGTAGAAAGGATAAGAGTTGCATTGTATTTCTTATACTTTTTAAATGGAAAGGGCTTATTGATTATGGGTATTATTCTTAATAACGAAGGCAATTGAGCCGTGTATGTGTACAATGACAAGTATTTATTTATTATTACTTGAGAATCTATAATGACTACATACATGAGGGTATGATATACTACAAGTCTTTTTTTTTACTGTTTTTACCAGCATTTTAAAAAGACTTTAATTACATTTTTACAAAATCTACCTGTAGTTGCACTTATTGCGTGGTGAAACCAGGAACTTGGACAACGGTATGAGGAACCTCTACTACATTACAATCATCTTCAGGAACACCACTTTCATGAACGACAACAACGAAATCGGTGGCAGCATCTAAAGCTACCATAGGATGATGCCAGACACCATTTCTGTAGTTGATACCTTGTTCAGAGGTTGCAAAGAAAGCCTTCAAAGTGGACATATCAGGCTTGTCGTCAGCACCATTGAGGGCAACAACAACCAAGTAACCTCTTGTTTGGCCGTGGGACATAGGAATAAAAGCTTGGCTTGAGTAAGGGTGTCTTTCGAGTAATTTAACGGTGAATGGGATTTCGGTTGTAGGACGGCAGTGGAACATACAAAGATTCATCTTTCCATTACCCTTAGGGAATAAGTTGGCAACTTGAGCAACGTGGTGATATTTTTCAGCAGTACCTTGGTTAGCGCCTGTAACGTATTTAGCACCAGGAGCGTGAATGACATCGCCATAAGCAGCATAAGCTTCGGAAGTGAGAGGTTCAGCAATAATACCCTTATTAGGCAAAGCAATAGGTGATTCGGGAAGCTTGCCACCTTCAGGGATACCGTACAAACGAACACGTTTAATACCGCCATCTATTTAATATGGATTTAAAAGTCAACAAGGGCGTACTTGTAGTGTTATGTCAAAGTATATTATTTCTTACCAGGAATGATGGAAACCTTAGCATGTGTGAAGACCTTATCAGCGTTTTCTGTATGGAAGTGGAAGATATTGTTGGGTCCAGTGCTGGAAGGCTCGAGGATGGTAATCCACTCAGCATCTTCTTCGGGAACATTCAACTTGCTGTTTGTAGCTTCCAACTTGATTTGATGAGGGTAGTTGCCCTTGAAGTGAGTTGTGTCAATTTCGGCTTGTAAAATGTGGCCGGGAACACCCAAACGGAGGACAACAAAGTCAGCATGGCCCTTGACACGTGAACGGGCAGTTTGCCATCCTTCTCCCATGTTTCTACCTCTACCAGGCATGATCAAAAAGTCACCAGGACCATAGTGTTCATCACTGACTTGAACAGAACGGCCACCATATTGAACAGAAGCTAAATCGATCAATTCGCTAGAATTGACAACGAAGCGAAATATATTTTAGTTATTCCACCCTTATCTGCGTTGTGTATTTTCGTTTTTATCCTTGAAGAATCATCCTTAAATACTTACTCTTTGTTTTCCACTGGCTGAGGACGAACATCACCGTATGCTCGGAAACGAGCAATACCACCGTCGGGGTAGTTGTTCAAACGAAGATGGGTATATGTAGTGGTGGCATTCTCTAAAGCGAAAATGTTGTGGCTACTGGAGGCGAGGTCGACCTTGGGAAGAATTTCGACCCAATGAATGTCCTCTTCGAGACCAGTGGAATCGGGACAGTAAGCAGCTTCAACAGATGCAGCAGAAGCATGGTTACCGGTGAAAAAGCTAGTATCAATATCGAAACCCTTGATGGTGCCAGGCAAACCAAGTCTAATAATAGCCCTATTATTATAACATAGTATTGTCAGCTATGTAAATTCTCTTTGTATGTTATCTCAAAAGCATATGTTTCTGTAGTTTAAACTTACCAATCGTAAGTTTGGTTGTGTCTCTTGGACTCCCAACCGTCCATCCAAGAACCGTTATCTACAAGGAAATTTTGAAGGAGATGAGCAAACTTGTTCCAAAAATCGAAGAATCGTGTTAGAACTATTACCATCAAACTTATCAGGGCGACTGACTGGAGGTAGAGGATTGAGCATACGAATAGCAGGAGCAAAGAAGTCATCGGTGACTTTGACAATGCCGCTTCCAAGTGCATCAGTTGCAAGGTCTGTGTGCATTTATTATGAATTTGAAGGTTGCATATGTTTAATTTAACATTTCCCCACAATCGTTACAAAAAAAGGAATAAAATTTTTCAAATTAAGACTCACCAAGGGCTTTGCTTAATTCGGATTTCTTGAAGTCTTCGTAATCGATTTTAGTATAAGAAATAGCGTTGGTCATTTTGTATCGTTGGATTTTTACTGTCCTTTGACTTTATCACTGTTATGTAAATAGAAAAGAGAAAAGTCCAAAAAAAAGTGAAGAATTGACCTGTTGTTATATAATAAAATTTCTTCAGAATTTAATGGTGTATTGAGTTACTCTAAATGATTTCATAGTCCTACAGAACGAAAATCCTCCAATCATGACGAAGATATACCATCTACTAGGATCGCAATCAAATATACCCGTACTCTTTGACAGCCCAGTTGCTAAGTGTCCAAGTGGGCAAGGTCCGAGCGGCCAAAGAGGAAAAGTATAACACTTTCAATTCTTTCTTTTGAAACAGGTATTATAGCAATAGTACTCATTTATTTTATTTTATTTTTGAAATGTATACAAAGACGATCAAGTGGTTACTCTGCGTTCCTGTCTTCATGAGGATGATAATTCACCTTTTTGTATTAAGAATATGCGTTCGTTGTTAAAATAGTCAAGAAAGTACTCCCATATACAAAACTGTAATATCCATTATTAGTAGTTAGCTTCGACATTGTTAAAGCTTGATGTGGAAAACTAAAAGCGCTTCACTGTAACCTCTCAAACAAATATGAGGTGCTTTGTATCACTCTTAAAATTGTATCAAGAACCAAATACGAAGTAAATGGTAACAGCTGCAAAAGCATTTCTAAAATATGTCTTAAAGTATAGCTTGCTTTCAGCCAATAGTAGTGTTCGAAAGTGACATTTGAGTCAGTAACAACATAAAAAGGTTATCCTACTTCATATTGAATGCCATATTGAAATAAGTACAATATCCTTTCCCAGTTCTTATGTCCTAGAATTTTTAAATGTTGAAAAGATAAAAAGCACTTTATGCCATAATAATATTTGCTTAATAGCCATCTATTTCCAAATGTCATTACCTTAAAGGCGTAAGTCGAGACAATGCAAAGAAATGTGATTTAGACGACCAACAGCACATGACATAATTTGGTAACCATCATTTCAAATATCTTAAGTCGAGAAGGCGTATATTTATTATTGACAAATACCTGTACTCTGAAAAGAACTTCCATCAGAATGCCATGAAATGAATCTCAAAACCTTATTGTATAGGTAACAGGTATCGATTTCCATCTCCAGATGGATATTTGCTCAATATCTATAGTTCATTTTACAATTAGGTCTATTTACACCACTAGTAAGTCTATGATACTCCTTTTACTCTTCATTTTCTGTCCTAATCAAACAACTATACACGTACGACATGGCCTTTATGAATATAAGGTTCTGCATGAATTGTGTGTTTTCACAAAATGTAACATGTAATGATGGTTGTTCCTGATCTATCATTGAATTTAGATCCAATCAAATGCTTCGTTTTAAATAGTATACATGATAATAAAAGCTTTTCTGGAAAGCTTATTTTAACAAAATATGGAAGAAACGAGTATTCTGATGCGGACAATTATCAAGGTACATTTAATTTTTCGTTGCCTAAACTTTTCAATTTACAAGCTGTCCTGAAGCCAAACCCCTTAGCACAACACTTCAAAAAATTGAAAAATTATTACTTTTGAGGATCAATAATAGAAACAGACTGCTATTTTCTTTCTTTGAAGTTGAGACGTCTCATGGTTTAGATGCCTCCGAAACAATCGAACCAGATGTCTGGCTGACACGTAGTCCGCTTTCGCTAAATACACCACAGAGCTTTGGAAAAAAAAGGAAAACCAACATCCGAAACCGTGTACAAGGAAAGAAAATTTCGTGCCTTAATTTTCCTGCATTTTCAGGCTCATGTAATTTCGTTATTGTTTTTCCAAACGCAGATTCAACTATCGATTTCCAGATGAATAACTTGGAATCTGCACATTTCTTCAGACCAAGAAACGGCGATCATCCGCGATCTAGTAGTCATAGAGCTTCAGTTGCCTCTATTTCGTCTGACATTTCGCAGTTTAGTCAGAATACACGATCCAACCGCATCAACAATACTATCAACAAACTCATTACTGAATTTATTGCAGTGGACAAGGAAAATTTGACTCGAGAAGAAGAGAGGCAGAGACAAATATTGCTAGATCGATATAGTAACTTACTGATAAGGTATAATATCAGTTTTCCCAACAGTCAGCGCCAAATTTAAAACAGTAGTCGGATTATCTAATCGTTTTATTACTCGTTTCAAAAAGTCGAAACGAACCCTCAGCTATTGAAGACGAAAACCACATTGTTTTAAGCATTCAGTCTAAATGTAAAATCATCCGAATCAGCCTATTCACTTAATTGAGTTGATTTTTGATATGTTTTCTATTCATAGTACAAGAATCGCAAAGAGCTTTTCAGTTTGGACATTTGTACAACAAATTGCGCTCAAAAGTAATATCAAACTATTCTAACTTTCAACAGTCAGTAGCTAAATACTTGAGCATTACTATATTTCTAGAACCTAAAAAAAAGATGGTCAATTCTTTATCTTCTGTCACTCTTAAGTGATGGAATGGATGACAATAATGCCCCTTCCTCCTCTGTTCTGGTAAAATGCCTACAAAAAATTTGCTTGCAAATATCAATGATCTAAGCTTGCTTTTACATAAAAAATTAAGCGAGATATAGATGACAGTATTCCTTCACCAATAAGGCAACTGCCAGACTTGTCTACCACAACAGAGCATATACCACCTCCAACATCACGTCCTCATGAACCACATCAAAAAGAATCATCCATGCGGAATACGCGCCGTCGACTGACCCGCGAACCGCGGTATTCTTCAGAACAATCTATGGAAATTCATGATGTATCTCCTGCAGTTTTATTAGCAAGAGCTCGAGAAGCACAGGATTATCGTTCATCAGAGAGTAAGTTAAATGAGTCGAGATAAAATGAACTGTTTGAAGTATGACTAAAACGAGAAACGTGAAGTCCATCTATTAGGACTCACTCATGTATCAGAAACTGAGTTGCTTCGAGACTTGATTTACATATTTCAAGGCATCAATGGACAATACATTCAATATGACCCACTCAACAGAAGTTACGGATTCATAAGTGGCGTAGAAATATCCGAACCAACCAAAGAAATTGTTTTCAAATTGACAGATATAGGATTGTATTATATGAATATTCAAACGCTTATTAATAATGTAGGCTCGCCCAATATCGGGCTGATACAGCAGTCCTTGTGTGCCACATTTCAGCATAATTTAGCTGACTACTACCGTTTCATTGCGGTTTTGGAGGCAAAGATAGAGAAACAGATGGCTGCTAAGGATACAATATGGACAGAGGACAGTTTATCATTGAAACGACTTTTAGGATGGGCATTGCAAAGTCAACAAGAATTAAAGTTGATGGATGCTTTAGCGACAAGCTGCGAAGGTAAGTTCGGCAATTTCTTTTATACTGGACAATCCGATTCTCATATGCAAAGCTTGATTATTGACATTGGCACTGTAGGTTTGAAAGGAGGAAAACTTTTAACTGAGATACACAACTTCACTAAACACGGTGATCCTTTCATAAAAAAATACATTACAATGACGCTGCGTAGTGTATCAAAACCATTCTATGAAATGTTGGAAAGGTGGATATATGAGGGCGAACTTGATGATCCATTTGATGAATTCTTTGTAGCTTGTAATTCTGACGCACCTCAAGATCAACTTTGGCTATACCAATATACCTTACGTGACAATATGCTGCCTAATTTCATATCTAAGGAATTAGCTCAAAAGATCTTTTCTATTGGTAAATCACTCAATTTTATACGATACAGTTGCCAAGAAACATCTACTTCTTCAGAAGCTGCCACTTATTTTCCGAATGACAAAGAAAAGTCCTTCGAATATGGAAACATACAACATCTTGAAAAAGCCATCGAAGTAGCCTATAAAGATACAAGTACAGCACTGTTAACACTGCTCAGAAACAAATACAAGTTGATGGATCATTTGAAGGCCTTGAAGCGGTATATGCTTCTTGGACAAGGCGATTTTATTGCTTATTTGATTAATGCATTATGGTATTTATTGCAGCTTTACCTCAAATTTTTGAGCACGCCTTGTCTCATTATTTTTCGGATAATAGGTCACACTTGAACAAACCTGCAAATTTAATATATCGACATAATTTAACGAGCATTCTGGAATCAGCCATACGTTCTTCTGATGCTCAGTACGATAATCCTGATCTTATACGTAGACTCGATGTCAAGCTTTTAGAGGTTTGTTCAGTTTATCTAATCAAAGATTAAAGTAATTTGACTAATTGATATGTGCGTGTTATATGCTTGTAGTTCCAAAGAGACGACATTGGTTGGGATGTGTTTACTTTAGAATACCATGTTGATACCCCTATAAACACTGTTCTCAATCCTGAAGCTATGAAGAAATATTTACAGATATTCTATTACTTGTGGCGACTAAAACGTGTCGAATGTACTTTATCCTTAGCTTGGCGACAATGGTTTAAAGCTCGACGAGATTTTCAAAATTTGATCAATATACAACAAGACATTCATTCGACGCAAATTACAATACAATATATGGTCCATTTCGTATACCAACTACAGCATTATATTTTATTCGAGGTAAGCTGTGGCAAAGTTGACTCTGTCTATAATTGTAGCTGTATAGGCTCATAATTTATGTATTAAAGGTCCTGGAATGCTCGTGGAATAAACTAGAGACTTTTATTGAAAATAAGAGTATCGATTTGGATTCAGTTATAGCAGCTCATGACGATTACTTGTCAGAAATTTTGGAAAAAGGGTTTTTGAGTAGCACGAAGGGAGAAGAGTTTGCACCTCGCTTGAAGACCATTTTGGAATGTATATTGAATTATAAAATCGTTCTAGACAATTTACATAACTTTGCAACTACTATTTCTGCAAGAGTAGCAAATGACAATAGCAGCAACAGAGTCAGTATGGAAAAACTTCGAAGAATCAGAGACCAACAGGAAAAGATGGAAGACGATTTCAGAAAGCAAGTATTACACTTTTTACGTCTGCTGCGAGCCTATCACGATGAAGATCTACGTTCTTTAGCAACTCGGTTGGACTATAATGATTTTTATGCAGGATTAGCGCCGAATGACCATATAGTGCCTACTTCTAATTTGCTCGAATCATATGAGACTGGAAGCTTTGAAATGGCCATATAACAAGAACAATGATAATCAGCAATTCTTGCCGAAATATGTCAATAAATATATACAGATATCCTTCGTTTTTTCTATGAAAGTTTACAGAAAAATCAAGAATATTTTATTGAAGCTTATGATGGCATTATCATTATCGTTTTTCAGGAGGGACTTCTGGAACAGTGTCTAGCTTTCCAGTTTGGAAGTAGTCATCAATGAACATTTCTACCCGTCTGATGTTAGCGACGTTATCGTTCGATTGAGTAGGAGGATATTTGGGGCATATTTCTTGACGAATCAATTTTAGAAGCTTTGTCATTTGTGTAGGATAGGCTTCTAATAATCTTTTGGAGGCCACTTCTAACATACCTCCAACAAGTGCAGGAGTCACTTCTCGTGGAGGCATATTACAGATACGTGCCAACCAAATCCAAGCGTGTTTAAGTGGATAAGGGTTGGGAGGCTGTCCTGGGTCAGGTACTGTTTGACATAACGCACCATAAAGCATTATATAACATTTTTGAAATTCTGAATGTTGCAAGTGACTCTCAATCGTTTTGGTTTCCTTATCACTATATGTGTATCGTAAGCGCGCTTTTATCTCTTCAACAGAGAGGGACTGAAAGAAAGTGAGTGACATATGTCTAATGTAGAGCTTGGTGATAAAGAAGCGGTTTCAGATATGTTTTGTTTGAGACTTACAGGATCATCGTCGTGGTATTTAGGAATCAGATATTGGCAGCGTTTAAACAATCGACCTAATAAATAATCTGAAAATTCTGGAATAGAACTTATCATTAAATAGGCAAATCTTGCTAAAAAATAAGCAGCATGAGCTGTAGCATGGATTTCTTGTCTAGCCTGAGATAAGAATGCTTTTGCAAGGTGATTTAAAGCAAATTCAAATGCATCCGGTGACTGTTGCTTAATGCCAGCAAGGTGTTGACAAAGAGCAGCATGCTGTCAGGCAATGAAAAAGAGGGGAAAAAGAAAAAATAAGCAACTATGGTTACCACATCTCGTTCTGTGCAGCTATCCTTACCTTTTCAAGCAAAACACTATGATCGTATTGTAATTGTGATACTGTTCTTGTAATTGGTCTTTTAGCATTAAAACAAGCCTTTCGAAAATTATCATCGCTCAATTTAGGCTTTATGGTTGTTTTGTAATATTCAATTTTTTTATAGAATCGCTGGTACTCTTGCCATCCTTCTATTGAGGTCGCTGATGATTGTTGCTAAGATAGAACTTATATTAGTTACAGTACAGTTTTTGGGCACCTATTCATGATCTCAGCAAGAACTTTACAAGTTTCTTAATCTCTTCCTTCTTTTCGTTAGCCTTCTTTTCTTCTTCTAGCCTCTTGGCCTCTTCCTCTTTTTCCTTCTTTGCTTTCTCTTCCTTCAGCTGAGCCTCTTTCTTTTCATTTTCGAGTTTTTTCTTATCCAATTGGATAGCATTTTCAACTAATTTTCGCTGCTTTTCCAACTCTTTCTCAAATCTATCATCTTCGCCGGCATTATCATCGTTTAATCTACAAAACTAGTTGGATACTACTCATAAGGGCTTATTCATTTAACAGTACCAAGAACTTACTTTAATAGATTGATTTCTTCTAGAAGCCTTTGTGCTTCATCATGCTCTTTTCTGCGTTTTTCGCGTTCTTTCTCTAAAAATTTTGTTTGCCTTTCTTGTAGTTTGAGCTGATATTGTAACCATGAGTCTTCTGTAGGCTCGATATAAGTCTATACAAATGTGAGTTGTAATTTCGTTCATTCAATTGGCATACTCGTTTTGAAGTTTGCTGCATTTTACCAGTCCCTTCAATAAATTAGTTGATTTGTATTTATCGAGTGGGTTATATGTGCAGCCAAGTTTGAGAATATTTTTTTGCTGTTTCTCTGTCATATGTACACGACTATATATTTCAATGTCATTAAAATTAAGCAACCGTTCGTCTGAAAACGCCATATATTTCTGATTATTTGAACGCATTGTTACTTTTGAATGAAGAAGTTTTGTTCATCTTCTGAATCAGAATCAGGCACTGAGTATATGTTTGGATTTGTAATTATCAAGGTCATTATAAGATTGTTGTGTTAGCTGCAACAAAAAATGCACATCAATAATGCGACATGAAAGAAAAGGTAGAAATCATCAAAAACGGCAAATGAAAGTGACGTCCCTTTTGAAAATGTTATTGTGCGTATTTTCCTTGTAACACAGAAATTTAAACTTTTATTTTTTGCCCCTCTTTTTGAGTTTCCTTTTGGTTTCTTGGTTGCTCATATAAAAAAAATGGCTAATCAGTCGCCTCATCCTAATTCAAATTCTCCTCGATCGAAACAGAATACTTCTGCTTTTCAATGGCCTATACCGTCATCTCCTTTGCAGTCAACGAAGCCTAACAATGCGAGTCAACCGAGCAATTTCAATGACATTACAGTAAAAGAGATTTTGGACCGATACGGCGATGACCCTGAACTATTAAAATATATACTTACAGCCAAGTCCGAAGAAGATAAGGTAGAGTTATAATTTGGCTAAATTATGGCAAACCCTTTGATTATTCATGTTTTCGCTCTATGGTAGAAAAAAGCAGCAAGAGATACCTTGAAAGCAGAGGAAGCACGTATCCAGCTGAGACAAATGGACATAGATATTGCTCGAGAACAATCAAAAGCATCTCTAAGATACGATAGGCCACCTGCTTTCATAAGTCATGTTTACCCTCAGGCGTATGTAACCTCGCAACCACAACCTTATTCAGCGCAATTGTATCCTCAGCAGCAGCAACTGCCACAGTATGTTCACAATTCACATAGCCATCCACAACCTTTGCAACAGCAGCAGCCACCTCAGCAACATCAACAACCTCAGTCAGCGCACCCTTCGATTCCTCCAGCACATCCTCAACACTCTCATAGTAAACAACAATCCAAACAACATCAACAGCAACAGCAGCAGCAACCGCCGGCACCACAATCTCATCAAACGTCGCATCATTATTCATATTATGGATTAGCGCCTGTTCAGCAACAAGTGCTTGCGAGGTTTAATTATCCTGTGCCTTATGGGACAACAGGGCATCATGGACAGCCACCGCCCTCTCCTTCTGTGCCTTACCCACATTCAGCACATCCACTTTGTCCGCCTACGACCGCTACGAACACAAATAAGAAGAAGAATAGCGAGGATAGAAGTAACAATAATGGACAACATCTTCAACATAGAAATAATACGCTAAACCCACAACAATCACCTACTTCACCTGCTGCTAACGGTATGACTGACGACAATAACGTGAGTAATGCCCACACCACCCTAAGGAAGCGTAACAGAGCTTCTTTCTCATCCTCTTCGAACGAACATGTAGAGCCTCATCCACTTCAGCCTCAGCAGGATAAGTTATCACATAATAAAGTAATGGAAGCTTTGAAAGCAAAGATTCAACGAGGAAACAGTGGACCTAATACTGGTGGTAATAATAATGGCGCCTCGTCCTCCTCCAATGTCCCTAATGGCACTTCTGGTACTACTACTTTTACTACTTCATCTGTACGGTCAACCACCCAAAATCACCATCAAGAATCAAACTCCAGCAATAATAGCAGTAACAAAAGAAGAAAACCTACTCTGCCCAAACCCAGTGTATTAGTAAAACAACAGCCATTGGAACCAAAAGCGAAATCCACGACCTCAACAACGCCCTCACCCCGTTCAGCAAAACCTATCTTGCCGCCTATTGATACGAGTCTAGGGAGAACGGATTGTGCTTCCACAAAGTTCCCGAACCATCCTTTGTCTCAGCATCAGAGCAGCGGAAGTTCCAGTAGCAGCCATAGTACTGCAATCAACTCCTTTAATGATACAACTAGTAGCCATACTATCACAAGGAACGTCAAATTGGAGGAGCAGAGTGCCAGTATGGATAATGATAAACAAGCCGATACTCGAAATGATACCGCTCATCATAATATATATGATACACACAACACATTGAAACTCAACACTACCGTCTCTTCGCCTAGTGACCATATCTTATTGAATACCCGCCGTGCACGCTCTTTATCCCCTTCCCCTTCCACAACCTCTGCACAGAAATAAATAGGAGTCGCTATATATACACATGTTTATTTCCATAAAAATCTAATCTTTATGAGTATAAGAGGATGGTTTGTAATAGGGTAAACCACTGTTCGCATTGATGTATGCGTTGTTGAGTCGTTTTGGACTATGGTATGTAAGATATCTATAAACAAAGCTACCGACGACACCCAAAGTGATTGAGCTGATAAACCAATGAGTAAATATCCAACGTACTCCTCGTGTTAAAGAGTCACCAATTTGTTCATGAACAGCTAATGTTGTTTCGCCCTGCAATTTGTCTAAGTTCTTCAATGTCGTATACAGTTCCTCAGGTTGATCAATGCTTAACGGTCTCTTATTGGTATCCTTGTCAAAGTAAATGTGCTCCTATTAGGTATACATGCAAATGAATGTGTTAATGAATTATTTCCGAGTCTTGATTTTAAATCGAGAGAACTACGTTACAGGCGCATTAAATATAATTAATTTCGAGGTACTATCATGCTCTACATTGAACTTTTCAAGCACATATTCTCTCCACATGGCACGGTCCATCTCTGCAAAAATAACTCTTCGGCTAACGTTGCCTCCTTCATTTGCTACCTTCCAATTACTAGCAATATCTCTAAATTTTGATTGACTTGTGGTGTCTTTGGCGTTGATAATATTCAGAACAACAGGTGAATGGCCTTCTAAAATGCTTTTGTAGTTGGTGGGACCTAATTTACTGACCAAAGGATATTTAACATTTTCAATCCAACGCAAAAGAGCAGGTTTATCGTCAAGATTGCTGAAATCGTGCTTTGAATACATGCTGAACATGCCATCTTTAGCAATCAATAAGGCTGGCAGTTTAGATTTGGCATTGAATTTATCGATGACGAGTTCATCATGGCTGGCATAAAAGGGAATAGTTGCCATGTATTGACGTCCAATACTGTCGATCATTTCTGGGACTGTATCCTTGTCATCTTTCTTCAAGTAAATCAGAACGGTATCCTTTAAAGATAGAAGACCCTCTAATTCATCCATGGAGATATCTTTAACAGAGACCCTGATCATGTAGATTTATATTAGTACAAGTCTGTTCTATGAAGAATAAGAGGGGGAGATTTATATTACCCTGTATGCTCGTTGGCAAATTTTGTCAGACTTACTAGAGAGCGATCACCATTATAATGAATCACATCTCCCAAGCCAAGAATTTGAAGGGTAGGAAAACCTGTAATGTCATAATCATCACAGAGAGTAGGTGCTTTATCACAATTGACTTCACCGACATTCATTTGGCCACGTAACTCCTCGGCCATTTTAGTCCACGTAGGAGCCATACGCTTACAATGAGGACACCAAGGTGCATAAAACTTGACAAACCATGGATTTGTGTTTGAAGATGAAATCTCTTTTAACTTGTCGCCGTCCAACTCTACTGAAACACCATCCGGATTTGCAAGCAACTTTAAAGCTGCATCATTTGATTTGGCTTCCTCAGCGATCTCCTCTATTAAGCCCGCTTCTTTTGGTTGCTGCTGCTCATGTATCTTATTATCATCCTCCTGCATCTCTAATCCGGTTTCTACAAGATCGTCTTCGATCACCATACTTTGTATGGACTCTACTTTTGGTGCTTTATCTTTACCAGTATCCTTTTCGCTGATATCTTTATCGTCATGAGTGACATTGAGATTACTATTGGTTGCTACTGTTTCTTGTGCTTTTTCTGTCTCTGTTTCATCACCCAGCTTTAACTTGTCCTTTACGTAGTTCACTAATCCGTCGTATGTATTGCCCTGAATGTATTTTTCTATTTTCTTTCCAAATTCCCATAGTTGAATGGATGGTACGCCAGCGATACCGTGAGCGCGACATAGATCACCATAAGTACTACAGTCGATTGTACCAAAGTGGAAGTTCTTTTCATCTGCGAGATAGCTGTAATCGTTAGTGAACCTTTCCCATTCGGGCGCTGTTTATCGAATAAAAGTTTAAAAGTAGTTAGCAAAGATATACTGTCAATAGTTTGCTCAATCTCTTCATTTCGGATCTGAAAGTCATTTTACCGAAATGCTGGCAATGTGGGCAGTAAGGTGAAAAGTATTCAATTAACCTAACGATGGACGAAAAGAAATAAGAATTGTTGTTAACTTGGCCCCTTGCGCAGAAAACAAACTACTTCTTTTTTTGTCCTTACCAAGTGCCAGGACCAATAACTTCCTCCAAAGTATCAGGTTTCAATTCAATGGAAATAGCATATACAATGCTTGAGAGGCAGCTAACAGTAACAGCACTTGCTATTGAAAATAGCTTCATATTTCAATAAAGGTACAAAGAAAAGAAGAAAGCCCAAAACAAAAAAAAAAATTGGTTGGGATATGAATTAACAAATTTGGAATTTCTAAAGTGTATTTTGCCCAATCACAAAGATTTATGCATGCACATCTTTCTTTGCATTTATGAATAGCATAACATATAAAAAAACGTAAATTGATCAAAAACTGTTATAAAACCCATACATGCATACACTATCATCGATTTTTTTTGTTGATATCGGCTACCTTCCTTATCCGAATTTGAGTGAAAATGAGGCTTAATTTTCATACGACCTTTACCGGTTTATCAGATTATTCTTTTTATGCTTGTTGTTGCACTTTAACAGGTTTTATTATTTTACAAAATTCTCGAATTTTACAAAAAAAGATATTATATATATATACATTGAATGAATATGAAAATGAGAGGGAAATCAGCAGAAAATGACGTTAAACTTTTTTTTTTTTTTGTTGTTGTTGTTTAAGCATCATAAGTAGAGGCAGAAACGTCACCACCCTTACCAGTCCAGTTAGTGTGAACGTGCTTACCAGGAGCATCCAAAAGTTCATAAGTGTGGGCACCAAAGTAATCACGTTGAGCTTGAAGAAGGTTAGCAGGGAGCTTTTCGTGACGAAGACCATCATAGAAGTTCAAAGCAGTGGAGAGGGCAGGAGTAGGGATACCCATCTTGATGGCATCAGCAAGAACAGATCTCCAAGAATCTTGAGCATCAGCAGTAGCCTTTTGGAAGAAGGGATCGAACAACAAGTTTTCAAGTTCGGGATTGTTGGTATAAGCGTCCTTGATCTTACCCAAGAAAACAGAACGAATGATACAACCACCACGCCACATCAAAGCAATACCAGCAAAGTTCAACTTCCAGTTATAATCCTTACCAGCTTGACGCATCAACATGAAACCTTGAGCATAAGAAACGATCTTGGCAGCATAAAGAGCTTGACCAAGTTGGTCAATAAACTTCTTCTTGTCACCTTGGAACTTGACGTCCTTGGGGCCGGCCAAAATTTTGGAAGCGCGAACACGTTCGTCCTTGAGTGAAGAAAGACAACGAGAATAGACAGCTTCACCAATCAAGGTAACAGGGATACCACGGTCGAGAGAGTCGATACCAGTCCATTTACCAGTACCCTTTTGACCAGCAGTATCGAGGATCTTTTCGACAAGGGGAGTACCGTCGGTATCCTTGAACTTGAGAATATCACGAGTGATTTCAATCAAGAAAGAATCTAATTCATGCTTGTTCCATTCTTCGAAGGTATTGGCCATTTCTTCGTGGGTCATACCGAGACCTTCCTTCATGATTTGGTAGACTTCACAGATCAATTGCATGTCACCATATTCTGTAGGCAAAGGTTAGAAAATAAATGGAAAAAATAAAAAACTATTTTTAGTCTTATCATTCGGGGAAACAGAAACTCAGATCATCGTGTGTGCCCATTTTTTTTTGCCGGCCTCTTTTTTTTTTTTCACACAATGACGGTAGAGCATGAAATAAATTTTTGACAATCAAAGCATGTTTTTTTTTTTTACTTACCAATACCATTGTGGACCATCTTGACATAATGACCGGCACCGGATTCACCGACCCATTCACAACAGGGAGCACCATCAGGAGCCTTAGCGGCAATATCTTGGAAGATATTCTTGATGTGAGGCCAGGCTTTGGGGTTACCACCGGGCATCAAAGAAGGACCATAACGGGCGCCCTCTTCACCACCAGAAACACCAGAACCGACAAAGAGAATACCCTTTTCTTCTAATTCCTTGCAGCGACGAATGGAATCGGGGAAGTGAGAGTTACCACCATCGATGATGATATCACCTTCTTCGAGATGAGGCAATAATTGTTGAATGAAAGCATCAACAGCAGCACCAGCCTTGACAAGCAACATAACCTTTCTAGGACGCTTCAACTTGGCGCAGAGTTCTTCAACAGAATGAGCACCAACAATGTTGGTACCCTTAGCAGCACCGTTCAAGAAGTCGTCAACCTTGGAGGTGGTACGGTTGAAGGCGCAAACGGTATAACCGTGATCATTCATGTTCAAAATAAGGTTTTGACCCTACAGGTAAGAACCAGAACGTTTCATGGAAAATGGTTAGAGTCATCAAGGCATAACAACTCATTTTTTTTTTTTTTTTTGCTAGTGGACAGAGTTGCTCAAACTTACCATGACAGCCAAACCAATGAGACCAATATCAGCGCTATTTATGCAGGAATATAAAATAAGGCGCGTTTCGTCAGCAAAAAGGAAAAAAAAAAAAAAAAAAAAAAAAAAAAAGTACATAGTGCAGCCTATGTCTGAAGTATCAGTCTACTTACACAGCTTCAACCATTTTTTAGAGTTAGATTTTCCTTTGAAAGTGAAAGATTAGATAAAAATCAAACAAAAGCGAAAAGGGAAAAAAAAAAAAGTGAAAAAAAAAGTGTGAAATCCCGCATTTATATATAAATCTCGGATGATGTAAGCGGTGAGTGAGGCTCTTACGAGGACTGCTGCTTATAAACAGGCGGTAAAAGAAAGCTCAGCTGTCATTTTATTGTTTTGCTGTGCCTCCTTGTAGTGAATATAGATCATTTCAGTCAAAACATAATCCGTTATACAAAGAAAAATGAACATCTTCTTTTTAAATGTCTTTGACTTAGGTGGCTGTACCATTCCTCCTATCGCAAACTTTGAATTATCAGTTGATTGCCAGGTTAAAGCAGATGGAACGCGACTCATGCCCATTATTAATCCTCATCTTTCCTACTCCGAAAACTGTATCTGGTTAAACCGCTGTCAAAACTGCCGTTGATTTGCTGTTTCCCATTAGGATTACACTAAATTTTTTACCGTCCTTGAGATGAGCAAATCGCTGAAATTTATAAGCAAGTAAGACTTACGTAAGTGACCTTCTTTTTTGGCTCCCCAGGCGGATATTTTATTTGCCAAACAAGTATAAAAACGTAGGGTACGGTAGAATTTTTACCAAATGAGAAAGGAAGGCTATGTGTACAAGGCGCAATGGTAACGAAATGAGGCTGATCTTACTATGCTTACAGTGAGAAGCATTGATAAGTTCTTGTGGCCGATTTCAACCATGCACAGGATTACATAAGATCTAGGTTTCATGCTGTTCTTTCCTTGTCATCCCGCGGAATTATCTCTATCGAAAGAAAAGCCTTGGCTATACAAACATACTTTATACAGCCCGCTGTAAAGTATTAAAGTTTGGACACAAGAAGCATTATGTAAGCTCTGGGGAGTTTTACTTAGCTTCCCTTGTGGCATTCAATTGAGTGGTTCCAGCGATCTCCCATTTTTCCAGTATGTATATAAAGGATGTAGCGTTACTACTATTATTTTGTGCACGTCACTGGTGACATGATAATATTCACTCTTTTCTTTTTCCGCTAATCATTCAAAAGATTGGTTATTATTGTTCGAGCAACATGAACAGTTTGAAGGGTCAAACAAAATAAATGGATGTATTACATAAACTAATGGTTTGAGCGGGATAGGACTTGCAGGGTTGTTAAACACTCACTATACACCACTAAATTAGGGTGCTAGTTTCAGTTTAATATTATAGCAGTGTTGACGAAGCATCAGTCACAACCAAATGCGACTCAACTGATTTAGTCTGTAAACATATGTACGGTTCAGTGAGCTTAGGTTAATATTTTAGTATGGGCTTGAGACATTTCCGGTTCTCTCGCTTAAACTGCCCCAACCTCATCGAGCACGTTTACCTCACTTTTCAAATAGTTTATACAACCATTTTTTTAGATTAACGTAAGATATAAGAGAGAGAGAGAGAGAGTATTCTTAGAGCACAGCTCTATTGACTTTGTAAATATGCCAAATTATTCCAAAGCACACAAACGTTACCTACCCTTGTTTTGTTTCACCTTCTTTCTAAAAGTCATTCATTTCATGGACGTAGTTTTGCTGCCGATCGTATCATTTGAAGCTAGAGCTGCTGGGATGTTCGTTACAAGAGGTACGTTACAGTATAAGCTTCGTTTGTAAGTCTATAGCAAACTGGGCATTGAAGTATAAACGGAGAGCTGCCGAGTAGGCGATGTGTTTGTCAACATGGTTTGAGAGAGCAATACCGCGCTTTTTGCTACCGCTGTTCAAGGGATAACCATGCCTATACAGTGTTTATGTTAAAGACCTACTTTGGGAGAGAGTCTTGGATTTTTTTGTAAATTAGACAGCAATTAGGACCCAAGTGTTGCATTGAATGCTCTGTTGCTGCTGACTTTAATCCAGTGTCTCGATTTGTCTATTTGCGGGGAAAAACGAAAATATTGAGCGGGACGGTGTATAGCGATATATTTGCGAAGAAGGAAAGCAGTGTTCAAATAAAGAAACATTACTTTTAGTTATCAAGTTCTACGGCAATGGGGTAGCTTTTTGCACAGCTCTCCTACTTGATTCTCGCCAAAAAAATGAACTCGATGTAGATACTTTTAACAAAAACAAGCATTTATTATATTGTTTTTTTAATTCATTCCTACCCATTTGGAAGTTAGAAGATCAGACACTTTTTTCCCAAGAAGAGAAGATTAAATACGGCAAAATTTTAGGAGGAATGAAACCGTTGGTTATGCAGGGAATATGTTATATTACAATGGAGATAGCACTATAGGAAAGGGAATTTTTTTTTCTTTTAAAATGATGAGCATGCAGGTGAGCGAGATTTAGGTAATGACAGTAGGTTCCTTGCGACCGGTGAACTTTTCGAGTTCGGACAATTCCAAAGCAACATCGATCAAAGGCTTTAAGCCAACCTGAGCGTCCTTGGGGTATTCAGCAGCATCATTAGAGTATTTCTCTACATAAAGACGAACAGTGGCACCTTGAGAACCGGTACCAGATAAACGGATGATGATACGAGATCCGTCCGTGAAGATGATACGGATACCTTGGTGCTTGGAAACGCTACCGTCAATGGGATCCAAATATTCGAAATCATCGGCCTTATCAATGGTAAAGTCACCAATCTTCTTGCCAGCCAATTCATTCTTTTCAATTTGATGACTGAGTCTCTTTACCATGTCATCAGCACGTTGACCGTCCACCTCTTCGTAATCATATCGGGAGAAGAAATTGCGACCATAAATCTTGTAATGCTCTTGAAGGATATCTTGGACACCCATTGTCTTGTCTTTATTAACGTGAGCAAGAATACTCAACCAGGCTAGAAAAGGAGAGTGTTAGATGATGATCGTTTCAATTTTTTCCCCTCTCTCCGCTTCCCGCTTTCAATTACGTCAGGACACTTACCCAAAACAGCCCAAAGACCGTCCTTCTCACGAATGTGATCAGAACCTGTACCAAAGGATTCTTCACCACAGATAGAGCAACGACCAGCATCCATCAAATTACCAAAGAACTTCCAACCAGTAGGAACTTCGAAATGCTCAAGACCCAATTTCTTAGCGACGAGATCGACAGCTTGAGAAGTAGGCATAGAACGAGCCAAACCATTGACACCATGCTTCTTGAAGTAGGGAATGGCATCCTTAGCGTAGTGGGCAATAATAGCGACACTATCAGAAGGTGTGACAAAAGCGTTCTTACCGATGATCATATTACGGTCACCGTCACCATCCGAGGCAGCACCGAAATCGATACCTTGGCTGTTGACAGCTTCAACCAAATCGTGAGCATAAGTCAAGTTGGGATCAGGATGTCCGCCACCAAAGTCAGGTTGGGGAGTGCAGCGCATGACGCTGGATTCAGGAAGGCCGAATTCTTCAACGAAAAGACGGTAGCCGTAAGGACCAGTGACACCATTCATACCATCGAACAGCATTTTGAAATCCTTGTTCTTGGCAAAGAAAGACTTGATAGCATCAAAGTCAAAAATTTCCTTCATAAGGTCAACGTAATCAGCGACACCGTCAATAATTTCAATCGTCATATCACCCACTTGTTGAGTACCAATCTTGGAGAAATCAACTTTGGGGACATCAGCCAACTTGAGTTCCTTGATGGTCTTGGAAACTTCATAAATCTTGTTGGTGACGGATTCAGGAGCTGGACCACCGTTAGAGCAGTTGTACTTGATACCAAAGTCGTTATCAGGTCCACCGGGGTTATGAGAGGCGGTCAAGAGAATACCACCCGTTGCCTTACGTTTACGAATAATATTGGAAGCAGCAGGTGTGGAAACAATACCATTACGTCCAACAATTAATTTGGAAACCTAGTTTGTTGAAAAAGACGAGTTAGCCATCGAGCCGAAACGCGTTCTCAAACATCCTATCCTCTTTCTGCCCTTTTTACACTCTCTTACACCGCCCCCCCCCAACCTCCTCTCTTTCGTTTTGTACAATTGACTTACACCTTGAGCAACACTACACTTGACAATGACTTGAAGAACCTCATCAGAGTAGTAACGACCGTCACCACCGATGACGAGGGTAGCGCCTTTAGCACCACCATCGGCTTCAGGGATAGCTTCCAAAATAGATTGAATAAAGTTCTCGGTGTAGTTCTTTTGTTGGAAAATCTTGACACGCTTTCTGAGACCTGAAGTACCAGGCTTTTGGCCTTCAAAAGGCTGTGTGGCAACGGTTTGGATATTGACCATCGTTTATGGTATAAAGTCTGTAAAATAGAAACGAAACAAGAAGAAAAGAAAAGGAAAAAGGAAAAGTACGGAACAAAAATTGAATCGTCTTTATATCTTTTATTTTTGCCCTTTTGTTGTGTTTGGCCTTTTCATGCTGCTTTTGCACGGAATTTGAAAACAATTGATCACCTAACCTTACAAGTCTGGGTTAACGAAATTCTTTTCAAAGGCGTTCTTGATTGAAAACGTTTGCAATGATGAAGATTTTTACTGTAGTTTTGCCTGGCAATAACCCATGCTACATAAGTGCTCATCTAGCGGCTCCCGTCCGTGCATTCGCATTATACTTTTTTTTTTGTTTTTTTGCTTAATGCAAACTCTACCATGAATCCGTTACACAAACAAAGCGGATAACATCTTGATTACTTCATCCCCAATTTTAAAGACCGTAATAAACCCTTACTCAAAAAAAAAAAAAAAAAAAACTCTTTCGACTGTATTCTGCTGTGTATGTAGACTTTCCACCGGAACTTAGGAACAAATAAGTTCAGGGGTGAAGGGAGGGGGGAAGAGGAGAAGCACTCTTAAGGAATTCCGTTGGTTGTTACTGTTTCTATACGCAAATTGTAAGAACAGCCATTTTGACTGTATTTGCATTTTCAAATTTTTTGAGTGCCTTATGCTCAGTCATAGTGCTGATAAGCTAACGACAGCCAAACCATTTTCAAACCATGTCTATAGTTGAAAAAACGCAGTCTTGATGGCCATCTTTCTTGCTCTGAAATGCGCATGCATTACCGTAAGATATTCTCATTCCTTAGCTATCAAGTCTGTTTGAATGATGCGTATGATGAAAATCTATTTTCTGTAGAATTCACATTCAGACAGGATTCAAGCATGATTAATTTTCACTCATCTACTTTCTTTATCTGATTTTTCAAAGTGGGCTCTATTCTAGAGGAACCCTTCTTTTATTTTACCATCAACTATAATTATCCACATTTATCAAACAATCTGTGGAAATAGTGCATATAAATCTGATATGTACAGCTGTTCCTATGAGTAGTCTTTTTTTTTTTTTTTTCTGTTCAAAAGGAACAAAAGGACCAGCTTACGTGTTTCTGCCTATGTCGAAGGAGAATAGACCGTTCATATAGCTTTTTTCAAAGAAAATGTTTTGATGCATATTACTAAATACAGCGGAAACCTCGTTTCTTAACCTGCCACAATTGATTGTTGTATGAGATGAGCGCAAGACGCTTTAGGGTCGCTTTGTATGACTCTGGCATTCTCTAAAGTCCTTGTTCAAGATGCAAAGCAATGAACAACCGCATGAGAGCAGTCTATGGTGACACTAAAGATGTTATTACTCTACATGTAACTGAAAAGTAACCTTTAATGGCAGCAGGCACTATTTTACAAACACCTCATTCTTTATCAAGAGGTCGGTAAGATATGAGTTATTCACAATCAAATGCCTGCACACGACCATCTAGGCAAAAAAAAAAATAAGAATAAACGAACATGAGCAGTGACGAGTATCAATCTAACTTTGGTCAATGGGTTGCTTTGAACAAAGATGCTTCTCTTTATAGAAGAATTTATTAGGTATTTTGTAGTAGTATTAAAATTACTCTTTAAGCACGCGTGAGATACTGCTCGATTCAGAACTTGTTGGTTTGAGTATTTTACGACTTTTTCCCTAGCACACTTGTACATTGTCTCACTCGTTGATCCGGTCAAGGTAAGGTAGTCTGGCTGAAGTACCATTATTAATGTCCACAAATAGGTATTTTGATTCCGCTATAACCCCTCTTGACTGAATTTGATACCGAACATGATGCACAAACCGGGAAAGACTTCCCTCACATAAGCTGATGATGATTCAATATCGTTCCAATCAGCAGTCAGCACTTATGCTCACGTCACTGACGTATCACAGGGAAGGTAAGAGAGCGGAAAACTATAAATACTCTACAAAGTTGTGCTTGCTTTCGTCTCTTCCTCCTTCGCTTGCTTCCTTCGCTTTTCGTATTTGAGACCAAAAAAATTTGGAGAAAAGCTGCATGAGTGTTTCCTTCCTTTTATCTCACGAATGTCCGCAGATTGGAAGACTGCCCCCGCCCCTTCTCTGAGCTCTAATGTATCATCAGTCTACATGAATCTATCACATACGGACTATGCCATTTATCCGCGATTCCGTTACTAAAAACAAACTCCACAAGTATTCTCATTGTTAGTGCTTTCTTTTTTTAGAAACCATATTACTGAAAAGAAAAACAGTAGTTTTCTTCAGCATGGTGATTGCTCATGCTATCAAGTCGTTCTTCATAGAAATTTCTATTATTGCTTGACGAGAAATTTGAGCATTGAGGAGGAGGGCTTCATTCTTCATACCAACACTTGACGTTAGCAAAGCATTCTAGACGAAGCTTCGGATGAATAGGTTATGCGCGTTGTCTAGATTCACATTGGCAAACACATGGAGCGTCATCAAAGGGGTGCTTTCATCTGATAATATACTAAAATGTTCTTACAAAAGCATTCAACATGAGGATCAAGAGTACGCAATCCTCTTATAACCTACATTATAGTTTACTAAGGGTACCTAATATGGATCAGATGAGGCTATATTCAGCAAGCAGCTACAACGTATGAAAGTTGTGAATTGCATCCTTACTTGATTTCTCTAAATGTATTTTTGAGTATATTGACTTTGGATAATGTGCGAATAGGGTGTTGAAGATAAAAATTTCACCATCTTCTGTTCATTGTGATACTATGTCAGTTTAAATTGCTTAACCATTTCATTCATAGTCATTCTTTTTTACTAGCTGATGACACGTCCCCAGACTGAGAATGTAGCACTCGATTATAATAGAAAAAATGGAGGGTTTTAAATGAGTCTCATGATTCTTTTCTCTTCAATGTAGAGGAAGGGCATCATCTAGGTAGAGGTATCTTTGGCTGATTAGGCAGCTTACTTTGTTTGTGATCTTTGGTATAACCCTCTATGAATAAGTCTAAACTTTTGTACGCAAAATAATTGTACTTTATGTGGTCTCTTTGTCAAAGGTGATCAAGTATGTGGTACCATTGTGCTCAAAGAATGGCATAATAGTGTTTAATCCATATCAACACTGTGCATACGAAACTTTAAGCTTTTTAAAGTACCATTCATGATATGTACGATAATCTTTTCCACATCCAAAATAAGGCCCATTCATTGGCTCCTTAGTTGTTGACATCTGTATTATTACTGCCTAAGCAATAATATTCAGAGGAATACTTGGACTCATTTTTCAGATAGCCCGTTTTCTATATCTATCTTAGCCTATTGCTATTCGTTGAATTGCTGATGTAGGATAACCAACTTTAAAAAAAATAATACACACCTCGACTAAAGTACATACTATCCTCAAGCTTAGCTTCGACGATCAAACTACCTATTACTGTAAGACTTGCTTTAAGTACAGAAACAAATAATAACCACGTCCCCATGCTTATGAGCTATGTAAATGGCGTGAACAAAGCTTTACCTCAATTACTTTCTTTCGAGATATTGGTAACTACTTGTATCGCATTGATGAGCAGTTTCAAGGTTCCTTCAATTGATGTTCCTTACAAAGACAGAACGGGCATCAGTCGTACGAATAGAAAATAAGCCTCGCTGAGACGCACATTGCTGAGCAGATTTTCTTACAAGTTCATCATGAAACATTTCAAAGCCCTGTAGTATGATATACACTTTTGGCTTTCTGTGGTAATGCTATCAAAAGCTTTATCCCCCTCTTCAAAGCAAGATTTTTGGACACTTCTACTTTATATAAGTATGGACAGTGAGAGTATAGTTGAGCCGATGTGAAAGTACAAAAAAATAAAAACATAGTCAAAGATATCGTAAGGTTCTGAAATTTGATATATAACTATTCTTGCAATAAGTACAAAAAGCTCGTAAAGACCATATAACGTCTACTTGATATATGTATATGATTACTGCTTCAAAAGTACATTGTCACAGAAAAGTTTTCTTTGCAAAATAATCAAGTAATCTGATCCATTTCCATTAGAAATGGACCTTTTTTTGGGGTCAACATTATTGTAATAGAATACAGTATTTACTAGAGTGATGCAGAAGAGTTGTTCAGGCTTTTTTTTTTTTTTTTTTTTTTTTTATTCTTTTTGCAGGAATTTCCAAATGTCACGAGCAGCATGATAAACAGTTTTTGTGGTTTTTTTTTTTAATATTCAGTCTTTCTTCTTCTTTCCCCACATTCATTCTTTCGAAATAATTAAGCTTATGTCGGTTCAGGACGCTTACAATAAAGTTTTTTCAAATTTTCAAAAAGTAAGAGACTATCTTGCTCCTGTACTGAAAAACTCCAAATTCAAAGAGACAGGCTGCATTACACCTGAGGAAGTAGGACATTATAACCTTCATTTGTAACTTCATCAACAAATAGTTTACTAAAATGACTCTTCTGCCATTGCGACGAGCAATTTAGTTTGTTGCTGCGGGTGACTTTCTAGTCTACAAATGCCCAACCTGGCAATGGTATGCAAGAAGAAAAAGGACTTTCTCTCTCGATTAGATAAGGATGGGAGTATTAATACAAGTACAACTTTTTAAACAATGAATAGGGAAGGAGGCATAGAAGAAAAGAAAAGAGATTTTCTACCCAGCGATAGACAGTTCTTAGTGACCAGAAATGGTAAGAGTAGATTGCTTTTAAAGCTCTCCTATCGTTGATGGCAGCAATGCTGATTCTTCTATTGTTGATATACCTATAGTACCTTGTATACGTCGAGCTCGTCAAATGGAGTATAGCGAAGGTGCTGATGAAGACGATTCGGAGACAGCCATTAAAGACGAGAATAACGTCGACGGTGAAGATTGGATGTTTACACATAGTAAGAGAGCAACAAAAACCATGGAAGAAATTGCACAGACGATCATGACCGAAGAAGAGGAAGCTGCTGAAATTAGAAAAGGGTTAGAAAACTTGAAAGTGGATGAGATACCCGATTTGGACGAAATACCTGACATTGATGATATACCAGATATGGATGATCAAGTGAATGAAGAAAGTGACCCCGTGAGTCTACATTGAGTGTTAAAAGCATGACAGCTTGTCGTTTGTTGCACTTTTTTTGTTAACCAAGTGTATCCTTTTTGTTTGTTTTTTTTTTTTTTTTAAATATACATAGGCCGTAGCAGAGAACGCAGTTGACACAAAGTAAGTTTGAGAGAAAACAACGGGTTTTATGCTTAGAAAGATGGATTCATACTCATCTGACGTCTTGACATCACCATCGCTCATTCAGTGACAGAATATTACAAGTGCGAACCTACGATGTATTCATCACTTATGACAAATATTACAGAACACCTCGTGTGTGGCTATTCGGTTATGACGAAGAACGACATCCGTTAACTTCTGCACAAGTTTTTGAAGATATATCACCTGATTACGTCAAAAAAACTGTAACAATAGAAAGCCATCCTCATCTATCGCTAAGTCTAGCCTCTATTCATCCATGTAAACATGCTGAAGTAATGAAGAAGATCATTGAAAGAATGGGCGACGGTAAATCAGCTGATATCGGTGGAAATGAAGTAGAAAGTGGAAGCAACAGCGGTATACGCGTGGATCAGTAAGTTTTGCCATTTAGGAATAGTACAGGGTGATGATTGTTCTATGGCTTTATCTCATACTTCCTCTCTTTCCATTCTTACAGATACTTGATTATCTTTTTAAAATTCATGAGTTCTGTCATTCCAACTATTGATTACGATCACACCATCAGCGCATGATGGATCGCGAATAGACATACAAAACAGATAAAATGACTATAGCATGTTTGCAATAAAACTATAACTTGCTTAGTAGACTGTGTTTTGTATAATAGGCTTTTATCTGCTTTCAACGTAAAGCCTCATTAGATAGATTATAACTATTGTGTAAATAATAACAGGTAAAAGGGAAGGGATTTACTTTTCGAGTAAAGGCAGAATGTGATAATGGAAGAAAACGACCAGAAAAGTAAGCGATACGGGATAAGTTATAATAGTGCGCGTTTTGTAAGGCTTTTTTTTTTTTTTTTTGTTGTCTACTCTGCTTCATCTAAGGAGTTTGTAGAATGTGGGATCTCTTCCAGCTTTTCAGCCTTTGCTTTTTCCTGCTTCTGAGCTAATGTCATTTCGGCCAGTTGAGTACGAAGTTTATCAAGCTCCATTTCAAGAACATGAATCTTTGTGTTTTTCTCTGTGATTTGACTCTTTAAATCCTCGTTTTCCTTCAAAACTTCCTTCAACTGTGTCTCAGACTACGGGGAGGAAAAAAAAAAAAAAACGGCACATCAGTAACTATTTCAAAAATTTCGAGCAAATAATTTTAGTTTACACTCTTCTCACTGGAGGCAGCAGAACCAGTCGTGGAGGTAGACTTAGAAGGATTGACATCCTCCACGGGTGTCGCAGTTGGCTTAAATTCTTTTTTAGTTTTGGCTACAAAGCCGGACTCCAAACTGATGAGTTTGGGGTTGGCATCCTTTCCGCCAAACCACTCATCAGCTGAAAGTGCAGGCTCATCGCCTGAACATGGAGGGAAGATATCATGTTGGAAAGCATCGGACTGTAGTATAGGCGTAGAACAAGATTAGAATGGAGCCCTTTCAAGTAGTCTTGTCTTTTGACTTATTTTTTTACCTTTCTGGGAACAATAAAAGAGATAGGTTCGATCATAGTGGCTCCCACCTTGTAAGCTCTTGCTACTTCACATTCACTCACGTTCACGCCGCGCTTTGGTAAGAAACCCATACCTCTTTGAGGATCAGTAGCCTTGTATTCGGAAAGGAAGTGTAGTTTATCGTCAGCATATTCAAAATAACGGATGTTGCCGTCACTACAACCAGTAGAAAGAGTGAAAATAGTAAGTTATCCATTGCCACATCGGATTTTTTTTCCCTCGCTTTCACAACTAACTTGATCTTTTACCCTTTTCCTGCAACATAGAGCATTTTAGTGTCAGTATCGTAGAAGGGCATGAGAACACCAGAAGAGGTATCTATATATTCTGATTTGAGAGGCTTGGCCAAATTTGTGGAATCCCACAAGTTCAGCTGACGATCACTCATACGGGAGAAACCCGTCGTGGCCAAACGATCACAGTCACCTAACCAAACAACACGAGAACCCTTAATACCTTGGTGCCCGGGTCCTTCTTGAACAATTTGGTTGGAACGAACATCAAACACGCGAAGCTTTTTATCTCTACAAGTAGTAGCCATCAACGAGCCATTATAGTTCCAAGCCATGGACTGAATGATTTCTGTATGACCCGTCATTTCTTGCTTTTCTACGCCTTTCTCAATATCCCATAGTTTGATGGTGAGGTCAGTACTGGAAGACGCCAACACGTTTTCTGCAACGGGGTGGAAAAGAACATGACCCACTTTACTAAAAAAATTATCAACATCAGTATATCATGTCTAAAAATTCTTTCAAACACGTCTCAACTTTGAGCAAAAAAAAAAAAGAACCAAAAATCATGTCTTACCGGCCATGTCCAGAAAGTTTTAATACAGGGGAAATATCCTCTTGCTCTTCAGCATATTCTTCGGGTATATTCCAAATCATAATTCTGCTATCTTCTGAGCCAGAAGCAATCACGTAATCATTAAAGGGGTTGAAGTCGGTATCAAGCACAGGGCCTGTGTGTCCACGGTAAAGTGGGTAATTGTCGGGTAACTTTCCTGTGACGATAGTAGAAAAAGACATTTTTATTTTTAGTACCTAGAATGATCAATAGATAATCGCATGCCTCTTATAGCGCAAAAAAAAAAAAACACATACCGACTTGCTTATGAGGAATAACGGCAAATGTACCACCTCCAGAAGCTTGCCAATTGACAGAAATGAAGAGCTTAAATGAAAAACACAAATTAAGGTTAAGATTCTAACCATCATAATAGCTTTCATAAGTATATCTATCTCTATAATAAACTTACAGGATTGGCCTTCACCATATTTGTGTCCCAAGCATTTGAACTGACGTGAACATTGTCATAACAGTTCTCCCTCTTGGCTAAGCTACCATAAACATGACGGTATTTTGAAGGACGAACAAAGAATGCCATTCTCTAAAACTTTCTTTATGGTATTTCTAAACTATCAAATTCAGCTATTAGGTTTGAACGAAAGGGCCAAACAGAGGATTTACTCAGTCAATAGAAGCACTGTATTTCCTTTACTCTTGAGATGGAGAGAAGATGAGGAAAGGAAAGAAAAACAAAAAAGTTGGAAAAGGTAAGCACATTTAGAACCGTGAAATCCAACAGTTAGTGATCACCGACGCCCCCAAATGTGTAAAAAAATATAAAAAAAACAAAGTCCGTAACTGGGTGCTCCTTATTCCTGCTGGCATGAAAAGGCATCTGGAACATAAAAAATTTGACTTTTTGACAATAACAGTATACTTTTTTGGTTGCCTTATAAATAAAAGCTGTACACGACCGTAAAGGTATAGCATCAATTTATTGCAAATTGGGAGATGTCGGTAGCCTTTTCATTAGACTGATAAATTTAAAATGTGTCTAATGATCCGTTTTCTGTTTCTTCACCACTTGCTCTTCGGAACGGTGGGTTGTTTCCATTGTGGACGCATCTTCATCCTCTGCTGCTGCTTCTGCTTCTTTTTGCTGTTCAATATCATCCTCTTCAACAGTAGTAACCTTTTCACCACTCTTGCTTATCGCCTTTTCTTTTTCTAGCAGCTGGGTTAAATACACGTTAATCTGATCTCTCAACATATTGACGTGATCTGTCAATGGCCTTGTTTCATCCACTGGCACTTTGATTAGATGCTCTGTGTTGGATGAGGTATTCTTATAACTTGCATTCAAAGTTGACATTATCGTCTCCAAGTAGATTAGCTGTTTTACTGTTATTATAAAGAGATGCTAAATCTTTCAACTGAACGAGGAAAAAAAAAAAAAAAAAAAAATTAAAAGGAGATAGACCGGATTTAGCCTGAGCTTAAATTGCTAACATAACCAAGCTTTACTCTTTCAAGATACATCTACACTAAGTGAAAGGTCTAATTCGAATCTACAAAACGAATAGTTATCATCCTTATAAACAGTAGCCATACTTAGGGCAACACAAATAGATGTTACATTGGATGGGGGAAGCTACGTGCTCTTTAAATTTCTTGCTTAAAAGAACCCTTCGCATAAAGGAAAATGATAGCAAAGATGCTTACAAGTACAACCATCTGTATCTATTGTTCAATTGAGTTAATGCCGTTTGCTATCTTCCCAATTTTCAAGGCAGTAAGTAGAAGCGAACAATGTCAATGCTTCAATTGAATATTGCTCGAATGTGATTGGAAGTTTGGTCTCTCAAATTTTAAGATTTGATTTTCCGCAGCCTGTGCCGGCCTTGAAGGAAGGTCTGTTAAATATCCATGAGGAAGCTTTAACATACCATCCTCTTTTTCGTGATTGCCAAAGGTATATATAACTATCATGATCGATAACAAAACGACACAATTGTAGAATAGAATATAGTGGATTTGTCTATAAAGAAATGGATGGATAGGATATCGACAAAAAATGGACTGGATAAGCGTTAGAAACCGATATTATACTTGTTGTAAGAGCAGTCATTGCATCCATTAACAATGATACACAACGACATCAATCCATCCATCAAATACGTTAAAGGTTCATTCAAACAAAGTTCATCCATTGCTCGAAACTCGGAACTGTTCAAAATAGAGTAGGAAATGCTGCGATGTCATTGTTCCATTCTATACAGATCGCATGTGAAAGCAGATTATTGATTTATGCAACTGAGAATGCCACACATGTCAGATGAACATTATGGAATCGCTGGAAAGTTATTCACCAGGCTCATCATGCCTCTAACCTATGTACAACCATTTGGCATTTTTTCAACGTTCGAAATGAACATTGATTGTACATTCAAACTTACAAAACCACCTTTGCTGATTGTCGATGTTATGTTGAACCGAACACTATATTCTATTTCTACAAATGTGCACGATGTTTTAAAAAGAGAATTATATTGAGTTTTTGGATTTAGATTGTTAACGGTATCGCTATTTTTGCTTTAGCTATAATGCCTCACGCACCTAGAAACAGCTTCCTTGTTCCTGGCGTTTCTCGCTTCTCTCGTTCTTCTGCCTACGCTAAGAAGGCTCAATACAAGCGTAAGCAAACTACCGTTGCCGCTCCCGCTAAGACTGAAGCCGCCGACAAGACCGTCGAAGTCAAGGGTGCTAAGAATGGTGGTAAGCGTACCGTTCCCGCTCAAAAGGCTCCTCGTTTCTACCCCGCTGAGGATGTTGCCAAGCCCAAGGTCAGCCGTAAGGCCGCTCCCAAGACCAGCCTCCGTGCTACCATCACTCCCGGTACCGTTGTTATCCTCCTTGCCGGTCGCTACCGTGGTAAGCGTGTTGTTGTCTTGAAGCAACTCGAATCTGGCCTTCTCCTCGTCACTGGTCCTTTCAAGGTCAACGGTGTTCCTTTGAGACGTGTCAACCAAGCTTATGTCATTGCTACCTCCACTAAGCTTGATATCTCTTCCATCAAGGTTGATGAAAAGTTCAACGATGCTTACTTCAAGAAGCCCGCTAAGGCTGAAAAGGCCTTCCTTGAAGGTGAACAAAAGAAGGCTGCCTTCCCCGAATCCAAGGCTGCTGACCAAAAGGCTGTTGATAAGGCTCTCCTTGAAGTCGTTGCTAAGACTCCTTTCATGCGTCAATATTTGTCTTCTACCTTCGGTTTGACCAAGGGTCAATTCCCCCACGATATGAAGTTCTAAAGCAATAAAAGTTTGATTCATTTCACTATGGTTTTATAACTTTCATTTCTCGTCCTTTCTTTTACATAGTTCCAAAACTTTTTTTGAAATAAACTATACTTTATTATATTCGTAAGGAGATTTTGAATTAGACGGTTTATAGCTTTAGGGTCCTTTTGCATAAATAATGCCCTATGTTGCACTTGGGCGCCTTTTGAGACGACTAACAATGTTGTCAAAAAAAAGGTGGGATCCAATTTTCCAAAAAAGGAAGTAGATCCTTTTGCCAAATTAGGAATTCAACATGACATCACTTCCATGATTGAACTGAAAAAGCAAAGAAAAAGAAAAAAAAAAAAAAAAGCCCGAGGAAAAAAGTACACGCACGAAATTCTTTTCCATTTCCTTTTTCCTTTTCTTTCACTAGTATACCTCCAGACTATGAAGATTTTTACTTTATCTGCTATTATCACCGCAGTATTGGCGTCAGTTGCTCAAGCTGATATCACAAGGTAATGCATAGATTGATGAAAAAGAGAATCTCAGTCATGTACAGCTTCTGCAAGATTTAGGGTTTTTCCCAAATTTATTTTTGCCCCCCCAATTATGCATGACGACCTTTCAGTGAATATGTTTGATATTAATCATCTTATCTTATTCTGCACAAAAATAAGGATTCCTATTAAGAAAGTTCAAGAGTCACCCGCACAGGCTTTTCAACGTTATGCTCATACGGGTGAGTACTTGACTCAAAAATACTTTGGAAGTTCCCGTCAACAAGATAAGACGATTACACCATTTCAAGTAAACCCCGATGGCAGCGTTGAACATGGTGTCCCTATCTCAAACTATATGAATGCTCAAGTAAGTATATTCCCTATTTCATTGAACAGCTAATTCAGCTTGAAATTCTAACTGATCTCAACTGGTTGAACAAACAAACAAACAAACAAACAAACAAAATATTAAATTATAGTATTATGGTGATATCGAAATTGGTACACCTCCTCAAAAATTCTCTGTCGTGTTTGACACCGGTTCATCCAACCTTTGGGTTCCCTCCACACACTGTACCTCCATTGCTTGTCTCATGCATAGCCGTTATGACTCTAGTCAGTCGAGTACTTTTGTGGAGAATGGTACCGAATTTAAAATTCAATATGGTACTGGCTCATTGGAAGGTTTCATTAGCCAAGAAACACTTCGCGTAGGTGGCATCAAGGTTGAGAACCAAGGATTTGCCGAATCAGTGAAAGAGCCCGGTTTCACATTTGCTTTGGCTCGTTTTGATGGTATTTTTGGCCTTGGTTATGACACCATTTCTGTTAAACATACTGTTCCTCCCTTCTATCATATGGTCGACAGAGATTTGGTAGATGAACAAATGTTTGCTTTTTACTTGAATGACAACAGCAAGGATGACGGTGCCAGTGGTGAACTTGTTTTCGGCGGTGTTGATCCTGATCATTACAAAGGAAACATTACTTGGGCCCCCGTTACAAGGAAGGGATACTGGGAAATCGAGCTTGAAGACATCAAGTTTGGCGGTGAATATATCAACTTGGATCGCGTCGGTGCTGCTATTGATACAGGTTCCTCTTTGTTGATTGCTCCCACTACAGTGGCTGATTTGATCAATCATGAATTGGGTGCTCAGAAGAACTGGGCTGGACAATATACTCTTGACTGCTCGTCAGTGCCTACCCTCCCTGAATTCTGTTTCGTGTTCAATGGACAAGACTTCTGCTTAAAGGGTGAAGACTATGTTCTCCAGGTTCAAGGCCAATGTATGTCAGGTTTCATGGGTATGGATATACCTGAGCCTGCTGGCCCTCTTTGGATTGTTGGTGATGTGTTCCTTCGCAAATTCTACAGTGTTTACGATCTGGCAAATAACAGGGTTGGTCTTGCCAAGGCCAAATAATTTAGAAGCTACACAACATTTTGTAAAACTGACATATATATAAAACTCATTTCACGCTGAACATTTAAAGTTAACTTATCACTTTTTTATGACCCTACTGTTCTCTTGTTTAAATAAAGGAACTTTATCATTTTATATGCCCACATTTATTAGATGCTCTCTACATCGAATCATTTTGATTTTCATGACAATAATATCTGAAGAGAAGCATTACACCATAAAGGCAAACAAAGCTGTGATGCTGAGTGCTCCAAGGACATAGGAAATAGGATTGGGTGAAAGGTGAATGGCAGAAGAGGAAGAACCAGAGCCAGTAGTGTTTGGTTGTACAGCAGCAAGCGTCTTGCTTGCCTCTGCTATAGCACTTTTGGCAGAAGCTCGATATTCAGAAGGAAGTGCGTCTGCTAAGCTCGATGCCTAAAATCAATAGCAGATCAAAAAATGAAATAAAAATGGGTCAATCACAGCTGCCGTACGCTAAAGTAGAGTTTGCCTTTCTATTTTATTTTTACCTGAGCTATGTAAGATTGGGCCGCAGAAGGGTTATTGATAATGCTGCTAGCAGCTGCGGCCACTTCAGGGGGAATCGAAACATCTGTTGGAATAGAAATACCATCCGGAAGAGTAACTGAGGCTTTTCGCGGACAAGAAGAGGGGCAGGCAAATACCGTAAATAAAGATATTACAATTGTTGTCTAGCAATAGATCCTACCTTGTTGAGCGTATACCGTCGCTATAAGTCCTACGATAAGACCAATGAAAGCGTATGACTTGATCATGATCGACTATAAGAGTTTTGTTTAAAAAAGAAAAAACCAGAAAAGAAAGGCCAAAGAAGAGGGCTTTTTGTACTTTCTTAAAATAGTGCTCCTCTTTTCTCCTGTTACTGCTCTTATGGTAATTAACCTTTTTTAGGAGTATGATAATGGATGTTGCACTCTAATGCGCATCAAAGTTTTTTAGTGTCAATATTTCCCAATTAGAAATTCAACGGTGAAACGCGACTGAATGGGCATCCCCTTATTTCAAATTTACTACCATTATCACCATTCCCATTAAGGATGGTCTTGTGGTCTGGACTGTAGTTCATTCGTTTTACAATCTGTTCATAAAAGATGGACTCTACAGGTTCTTTATAAGATTCCTCGGTCGTATTATTGTACTACTTTTTTTCGTCTCAATTCGTGTTCTATGGTTTTCTTGCGTCTATATCAACAGTTTGAAAAATTAGTAAAAACTGCTGCATCCAAGAGATAAACTTGAACCAACAAGTGATGTCTATCGATCGTGAAGAATAAGTTTAAATAATTAAACTAGATTTAATCTTATTTTATTGTGATTGTGCTCTGTAATATTGAACTCTCGTATAAAGTTAATGCTAGTTAATCTATCACACAGGCGTAAAAGGTAAAGCGAGTTCAGTAAAAATGATGGTCGCATCAGTATCCATTTTATTGATGGATATACTTCCTTTTTTCCGACCACCTTTTGAGAATAGATTGGATGGCAGAGTCAAAATCCCAGTGAAAGCAAGGGTATACATCTACAGGCGTGCATTTTGATGCAGAGGTTTCTATCTTACAATGGCAAGATTGAGGGTTATGTGCGAAATTACTATGTTGGCGGAACATGAAGGCTTTGTCAGGCATTTCGAGTTTCATGGATTCAACTGGTGAACTACAGCGTAGGTTATCACGTGGAACGTCTTTGATAACAGTCATAGGCGGTGAACAAAAGGTATCCTTTAGCTTTTCATTTTGAGAAACAATCGATATGAGAGAACAGTCATCATTCTCATCCGAACTTGTCGAGTTGATTAATGATGGCAAATCATCTTGGTCTTTCGAATCTAAAGAGCCAAAGCCTGCGTTTACGAGTATTGAGCGGGTAGATAGATTTTGTAACCCGACAAAGTGCCATTCAACAGCGTGGCCTGCATATCGGTCAAGGGTGTCTTTGGTTATAGTAAGTGCTTTAACTGCTGTGGCGTCTACACGACTCACAGCTGCAAAGTCAATAATAATAGCTTGCAAAATAGGCAGCTGTAGCTTATTTGATATGGATTCGAGAGATTCCCTAGGATCATTCCAATTCCTCTGACTGTCCTTTTCATCCTCGTTCAATGAAACCCCACCCCGTGTTTTGAGCTTTACTGCGTTGACTATTGCACCTGATATGTATTCTGCATTTGGATACAAAATTGAATCACATAACTGTAAAATAAGGACACCTGAGGGTAGATTATTCCTATAACCTATAAAGTTTGGATCTTTCTCGTCAACAAACAGATACTGACGTCTGGACTCCAAGATATCCATATTGATAGTTTGGTCACTATCGCTATCTGATGATATTTGATGATTGTATTGTCCTTGGCTGATCGTGATCCTGGATATCGTTTTAATAGGCGGCCGGGCTAAACGATATAGCAATATGATCAACGAAAGACCGACAGCAGCGTAAATGCCTGACTCAATATCAACGAATACTGTAACTAAGACGGCAGTTATCCAAACTAGAAATTCTACACAGCTTGTGGACCACAGTGCAGTCAAGTATTTGGCTTTGGAAGCAAGATCTGATACAGCGTGTATAATCTAATGATTCAAGGCCTAAGATTAGCATCGGTCATCAAGATTGTACAAGCCAAATAATGTGTTACTAACCACTGCTGATAGCACCGCTTCTGGGATGTAATAAAAAGCAGGTGTGAGTACATACAGAGCGAGCACGACAATTGCTCCCGAAAATACACCGGCAATCGGTGTTCTAGAACCTGATCGTGCCATAATCGCTGTACGGCTAAATGCACCTGTACATGAAAACCCTCTATATCAAGTTTACATTAAACAGAAGGGAAATGTTTCAACTACATGTCTAACTTGCAATGAATATTTGATAAATACTTACCCAAAGAAAGGATTAAGGATATTACTGATACCGACAGCAAGAATTTCTTGGTTTGGGTTGACCTGATAGCCATTGATTCTCCCGAATGATTTTCCAACGGAAACATGTTCTAAAACCGAAATCAAAATGATGGAGGGAATGACGCTACTTGCTTCTCGAACAACCTCTATATGGAATCTAGGAATACCAATAGCATCAAGCCCAGCAGGTACTGACTTGATAATTGAAAGTCCAATATCTTCTTTGTTCCTGATCACCATAAAACAGATAAAAGTACAAATGATGACAATAAGACCATTTCTCATTATACCAAAAAGAAACAACATTCTTTTTGAAAAAGGAGAATTGCAGTTAAAACGGTTACAAATGAATCGGACCAAGTACAGAAACACGAGTGAAGATAAGCCAAATGCAGCGTCTAGTTGGGTATTTTGCAGTTTCGTCAAAAATTGGGTGAGAACCAGATAAGGGGCATCATGTGTTGAAACATCTTTGATGCCAAATAATTTGGGACATTGACCAAGTACGATAGTAATTGCTGAACCCGTCATATACCCTGCGATTGCAGGCTCTAATGCGATAAACACGAGTTTAACAATATAGATAACCTTTATAATATATTCTGATTTTGAAAGTATCTGTACCTGGAATAAAGTCGATAAGGATGCCTAAACGTAGGAGGCTCATAATAACCATGACGAGCCCCGAAAACAATGTGAGAGTGATAGCTATTTCTACAGGCGGTATTTCAGGGTATATTTCAGTTACAGTATGTACAGCTGAGCCAATTAATAGCGATATCGTAGCTATTGAAATATTGTTCTTCATGTTAATTTCAACAATATTATAAGTCTTGAAATAGTAGTTCGTTCTGACTTACAAACAGGGCCAACGCTAATATCTTTCGAAGTTCCAAAAAGACAATAAATACTGGAGCCTATGAAAGATGTGCTATAATTTTGAATTGGTTTAACACTGAATACTTGACTTTCTGAAACATGACTTCCGGTTGATTACTCACTATAAACCGTATTGAGGGGGAAGGTTTGCAATTTTGGCATATGCCATGCTTTGAGGCACAAGTACAATTCCAACGGTAACGCCAGCAATGATATCTTGTACTAGCCACTACAGACATGCCTCGGATCAAACGTTAGAGTTGTTCTCCGTACTAACATTCAATATCATTGCTAATACTTACAGTTAAATTATATCTGTGTATCCACGTTAAAATAGGCAGTATATCCTGAAAGTAGCGTTTCAAAGAGATGGGTACTGATTGATATGTCCTTGCTAGCTTCTGCTTAAAAGTAATTGGCGTGTAATTGATAACTATATTATTTTTCGTCATACCAAGAACTATATTCAGGTAATCTGAAGTAATAAGATGGAGAAAGAGAGAAAGAAGAAAAGCACAAGTAAGAAAAGCTCAGATATATATTAGCGTATTGTTTCTATAATTGTTGCACTATTACATGAGTGAAGTAAACAAGGGAGTAGCTATTTAATGACTCACGGCGTTAAATATCTTACTCTTGAACAAGGATAGATTTTACTTATACAGATATGATGCCCTGTTAAATTTTAAGAAAAAACTTTTCGATTTCTTGCTTTAAAACTATATTTCGTTACGATTTTGGCTAAAAGAAGGCAGATAGCTTAACGATGATGTTAGTTGTGTAGTAAATATCACGGCATTAACTTTTAATAAATCCACGCACTCAATATTTGATGATCATGACCGTCTTCAAATACAAGCATTTAATGTTGTTACGAGACAAGCGTACATGATAAGTTAAGACTTGAGAAGATGTCAATTAACAAATCTTTATTTGTTGAATCAACACAATATCAGTTTCGTTCGTTTAAGGTTGATGAACTTTTCGGCTATACATGCACCATTAGAGTTTATAATGATAAGAGTGTACAGATTTGCCAGATCACGCTATACAGCTTCCCTTTATCCGAAACGTACCAAATACATGTAGCATTCCAGGTTTTTAGTCTTTCCGGCTGTTGTGCTATGAGATCAACCTATTACAGAGATGATCAATCTGTTAAATGTATAAATGTGTAAACATAAGTATATGTGTTCCTTTTTCAGTAACTTGAAACTGTTTGAAACCTATAATCTTCTTTTATTGTAGGTTTACCATTAATTTACAGCAATTCCATTCTTTTTTATTTTACCAAATTAAGTAAGCTTTTTTCGGTCTTTTTTTTTTTTTTGCCCTGATTCCCATATCAATGCCCACTTCCCACGTCGAAGACCGATCAGTCAACCGCTTTCATTGTGGGGAAAACAAATTTTTACTCCCGCTCTTGGTAACAAGTTAGTCCAGTGGCTCACTCAGGACTAATCTAGTCCTGGATTTACCTCCCTTCTCTACTGCCTTTTTCCTTTATTGACTATCAAAAAGGTTTTTTAGCACCCTTTCCCTTATATTTGATCTGACCCGGGCAATTCAATCTCATAATGATTATGTGCTCATGCGGGATTAAAATTATTTGCCAATAAAAATCTTGTTTAATCGTAATCAAATTTTTGTTAAAGCTTTGCTTTTCTAGTGCCTTTTATTTATACTAATTCAACTATCGAAGAATGACTATTAAGGCTGTAATATTTGATATTGGTAAGACTGGATCTTGTGCTTAACATTTAATATAGATACTTAGTATAGATTGTTAGGTGGCGTTTGTGTAGGATCACCAATGGCTGGTATTCGTAAATATGAGATTCAAAAAGGATTGCCAAGAAATTATATCAATGTGGCCATGTGAGTTCATTCCTGATGCCTACCCTATTTAGTGTCCACGTTCTAAATTAAATACTTTTGAAAAGTGTCAATCAGGGTGAAAATGGTGCCTTTCAGGTCTGTACATAAACAATGTGTTCTACACATATTTGATTTGCGTAAATCAAGGCACTTTAGTAACGCGCAGATTCAGAAATTGGAAAGAGGGGAAATCAAACTTGAACAATTTTACAAGGATTTCAGCTCGCAATTATCAGATCCAGCGAACAAAGAGCATTATAAGAAATACATTGCAAATTTAAGAGGAGGAGGAGGTAATAGCTATAGTTTAGCTTCTTAAAACGAGCCTCCTCATAGTATACAAGTTAACATACAATCTCAAATAGCTGTACCAGAAACTATTCCAGATGTTTTGGTGGATGGTAAAGCGCTCTTTATTACCATGATGTCAGAAACAGCCAAGTTAGATCCCCATATATACACTGCAATTCAAAAACTCAAAGGTACAGTTTATAACATACATCTGAACAAACAACTTGATAACATCGCAGTTGAAAAAAACTACAGTTGATAATATCAAACTTGCTAGCTAGCAATCATTTCAAACTTGCTGCTTTGACAAACAATTTTGAATTGCCAGAGGACGATCTCAGAGAAGCCGAAGCATTAGGTGCATCAGCAACAGAGAAGCTACGCAACTTATTTGATTACTTTATCGAATCGCGCTTGATAGGTTTAAGGTATAGGATTATTCCGTCAGTTCGGCCACAAAGAAAACAACATCCATTGAATGAATACTTTTTGATTTCCATGCACGATAATCAGAAAGCCTGATCCAAAAATATATCAATATGCCTGCAATTTAATTGGCATTAAACCGGAGGAGGCGATCTTTTTAGATGATATTGGTATGAATTTACGATCAGCTCATTCTCTGGGAATGAAAACAATCCGTAAGTACAAAATAGATTACATAATGTATAAGAGCATAACCATGCTATAACACTGTTGGCCGCCATTATTGACGTAATTGCTCTGCATTTAAATATTATTATTGTTTTATATGTATGTACATTTCCCCTATCGTTTCATAATGAGATTCAGAGGTAAAAATAGGTTATTCACGGGAGGCAGTTCAGCAGTTGGAAAAGTTGACAGGTCTTGATCTGCACAGCAGAAAACACGGCACCAATCTCTAAAAGCTAATGCATGGAAACAATGCAGCATCATACACCACATGCACTTTACGTCCAATCCTAAGTATTTCATCTGCCTTGAATAATGATGGCTATAGACAACGCACATGAAAAAATAGGAGTGATTTAGTTACTACTATCAACACAGGCAAACTTTTTTCTTCGTGTTTATCCTGTATAAATAAATGCACTTGCGTGGAGAGGGGAAATAAAAAAAGAAAAGAAAAAAACTTACCATCACTATGTTATCTCCTTTTAATTGTTCATTCTGAGAGTCTATCCAAGTTGTTAAAGCCTCCTTGACCAGTGAGTCGGGAGCCACAGCAAACTTAACCTCATGTTGATGCTCTTGCTGTTGTCCTTTTTGATGCCACAAAAAGGTGAAGCCAAACCGTCTTTGTCTTTCTGGTGTTTTTTCAGTGACGGAAACAATATTCAGTTTAAGCATTAATTTCTGTTTGCCAGTATACGAATCCGTAGTTTTGAACAGGAGATAAGGGTGTTGATTAGATAAGCTGATACTGTTTGCTTTGATTATTAGGTACTGATTTAATTGAAATGATCGTTTTAATAACCCTTTCAAGCTTTGATTTGTTTTCTATCATATCAGAAAAGCGAATCAGATCAGTATGAATAACGCTGTTAGACCATCGTGTTCAAGAAGGTTACCTTTTGGACATTTATCAGTGGCGGCAGGTCTAAATCAAGGATTAAATCTGATTCTGTATCTATCTTTCCGTCATATCGGTTTCGACTTTCAGCTGGAGAATCAGGTGGTGGGGTGATTAGTCCTGCATGATTATGGGAGTTGGCTCCACTTTTTATCACAGCATCTGTCGACACAGAAGTACACTCTTTATGATTAGATTCTTCGCTTGATAGGGTTGCTTTACTGCTGCATTTCGCTGTATCAAGCATATTCATATTTTTATTAATGCTGGTTATTTTTTCCATAGTAGTTAACGATGCATCCTTGCGTATAGCGATATGAATTGTCGCTGGGTATATCACTTCTTCTTCATCATCATCATCATCATCGTCGGTGCTGTCATTGTTATCATCATCATAAATTACTTCATGGCTGCTTTCAACCGATTTGATAGGCTGTGAGGGTTTTGGAACTAGTACCGAACGGCGTTTCATATGCTGAGCTTTTCGTCGGTCTATGGTTGCTTTTCTATTTGGTTTCACATAGATCATATGTTCATTTTTCGCTTTGCTGTATTTGTATTCATTCTTATCCATTTCCACAATGATCGTGTCAGTGCTTGCTCGTCGGCCAAGATAAGGTATGTCAGATTGAAACCGAACAGATGTTGCACGGTCAATGACTCGATAAGAGTGGCCGTGATAAGTGCTGTTTCTTGAAAGAGGTGTATTCCTCTCTAAATAGTACAAGTGGGGTTTTTTAAGTTATTGTGTGTACACAATGATTTCTCCTTTTTTTTATGTATTACCTTTATTCTTGCCACCGCCTTTGTCGTCGACGACGCCAATCAAGTGACTTGTTAGGCTATTATTACTGCATTTACTATTACCGTTTAATAATGGAACGAGCGTTGCATCACTACAGTCACTTTGCCTACTATTCCTGTTGTCATAATATCGACTATTTGATTTTCTGTCAAGAACATGATTCTTATGGGAGTCCTCAGAATCAAGTAGTTTTACAATCTTAACATCAAAAAGGGATGTTTTCTTCTTTTCCAACAAATAGTCTAGTCTAGCCTGAGCAATTTTCGATAACTCAATCACTTTCTTATACTGCTCTCTATCCTCTTCAGAATTTAAAAGTGCTGCTAGCTTTTCCAATTCTTTCTGCTGATGTTGTATTGAGGACAATAAATTGACTTGTGAGCAAATGTCATTGCTTATTGACAGAGTACTCATTGCTTCTACTGATAGCCTTGATCAGTTTTAGACCGAAATTGGATGATAAACAAAAGAAAAAGAAAGGAAATCAATTGTATGAAAGTAAAGGAAATAAACTTTCTATTATTTGGGTTTATTTTTATCAAACGTGAGGCTACTGCATGTGTTTTCCTTACAAACTTTAGCCTTTTACTTTTTTGGTTTTGGAAGGGCGGGAGGAACTGTATGTCAGTTTCTTAATTTATCTATGACCCCCTCCTTTATTTTTCTTTCATCCGAGAGATCCTTTATAGGATAGTATTGCAGTCAATGAACGCATTTCATTATCAAAAAAAAAAAACTGATTGTCTTTTCTCGAAAAAGCAATATTTTTCTCAGATTGCAATAAAGAATGGATTATTTTGGTTCATTTATATCAAATGAAACAAAAGGTCAAGGTTATCCTGTTCCTCGATACATTATTGTTTGTCGTCGCACAAACCATGCCTGACAATAATACTGTTCCTACATAGCAGCATTTGACCTTTTCCCCTTTCCAAACGATGGTTAGCCCATATTTTGATACTGAAAAATTTGACTATGTACATTAATTTATTGATAGACGTTGTATGGCACTATCAAGACTGTACTTTACGCAATAAATTACGCCTCACTCTAAGTGCATTTGCGCCCGCGCCTTCAGTATGTTCCTGGGTTATATAAGGTACCTTCTTCCATACGACATTCGCTACACCTGTTCCTTTTTCTTGTCGACGATCCAGCATAGCCCACAACGGTAGCTGCATTTCGCCTTTTACAATACTTGTCACCTTTTTCAGAGTGTTCCCCGGTACGGGTGTGACTAATAAGAATGCATGGCGCGCAGGATCGACCGCTCGAACAATAGCTAAGCCATAGCATGTTTTCTCACGAGGATTTGGTGCTGGTTGATCTCCTGTATGGCAGTAATTGGGAGGACTCTATGGGGGGTATACAAGTAGGTGAATTTCAGTCCAAAGATTAGTATCATTACAAAGTAGTCGTCTAGGCAACATTAAAATCACAGAATTGAACAACTTACAAAGCTGTCATCCTCCGTTGACACATTGTTGGTGGGTCCTGGTAAAGGTTGATAATCCCTCATGTCACCCATCAACCCCACCAAGCTTCCATTTAATGCATAGAGTAATTCATTGTGTTTCACTTCTTCGTAGAGTACCCATACTTCATTCAAATTTCGTCGCCAATCAACGACCCACGGCACACGATGCACAATATGTTCCTGAAAGTCCCATTCTGACATAACAGCATTTGTCATGGTCGTTTGTTGGAAATAGGATCCTAATGCCATCTCCCGTAAATGGGTAGCAGTAAAATTATCCGCCAAGGTAGTAGTTGTATTCGGGTCCCGTAATACACAATCTAGATAACGAAGAGCGGGTGTTTTACCATATCCATGAATGGTGGATACAGGCGCATGACTGTTCTGAGATAGAATGTCCATTTCAAAAGTCGGTGGCAAGTTACGGTAGCTTAACATATGATGACGCATGGCAAAGATGTCGGTAGGGCGTATTTTTTGTATTTGACTGACAAGTAAATTATATCCCTCGCCAGATATCCAACCTTGTGTATTCACAATAAGAGGGGTAAAACCTTCTTGTTTGTCCTCACCTGACTTGAGGTATTGTTCGTGATCATGTTTCCAATGGTCAACAAGTTCGAATATACAAGCCAAGTAATAGTCAGGATCATGACGGCAAGAAGTAGACCCGAAAAAGAAGCTTCGTTCTGGCTCTAGATGCTGATGTGTATAAGGAGGACCTAAAATAGGCTGTGTTATGTAGTGTAATGACAATAATCCGGCCGGTGTGAATTCACTTTGTCCAACATCAGTTTCAATGTAAGCTACGCGTTTGTATCTGGATAAAAGGCGATTGATGTAATATCGGGCAAAAGAGGATTTGCCCATGTCCTTAGCGCCGCAAATGACACTCACAGGAGGGCGCTCCTGCTCCATGGCAGCCTGTATGGATTGATTGGCTTGGATTTCCCAGCTTGACTCAATTTTGAAGGCTTTGATGCCGGGTATCGGTAGTTTCAATATAGCGTGGAAACCATCCAAAATTATATCTTTTACAGTAGAGCCATGGAATACATTGGTGAGACGTGCAGCTGCTATGGCGTTGCTGTTGTTGTCGTTGATCTTGCCCTGCTGAGATGGTAATTCGTTTTTCATAAATCGGATCAAATTTTTGGTGGAACAAGGCACACAATTGCGTAAATCTTCAATGCTGTTTTCGCTGTCTAGATCACGTAGAATAATTACAGATTCGAACTTGTTCAAATCATTTTTGAAATCGTCCAATACTGCTTCCATCAACTCTTTACTTAAATCTAATGAAATATCTGATGATTCTAATATAGAAGGTGCGTCAAGTGATTCGGAATGTATACTGAGTACTGAATGTGTACGGGGTGAATAAACTGGGTAAAAAGCTACAGATAGGTCGATATCATTTCTTCTTTCACTTGGTGAAGGTATCTCTCTTTTCGATGAAATTACAGCTCCCGCAATTGAAATAGCTCCATATAACGGTGCAACAAGGACCTGTCCCATAAATGTGATGTATTCTTCCCTTTTTAATCCGACAAATAAATAACGTCTGCCATCGTACTCTATAGTGCAGGTATTGTCATTGGTGGGTACATATCGACTCACTGAATTGAAATCCAACAAGGGAGGTCTATTTGCAAATAATTTGATTAAATTATATGATTTGATCCTATTGATCCCTTCATCCAATCTTACATTTTTCTTGATCTAGATGGCATCAACGGTGAGGCTTGGTCAGGAGTCATTGATACAGAGGGTGTCGTATTTCCACTAAGAGGAGTTATGATGTGGTCGTCTTCATCGTTATCCTCTTCCTCGCCTGTATAACTCTTTAATTCAACACCTTCTGAATCAGATAATTCGTCAGATGTACTGTTGATGATGATAACTTCCTCCTCTTCTACCTCAACCTCAGGTTTGTACAATCCACTTTTCATTGCAGCTTGTCTTGCTGCAATAGCACTCATAGGTGCAGTCGACACTACTGCTGCTATTGAAGACGCTACGTTAACTAATGTCAAGCGTGTAAGAAAAAAAAAAATACCATTATAATAAACTATTTACTTTTTGCAACTTTCAAGACTTGATCCTGCCGATCTGATTGATTCTTTCTTTTAGCAGACATGTTGATGATCGATGAGCACTGTTTAAAAAGATTTATTATCGTTTATGGTAAAAAATACAACAGTTGGGCATCTTCACAAAAAAAAAAAAAAGCCCGGTCACGATTTTCCCGCATTTGCATATGGTGTAGCGGAATCAAATTAAAAGTAATAGATTATGCAATTTTGACAAGCTGCAAATTTTAAAGTTGGGGTTTCTTTTTTTTTTTTTTCCCTTTTTTATGACAAATTAACCCAATTCAGCATTATAGTGTAATGAACAGGGACAATACTAAAGGCCGTATACATTACACAACTGATATTTTGAGTGGTTTATCACCGCTGATATTGACTGAACATGAGGCTGAGAACGAAGACTACAATGCTATGCATGAGGCGAATGGAAGCACTGACAGAGGACCTTTTGACACGAACTTGATCAAAAGATACGACCCAAAGGACACAGATTTGAATAGTTTACTTGAGAATAATCGTAAATGGGCATCAGCTGTTATGAAAGAGGACCCAACAATATTCGGTTCGATAGCTCATAAACAAGAGCCTAAATTACTGTGGATTGGTAAAAAAAACGATTTTTAGTCCTCTTACAGTAGTAGAAGCCCTTTTATTGACAACGTCTCTATACCATTCAAGGCTGTGCAGACTCAAGAGTACCAGCAAACGTGATACTGGCCCTACCGCCGGGCGAACTGTTTGTGCATCGAAATATCGCCAATGTGGTCATCAATACCGATCTGAATTGCCTATCCGTACTACAATATGCAGTGGATGTATTGAAAGTAGAGCATATCATCGTGTGTGGACATTATAATTGCGGCGGTGTTGCTGCTGCTTACGGTAAAGAGCAATATGGTATCATCGATAATTGGTTAAGATCTATCAAAGATGTGTACAGACGTAGGTGCTATTCAACTTTTTTTTTTTTGAAAATGTATCACACACTTTAGTTTGACACATTCAGATGAACTCTATTTATATGGCAACAGTTCATCGTGAGGCAATAGAAATTCTACCGACAGATAAAGAAAGAATCGAAAAGCTTGTTGATCTGAATGCGATACATTCAGCAGAGAATGTCTGTCATACAACCATCGTACAAAACGCATGGGCAAACGGCCAGAAACTAACTGTGCATGCTTGGACATATGGACTTGAGGATGGGTAATACATTCTATTGAGTTTTAGGCGGACAAAGATTTGTTTTGGGCTAATGAGCTATATAAATCACAGGTTGATAAAGAAGCTGAACTTTTGTGTTAGTGATATTCAATCACTACAGGAAATCTATCATCATTGAAAAAGTTCGCTGCACGCGAAATGTTGTCAATCCAGATTTTACCTTACGTAATCTCTGAAATAGAAAAAATTCAAAAAAAAAGAAGGCCTGTGGGTCTTTCTTTTTTTTTTAAATGTATTGTACATATATAGAAAAAAAAAACGCATTTGCGTGAGACGCTATAATTTAGAACAAAGAAGGGTGTCATGTCCCAAACATATAGACGCCCTGTCATTCCAGAAATCAAGATCATTAATATAGCAAACGTTCATACTCAAACAAGAATTGAATCCATTAACAACAATGCATGGCCAGTCTTTTATTCATATCTCATAAATTCCATTAGTACTTATTGGTTGCACCAACGTCTTTCTAACATCCTCTATAAGTTCAGTTTATCTTCTAAAAATACATACTTACACTATCTATAACTCCGTCCAAGTATTGTTTAGACACACTTCTGGTATTGAAAACACAAGCTTACCGTGATTTTCGACATGCTTAATATATATTATTGAAATTTGGGTGCAATTCCTTTAACACATCGAATAAAATCCCGTAGTGCGAAATTTGTAGTTTGTATGTTTGTTGTTTAGTGAGCACAACTTGGTAATTTGATATAAGCTGTAAGGTAAAATGAGCCTTCATTGATAGAGAGGGAAGTGTTTCATGGCGAGCTGAATGTTTGTATCTAAGGAAAAAAAAAAAGTCCTCGTTCCTTGAATTTCTCAACCAGTAAGAATGCAGCATTATGTATACGTATGTCTTTAGAGTACAAGAGGACGAGTACAAGTGTTATTATGATTCTATGATTATAAAAACGCGTCTAGAATTGAAAGTAGTATGTCAAGTCGTGTGTTCTATATGTTATAGGAGGTATGGAGTTACAAAAAAAAAAAAAAAAAAAAAAAAAAAAAAAAAAAACGGTTTTTGTCTGTTGGAGAAATTCAAAAGACCGCCCTTCGAAAAATTTACCAGCCGCTCATTTTTTTTTAAAAAAAAAAAAAGAGTGCGTTTTTTTTTTTTTTTTTTTTTTTTGTCTCTCTTTGCGTTTCATTCTTTATTGTACTTTTTGTTTGTATTTTTGCATTTTGTATATTCCCTTTTCTTTTTTTTGTTGCATTGTTCTTTTTCTTTTCTTCTGTTTATTTTTGCATCTAACTTTTTGTGTAATTTGACGTTGCTTTTTTTCTTGCTTTTTTTCTTCCTCGTTTCTTTTTGGCTCATTGACTCAAAGCAACAATGAAAGAAAACAAATTTACCATGGGTGAAGAAGACAGTGCTACTGCTGCAAGTAGTAAAGCAGTGACCACTTCATCACCGAAAAATACAACTACGCAGCAACATAAAAGACCTGTGAGGCACCATGTTAAAAGACGATCGAGTGGAAGAGTGCATGTCGCTAAATTAGCCCCCATGGCAAGAGTAAACAGTAATACCAATGTTCAGCAACACAGCAATAATAACAATGATATAGACGCCTCAAGTGATTTCCCTTTAGCGGAAGACAGACCGGTTATCATGCGTCGTTCTCAATCACAAAAGTCTTTACATAAAATGTCCTTTGAAAGGAAAGGCCTTGCTGCTTTAACTCCTACGCCTACGAGCAATGGCCATCGAAGAAAATCAAATGCTTCACTAGATAAAATCACTCTGTTGTCCGAAATGACTCCAACTGCATCAGCCTGGTTGACCAACGGACATAGTAAGCCAATCCTCTCAGCTGCTTCACCACCGACACCGACTATGACTACTTACCCGAAAGATCCTATTACAAAACTTGCACCTACACAATCCTCTATTTCTTTGCCTATACAGAACAAGAACTACACAAAATTAACAACAACTTCAAACCCTGTTTTTTTAAGCAATAGTAAAACGGTTGCTGAACCCGTAGAGCAAACATTCAATGCTGTAGCCGATAATCTGACGACAGCAGAATCTCTAAAGCTATCCACCACACCAACCGCTACTATGTCATCTTTATTAACATCTAAAAAGCCTAATACATCCCTACAAAGGGATAGGTATGCTACTATCAATACTACTCATACTACCTCTGCCACAACGCTAAACAATAATAGTTCGGATAGAAAGTTGTTGAAGTCACAGTTTATTACACACACATCTACTCCAGATGCGATACCACCTGTCGATTTCTATAGCAATAACAGTGATGATAGCTCATTGCATGACTCTATTGAACGTGAATTTGATTGTATTCAAAAATACGAGGATCCAATGCGGTCAAGTCTTTTGAGATGCATGGAAAGATTGGATTTGATTGACCCTAACAATACTCATACAAAACGTCGTTTACAAGTGGGACATTCAATGTCCACTTCGTTGGTGCCGACAGCATTTTCGACATCATTTGCGTCATCCACATCCACCTCTTCTTCTTCAGACAATTATGAATCTACAAATACTGCTCACTCAGCTATATCTTATATAACACCATCCATTGAACCTCATCGTGAACAAAGACGGCAAATTGCTATGAATCGACATCAGCATCTAAAAGCAATAGCATCGAACAATAGCCATCATAGACAACAATACCAACAGCAGTTTAAAAGCCATTCTTATAATCCATCTTCTACAATGAAACCCTCTTATCATCACCCTACTTCAAATAATAGCAGTGGCAGATTATTAGCTGCTCTCCCTCGGAATGCAGCAAATATTTTGGATAAATGGTTCAGTAGTCATAATTACCATGCGTCTGATAATCATCATTAAATTATTCCATGTGCATATTAAACCTTTTTCTTTGAGTTGTATAATAAAAAAATAATATTTTGGATGCTAATGGGGGGTATGTTTAGCTTTATTTAAATATTTCAACCGCTATGATTGAATTTAAAAATAAAAACTAATAGCAGGTAAAGCCATCTCGGCAGTAGTAAGCATTGTAACAGTAGCAGTTATATTAATCATAATAGTAATAATAAAAGTAAATAGTAATAGTAATAGTAATAGTAATAGTAATAGTAATAGTAATAGTAATAGTAGTAGTAGTAGTAGCATGCAGCACTGTTATAGAATAAATTAATGAATAGAACACGTCAAGATGGGCAAATCATGCAAACCTATTCCCGTTCTACAAAAAACCTGATTCTTGCAATAATCGGGTTATTTTCTCATCATCTCGCTCCCTATTTTCCCAACAATATTAGTAAGATAATGCTAAACACGGTTCTCTTTTTTTTTGTCTAGACCTTACTTTGGTTCTATCTTCAAACTTTCTTTATACAGTACTTCTTCGTCTCGCGCGCTTTGTAAACTCGCTACAATAAATTGCTGAATCTCTGGAACGGTTCGCAAGTAGTAACCTATTGTTTGGTATTGTTGAATCTCCCTAATCACTTCTGCCGTTTTCGCCCTCTTTGCGAAATTTATCAAGTCCTTTGATGTCTTTAACAGATTCGGATTACCGTCTTCGATAAACGTCAAATCTTGCAAGTAAATACCCAGAAAGGGAATGCAAGGAGGGTTGACGGAGTGAATGATAGCACGGTATTGATTAAAGTTACGGTTCGCACCCATCAGCTTGCGAATATGAGATAAGACATGATTAGTACGTGCTCCCACCAACTCCCAAGTTCGTTTCAATCGTCCAATCGCACTATTATCGAATGCGGAAAGAATGGCCATACATGTGTTAAAGTTGTTAAAGAGGCGACATCGTTCTGCCACATTCACCCAGTACTTGATGATAGCACTGCGTTTCTTCACTTCCGGCTGCGAGAGAATAGCATCAGATACCCACGTCGTCACTCGATTGCAATAATCGATGGATGCTCGAATGTTGACGGCAGTCGGCTGTGTTTGTACAGTGGACGGCACGGGTGGCTGCTGTGTAGACGTTCCCTTTTTATTCTCCTTCTCTTTCCCAGTACTATCGACGGTCTGGAAATCCACATTGGCTGCTGCAGCGACGGCAGATGCGTCTCTTGACCAGGCTTTATCCAAACATTCCACTGGTTTAATCGAGCTGAACAATTTGAAATCCATTAATGTTAACTGTCGAGCCATTTCCAAAGGATCCACATCTAACAAACGGAATTTTTGAAGATCACGCGGCAGAATGGGTTCTGGCATATCCTGTTGTTGTGTTACTACTAATTTCTTGAGATCCGTGCACGCTTCTTTTCTTTTATGAATTAATCGTTCCAGTTGTACCGCAGAAAACCGCAGAGAGTCCTTGATACTGGTGTTTGTGAAAAATAACAATCGGTCGAGGAGCACGGAATCTTCCTCATAGTAATATTGCTCCAACCAGCTCTTCAAAACATTAAATACACGTAACCGGATAAGCTTTTGTTTACGATTCGTCCAGACTTCTAATTCATCTGGAGTGAAGCCCTCCGGCGGCTGTATATTATATCTTGCTTCTAATAATGATAAGAGTTCCAAGGAAGTGCAAAATGAGCGGTAGGTCAACAGAAAGGTGCTATTGAAATTCATATCCAGATAATCATGCATCGTCAGGCGTTCCACCAACGCTTTCAAAGTGCCCCCTTTTACATTGCCATCTACAGTAAATACTATCTCATTTGCTTCGTAGTCATGTTGAAGATACCAAACATCTCTGTTTGTATTATCCTGCATTTTTGATTTTTCGCCTGACAAGAAATATTCTGTCGCGCTTAGCCCACTCTTCGTAGAAGTAGGTGTCACGGAAAGTTTCCTTCTCATATTTTGAAGTAACTCAGGATGGGCGGCCACGGTCGGTCCAGCTGCTGTCAGTGAAGACATAGAAGCTTCGGTCGGTAAGTCATCCCCGAAAAACTGCTTCAATTTAGCCGGGGTATTTTTATGAACGGTCGGTATGGAGACTAGTGAAGGTCGTTCAGCTGTATCAGAAAAACTATTACGGTTAGATGCAGGTGCTGACGCTCGATTCACATTTGTCTTTGTCTGTCCTTGCTGCTGTTGCTGTAAATCAGAAGTGACTGATTTAGATCGCTTACAACCATTGTAAGAGGGTTGCTTGTCCATTAAGGGCGGTAATTTGAAATCCAAATTCAAGCTCTCGTCCATTCCTACTGCACTCCTTATAAAGTGGGTGAATGAGCTGGGGTCCTCCTCCTCTTTCTCTCCATAATTTTCTTTATAGGCCTCCATCATATCGTCTGCATCCACGAGCAAGCTTTGCCTATTTTCATATGGCCTCGTTCTTCTTTCGTCCTGGTTCGCTTGCTGCTGTTGTGTATCTTTCTTTCGAGCTTCCAAGATACGGCTTCTTTCATCTACTAGTTCAGTTATCCAGTCGCATACCATTTTAATGGCATCAATAATGGTAGTAGATACACGTTGTATATCCTTAATCGCCTCAAGCAAGGGTGTAGATTCATCGGTCATGGCTTGCATTTTGAAAAACAAAATACCCAACCCGTCATACAGCTGCTGCTTTGCTTCGTTGAATGCTTTCATCGCAGGTAGATGTAGCACGTCTTCGAAATCTATATCTTCAATGATAGATAAAAACTGCCCGTTTTGATTGCCAAAATTTCGATAATGTGTAAATAAAAGCACTGCTAAAGAACATCGTGAGTCACTTTGGCGTGTCAGGTTCGCCATCAAGGGTTCGATAGATTCCTGCATACTGGCACCATAGGTCTCCAAATTCTCCAATAGGTTGGGTTCGAGTTCATATTTGGACCTTAGGCCTCCTACGTCGATATTATTGCTGTTGCTAGCGTTCTGAAAGGCATTTCCGATAAAGCCATTGGCGCCTGCGCCGCCTGAGACCGATGTGAAGATAGTGGAGGCACCAGAAGAGATAGAGTCTTTTCTTCTTTTCAAGATATAATCCCAGGCACGGTCTTCTTCATCATTCAAACCAGTGAGGACAAAGGTAGGATCAACAGAGTGTAATTCTACGGGTATATTCTCGCAAGTACTGACATAATTGCGAACAGCTGTTGTAAGTTCGTGACAACCTTGCAGTAACTTACTCACTTCTAAGGAAGAAGAAACTCCAGTAGAAGAATCATCCGTTCTTATGGCTGCTCCTGCCATTGTATCAGAAGCGATATCCATGTTGGCATAATTGGTAGAAGAAGGTTGAACAAACCGTTTATTGTTCGAAGATAATTGTGCGGCAAGTACTAATTTAGTCATGGATGCCATCATCGCTCGATGATGAGAACGTAGAACATTGTTACAACGAAAATGCATCGATTCTTTACTGATGGTTCCCGAAGCGAATAACATGAAGCGAATAGCATTGACTACACGGTCTGCATAGTTCTGGTATAGGGAGCTGTGAGAATTTTTCACAGCTGTAGTTAATTGGTGGATGATGGACGTAATATGAGTAAGAAGTTTATTCCACGTAAGTTGCTGCTGGTGACAATGCCGTGAGTCGATATCGATAGGACTAAAGGTAGACATGGGCGATGTTATATCAACTCTGTCTTTATCATCCTCGTCACTTTTGCATTGATCATGGTTGTCCGTAGTAGAGCTACTGATGCTGGAAGAGGTTGTGTCAGCACTACTGTTGATCTGGTTCGGCCTCACCAATTCACCCGTCAGTGGCAGGAGAGAAGGAGAATATCGCCCCTATATGGGAACAAAAAAAGGGAGAACATACTTAGAAAAGTGTACGTGAAGGCTATCATTCAAAAAATGTACGGCAGTCTCTACCTTTGCATCTGCGTGCCAAGCAGTCTCATTTGTTGTCAAATTATAGAAAAATGGCAGACCCTGCGGTGTTGTACGTTGGATCCACTAGTATCAGCAGAAGATTTCCAATCAGTATTCCTGGGTAAGCTGTGCACGTTCTGTCAAAAGTATGACTAACCTTTCCCTGTTGCTGTTTATCGGACACATTTTTTTGATCGGTTTCGTTTGTAAAAGAAGAGACTGACGAGCATGACGAAGAACGATGATCTCGCTGATGACGATGATGAGCATTCGAATAAATTTGATAAAAAGTGTCTTTGTCCGTTGAATCCAAAACAGTAAGTGGCTCCTCTTCATCTTCATTCTCTCCATCTGATCCGCTACTACTTTGGCCATCGTATACGGACATAGAAGCATCATCATATGGAAAAGAAGATCGCATTTCTCCAGTCTTTGTGTTGATATAATAACAAACAGAACCATCCTCCCCTTGCTGCATAACCCAGTTTATCGGTAAAGAAGGCCGTTTATCTTCCAAGGCACTTTTACCAGTTACCATGCTGGACCTTGAGGAAGATGATGGTGTACTGTTCATGGGTGGGCTTGAAATTTGTTGAGACCCCACTGAATCATCATATCCGACTCTATCATCAAATAGGCTTATTTGCTGCTGCTGCTGCTGCTGCTGCTGCTGCTGTTGTTGTTGTTGTGAAGCTTCCATACCAGTGCTGTTATCAGTATTGCTTTTTTCTAAAGCCTAACATATTCAATTGTATGCATAACGAATGGTTAAAAAAAAAGTTTTCTAGTTCCAGACTCTTCCCTTTGTGTGATGACAAAAAAATTCATGCATTCTTACAAAAATCCTTGTATCACAATAGTCTTCGATGAGTTTGACATAATTGCTAGGAAACCAACCGCGCGTGCCATTACACCTACAATGTGATTGTATCAGCAGAAATGCTGTTAGTAATTGACATAGTAGCATCATAAAAGTTGAAGGACGTTTACCAGCCATTCCACCATCCAGAAGGTAATTTAGACACAACGTCAATAAAATCACCTTCTTCCAGTTTTAATGAAGATGGTTCTTCTGACTGAAATGGATAAAGAGCTTGCACTCTACATAAAGTGAGAGTAGAGGATGATGCCATGCAGAATATAATTTGATCTTATTCTCTATATCGTCTCTGCTGCCTCTTTGTACTGTCAAAGGATTTATTGTGGTGAAGATATGTTGTCAACTGACGTTATTCGATGTTATCTGTTGTACACAAATAGTGATCCAGGGTTATAGAAAAAGCTTCTCTGGCTAAGAATCGTCAATTTGGTCTGTGTGAGGGTATATAAAGTGATTCTTTTTGCGATGAACGACGATTGTCAGAAAGCAAGTGAAGAGAAAAGGGAAAATGAAACAAAGAAATATCAATTCGGGGTACAAACAAAGAAATTCATATGGCTAGCAGTTAAGGCCGCAATTCGCCCAGCGTAACTGTCAGCCAAACAAAGTTTTCAAAGCCAGCCGCATCATTTCTATTCACCAAGGGACTGCAGTAAGAGCGTACGTCTATTTTCATTGTTTGCTCAAGCAAGAAAAGCACAAAAAAAAAAAAAAATTAAATAAAAAAAGCTTAGTGCCATGTTGCTATTGTAAGTCTTTTATTGCAAAATTTCGTTCCACTCTTCTATGCTTGAATCCGCCTCCTCAATGGCTTCAAGGAGTTTTTCTAAATCATCATGCAGATCCACAGTGGGTGCATTGATAACAATACGGAAAAAGTCCGGTATTCCTTCTACTGGCGCATGATCTATCATGAAATCTCCTCTTTGATTGACTTTCTTATGTAGCTCTTTCGTCACGTTTGCTAATAAAGAGCCATCTTTTTCTATAAAGGAGGCTATCCGAGGTGGAACAAACCAGAAACAAACCTGCAAGAATGAAGTGGAATTCTTTACAAGCCTAAAATTGGGTCTACACCTGATGATGTCTGTGAATTGTTGAGCAATATCTAAGGCGCGGTCGATACGTGCACCGAAACCTTCCTTACCATAAAATTTCCAGGAGAGAAAGAGCTTTGCAGCGTCCGGTCGTCGTCCGCAACCAATAGTGCCAGCACCAAGGTCGTATGGGTTACCATGAAATAAATAATCTGCTTGCAAGGAGTTCGCCTGGGCATATAGAAGATGTCCATTGTGAGGTGTTAAAAGCATTGAGCACTGTAACGGGACACCTAGTAGTTTGTGAGGATTGAAGGTGATGGTATCCGCTAATTCGGAACCATCAAACCAACTCGCCTCGATTCCTGAAGACCTTGTTCTATTTGAAAAGATAGCACCACCACCCCAAGACGCATCAACATGTAGCCAACAGTTGTATTTCTTGGCAACAGCGGAAATTCGGCGGATAGGATCAAACGCACCCAGAACGGTCGTGCCTGCAGTGGCATTGATGAAGAAGGGTGTTTCACCCTTTTCAATACTGCCACACATGAGTCGTTCCAGCTCGTCTACTCGCATTCTGCCATTATTATCAACAGGCACCTTAACAATATTATCTGCACCTAATCCCATTAATTGGGCTCCTTTATCAATGCTGTAATGACTGTGACTAGACGTAAAGATTTTCAATTTGCCGTAGTCTGCTGTAGGATTGAAGGGCCGAGGCAAATAGCCTTCTTTTTTGATGGAAGGATAAAGCGTATTTCTTGCTGTCACTATAGCTAACAAATTTGATGCGGATCCACCAGGACAAAATAAACCGCCTGCGTTCTATCCAAGCATACAATTAGTACAGAAAGAATTTGGGAGGTGCGAGAAAGGATAAACTTCTTTACCGTGCCTAAGTTGAATAATCGTCCCATGGCCTTTGTTACTTCAATTTCCATCAAAGTGAACACAGGGGAACAATGGTAAACATGAGTGTTGCTGTTCAAGACGGCAAGTAAGAGCTCTGAAATAACGCCTATTGGATTGGCGCCTGCATATAATTTGTCCATAAACCGTGGGTTCCATGAATTGACACTGTATTCCAACGTTGATTTGATAAGATCAAACGTTCCTGTTGAAAGGAAGGAACAGTATGTGATATAAGAAATACAAACCTTAACTGCTTACAACCTAGTATTTGATAACTTACCGTCAGCACCAGAGCCGGCGTCGGGCAATGAAAAATCTACAACCTTGTAAAGCTCGTTGGGGTTACGGAAGTTTACAACCGGCCTGATTCTATGCTCACCTTCTCTGATATCTGTTGACGATACATCAAAAATTGGAAGCTGTTAAGGTTTGAATCCCTTATCTTTTTTTAACACAACTGTTCCTATTTTTTACAATTTGTAACCATTTCTTGCATCCGGCTCAGCATTATATCAAGCTCGCCTGCATTGTTTATTGAATCTATTGCCACCATTCTCCTTCAAAAAAAAAAAAAAAAAAATGAAAGGCGACTGAAGCTGCAAGAAGGGATGAACTTTTCAATCTTGTCTGTTCATTTTATACGATTCAATTTCAGTTGTTGCTTCTGCCATCATGAATGGCAATCATTGGATGAAGATAACTTCTCATTCGGAATGCGGACTTTCTTCAAAACCTTTCTCCCAACTGTTTACTATAATGTCTCCTTGGCTCCCAATAAATCTGAATAAATCTGAAGATTATAGCAGTGAAAAAAGGTTTGACAATCTGTTGAAATACTAGATTTGGCCATTCAATTTGTTTGAGCAAGGCGTTAATTGATATGGGGCTGAATCAAAACTCTCAACGAAAGAAATCTTCCAAGTGAAGAGCTTTGAATGCCTCCGCAGATTTGCCCTATCTTGTTCGCCGTTTTAATTGTTGCTGTTATCATTAGGAAAAACTTAGTGATCCGCTTTTGAAACAATGAGGATTCCTGTACATCACAAATGCTGACCACGCGTGAGATACATCCTAAAATTAAAGCTAATATGTACCTTGCTCAAAGCCTGTTATAAAAACACAACTTCATCGTCAAAACTAACGTAGGAAGCAAGCTGCAAAAAGAAATTTTTCTTTTGAAAAGTCAAGCCTTCATGAAATGAGGTCCACGCGACAATTGTATAAAATTGATTGAAAAAGAACTTCACCAGCAACTTATCATAGCCTAAATATAAGTCTTTATATAAAATGCTCTTTCTACAATGTTTTATCAATCTGTTACAATGGACACTTCTACATCGTCAAACAAGCATATTTTGTCATTGGCTCTATGAGAGCAGCTACCGCATGATTCTTTTATAATAGAACAATTCCATTGAAAATTGAAGTAGGATTCCTTTTTAAGTTATCTCATGTCAAGACAGACTAAACACATGATAGTATAGTCCAAAGTAGTGGACTCGTGCGTTGCTAATGCTCAAATTATCATGGTATTAGACCAGTTGTATGCTGTAATTCTTTTTTCTCATTTTTCATTTCTACAGTTTGTAAGACAGTAAGTTATAAGGCGGGGCAGCTCCGGCTTGAGCGAAGCCTACAGCGAACCAGCCCCAAAATCAAAAATTATGCGCTCGATATGTCTTGATAGCCATACCGCAAGAGCGAAAAATCAATTTCAGCAAACTCTTGCCACATGCGGAAGAAACCTAAAAGTTTCTTCCTCGTGGTGCGCCCTTTTTTAAAGAGAAAAAGTCACTTCATCAGGAAAAAGCTCAGATATCTTTGAGAAAGCTTTACTTCAACTTGTGGTCGTACTGGTTGTTTTATGAGCTTGAGTTATCCATCTTTGAATACTTTGGAAGATGCCCAAGATTGGTCTTACGTTGGAGAAGGAAATCAGAATATCGTAGTACGATATATTGGCAGTAACGTCATTTTTGTAAGGGTCTTTATGCTGTAACGGATTGAATTTTTTGAATGCTTCGAAAATCTGTTTACTCATCGCGTATGGCCTCTAATAGAGAAGAAAAGTTCTTCGCATCGCGAAAACACACCATAATCCTCATGATTCCGTTGATGATGCAGATGTTATATTCCAGTTAAAGTTCATAGAGGATGTAATTAAGCCTTTGATTGGAAATGAGTATGTCATACACATGGTAATGCCTGAGCAAACAGATAGCATCAAACAATCTTTATTCACAGTACGTATTCTGTAGGTACCTGTGAAAACTACTGAAACATTTTTGGCTGCCTTAGCTCAACGCATTGAACAATATCGACCTGCTCACCGCTTGAAAGGTCAAATTTTAGTAAGAGCACCCACTTCATTTCTAATGCAAGACCTGACACAGCTATGGACAAGGCCAACTCTTCCGACAATAAAGGATGCCCAAATCAATCCTGAAATTACCAAGAATACCGACGCTTTCACAATTGAGCTGAAGCCAAAATGGGGTTTCAAGCCATCCGCTTCCAATATTCACAGCATAAAAACGAAATACTGTCGATTTTGTATGCATGCTCACATGAGAAAATTCGACATACATGCTTATTGCCCGTTGGACCTTTACTCAAACGACCAGAAAAGGCTAAAGAAGGCATTAGATGCATTATTAGATCAACCTATATTACGCCAAAAAACGCTCAAGATTACGCCGCAACAATCGAATTTTGAAAGAGACAAGCTGCAGGATATACTATTAAACATACTCTTAAAAGATCCGATTCTATGCAAATTGAAAAATTTACAGAAAAAATTAGACTCCGTAGATATCGAAAATATCATCAAGTTGTATAAGCCAGGAATAACAATAGGCAATGATATCAGACCTTGGAAAGTTGCGATAGCTAACTATATTAATCGTCAGAGCACCGAAAATTCAGTAGAAGAAAAGCTATATAAATATGTGTTATCCATGACTTTCAAGGATTGCTCCATCATGATCAATGTGGCAACTACGACACAAGCAGACATAGAAGAAAACAGTGAAGTCAAATACGTTACGATTGGCACGGGTAACTTGTATAAGTATGATGTCAAGCTGATCGATATAGATTTAAAGAAAATAGAAAAAATACCTCATTGGTACGAGCTAGACAAATCTATTGTACAGTATGCGGTGGACACAAAGTTCAGTAAAAAAAGTCCATGTGAAGAGTGAACGGCTCAAAAAATAGAAGCTACTTGAGCACTTCTGATCAAAAGATAATTAATTGTTGAAACTTATATATGGAGAATTTCTGTTCGAAGTATTTTGTTATATACCCGTCTTTTATATGCTTTTTAAGATAATATATTGCCGAAAACATGATTATTGCTTTTACTAGGTACAGCTCAGGAAGTTGTAGTTTTGTACTGTATACTTGAAAAGAAGAAAAAGTTTCCACTTTATACAAGCTTGATATTAGCTATGTTGGGAGTTTCGTGCGTTGTTTAATATAAAAATAGTTAGGACTATTTCCATCTTCTTTCCATCACAATATCAATTCATGCAAGATTCTAGTATAAAGCTTGTGACTGCTTACCAATTAGTGGCTTGGTGACATTTTATACTTCAAAATTGCTGACATTGTAAAATGATTGGAATATCTTAAACAGAGAGGCACTTTCCGATCTGCAATCATCCTTTTAAGATTTGAAGACCATGTCCACCGATTTAGCAGCTGACGTAAAGAAGAGACGTGTCGATAATGGACTAAAGAAGAAATCGAACCATTCCAAAATTTACCAGCCTTTTAGAGCGATCGGTTACATAACGAATGAAGTTCCATATGTAATAAACAATCATAGCAACGAATATTTCCTCACTACTTGCGTTGGAAGTAGTTTCCAAACATATAATGTAAGCTTCGAATTAATGTGTTAGATGCGGATGAGTCAGGTTGCATTTTAGATTCTTACTGAACGTTTCCTTTGTTTAACGACTGCAGCTTGGCAAAATGAACTTACTTTTCGTCAGTACGCCTACAGAAGAGCCTATTACAGCACTTGCTACATACAGGAAAATAGTTTACGCTGCAGCAGGCAATCAAGTCATTGGATATAAGCGAGGCAAAGAAATCTCGAGAGTAGGAGGAAAGGACAACTTCACCATTATGCAAATCCTTATTCTCGGTGCTTATATTGCAGCTCTTTGTGATGATAATACTCTTAAATTGTGGGATACAAACACTGGAGGTAAATGTTCACGTAGTCTATGTTTTGACCTTGCGGAATTTATACTGAAAAAATGTACTTCTTATTGAACTTTTAGATCTCTATACCGAGATTGAATTCGGAGAAGAATTTACAGCAACACAAATGCTTCATCCTTCTACCTACCTCAACAAAATTTTAGTGGCCAGCACTCAGGGCACTATGCAAATCTGGAATATTAGAACGAATAAAATGATTTATCAATTTGGTTATATGGGTGCACCCATTACCTGCCTCACGCAATCACCTGTCGTGGACGTTGTAGCAATTGGCTTATTGGATGGTACCGTGACCCTTTATAATATTAAAGCTGACGAGAAGATCGATAGCGTACGACAGGATGATAGAGTCACTGCAATTACATTCAGAACAGGTAGATTGCCGAAAAGACGAGCTCTTCATCTAGTATACATAAGTTGACATGCACACATTTTATTTCTAGATGGCGAACAGATTATGGCTACTGGTAGCATGCACGGTGATGTTGCATTATGGGACCTTTCAGAACGTAGACTAGTACACATCATGAAGAACGCCCATGATGGATATGTTACCAATTTGACGTTTTTGTTGAATCAACCAATTCTCGTTACTGCTGCTACAGATAACTCGGTTAAGGTAAGCAATTAGAGATCAAGTTATCTCTGAATGAATCTATCATTGACTGATAGAATGCCTTTTGCTCGCTATCCTTAGCAATGGAAATTTGAAAAAAATAATTCAGTGCCCAGCATCTACAAATCCCGCAGTGGACATCACGCACCTCCATCAAAAATTATATATCATGGTGAAAACTTCAAAACAGTCCTCAGTGCAGGCCGCGATCGAGCTTTAAGGTCTTTCAGTACCGTTCGTGATGCTCAGAATTTTGAATACTCTCAGGGACGTATAGCCAGAAAAGCCAAGGTTCAAAATACACGCATGGATGATTTGAAATTACCCCCAATAATTGATTTTGACGTCAACGATACGAAGGTGAAAGAATGGGATAATATTATAACATGCCACGCCAATGATAATGCTTGTCGTACCTGGTCGTCGAAGAATAAAAGATTGGGTAAGCATGTTTTGATGAGTACCGATAAATCAGCAGTGAAAGCTACGTGTATTTCAGCATGCGGTAATTACGGCTTCCTTGGCTGCGCCTCTGGCTTAATTGATATGTATAATATGCAATCGGGATTACACCGCAAACTGTTTACCGGAGACGAAAATGGACATAAGAAACCTATTACTGGCTTAACAACAGACGCTATTAATCGTTTCTTAATTTCAGCGTCAGTAGATAAAATGGTTAAAGTAAGTTTTATGCAAAGATAGTTGACTTTTTTTCAAGTTATCTAACAAAAGGCTTGTATACCACAGATTTGGGAGATCAAAACGGCCACACTTTTACATACAATTAAGCTTGAATCACCCATTGTCTCTATTCGACATCATAAAGATAACGACCTACTGGCTGTTGTATGTGACGATTTAGGCATTCGCATTATTGACCTTGAAACTAGAAGAGTCGTAAGAGAGTTTTGGGGACACAGAAACCGTATTACAGACTTTGTAAGTAACCAGCATATGATGATGAAGAATGATATTTGAGATAGGCAGCTGATCCATAGTGTAATGTTGTAGACTTTCAGTCCTGATAGTAGATGGATTGTATCGGCGTCGCTGGATGGAACAGTGCGTACATGGGACTTACCAACAGGATCTATGGTAGATATATTCAAGGTTGAAGATATAGTCACTTGTTTAGCCTTTTCACCTGATGGTGATTTCTTAGCAACTGGCCATGTTGACAATGTCGGAATCTTCCTTTGGGCTAATCGTACACAATATGCCAATATATCCTTGCGTAATATTACCGAAGAAGAAGAGGCGAGCGTAAAAACACTGTCATTACCTACACTGCAGGGATTAGATACTTCAGACACAGAAGAGGAGGATTCCGATTTGGAAGACGCAGTTCTGCAGGACAACTTGGAAACAGTTGATCAAATTACAGATAATATGATTACTCTTTCTATGGAACCTAGAGCGAAATGGCAAAACCTGTTACATTTGGACACAATCAAGTTGCGTAACAAACCAAAAGAAGCCCCTAAATTACCAGAAAAGGCGCCTTTCTTCTTACCAACCTTGCCCGGAGCGAAAGTGCAATTCAGTTTAGATAAAAGTGACAAGAACTCTGAAGAAAAGGGAAAAGATGCATTAGAATCGCGAACACTTCACTTTTCAGAATTGAATACAGATACAGAATTTACTAAACTACTTCGAGCAGGCTACGAAGCAGATAATAGATGTAAGTTTATTTTATAGTACTTAAAGTATCAGCGTTTTGATTAATGTATGTTTCTACTTGGCGTAATGTAGATGATCGATTTGTTGACTATGCCAAATCATTAAGTCCTTCAGCTTTTGATTTAGAAATTCGATCTTTTTCAATTGATTCAGAACTGACAGTTCTAAATCATTTCTTGGCAGCCATTCTATTTATGTTGAAAACAAGAAAGAATTTTGAATTAGTGCAAGCATGGTTATCTGTATTTTTAAAAATACACGGTGATTTAATCGTCTCAAATCCCATTAACCCAATTCACGACAAATTGAAACAGATTCTCGATCTTCAATCGAAAGAATTTGGTAGATTATCAGAACAAATTCATTATAGTCTATGCTTGATTGATTTTGCCCGCAGAGCATAAGCAACTCTACAGTTACATTTGTACACTAGAATAATAAAAGATGATCCAGAAGATTACCTTCTTTGGTAAACTTTGACCTTCCAGTCATCAACTTCTGAATACTTTAGATGATCCCCAAATCCAAAAATTGGTTCTATGTTACTTGTGTTTATCGCATGTGATTTGGAGCTTAGAATGAATAAAACACATCAAGTGACATAACAATTACGGGGGATAGTCGGAAGCTTTTTTTACTAGTGCAAATTGCGGATTATTGGATGATATACCTTCAAAATAGAAAATGATGGTTCCGCTTAATGCTATGTTCTTGTTTAATGATTTTATGATCAGCATGAACAATGTTTACTTTATTAGTATTGGGATATCGGCATGATGATAAATAAGCCGCGCTGTTCTATAGAGAAATGCATAGATAGGAAAAAGATGCCTAAGACAGGAGGACAGCGAGGATGTAGAGATTAGGTTGACTTTACGGGGTTTGTCATTTGCGATTGATGTTTAACAACAATAACACAAGCACAAATAGTGTTACAATAACTATGATTCATTGCGTTTCTTACAAAACACTGATGCTTTTATGATAATGTGGTATTGGGGTGTGTTACTTTTTTGACGCTAAAGGTCGGCGTTTAAGGCGATTGACAATTGTAGGATGATGTGAATATGCCATAAAATTGGCATTGCTGAAAGGACCGACAGAATTGTCAAACGACTGAGAATATTGTTGGCGTTGTTGGTGACTAGAGTGTATGAAGGTATCTTCAAGAACGTGATTGAACCATCTCCTCAAAAAATTGCCGCTAGAATGATTTGCGGTGACTTCACCATCTGCTGATGAAGATAAGTAATAATAAGACTGTAAAGGTTTCTTGCGATTATTATTGAAGTCAATCCAATTGATTCCGCTACTAGTGGAGAGTTCCGTGTTGCAGGAAGTAGAATGGTTTGTTGTACTGCTAACACTGCTGCCATCGCTGCTACCAAGGCTACTTATACTATTTCTTTTGGAACTGCTTCTAGTGTATGACTGGTTTGAAGCAGTGGAATTGAATAAGCACGAGGCATTTTCTGATTTTGTCAGGCGTTTCAGGGATGCCCTCATAGGGTCTTCAAATCTACGTACATTACGGTATTCTTTATCAATTCTATCTAACTCTTTTGTGAGCCGACGCATATTTTGCGGATGGTCCAAGTAATCTTTATCGTTTGTTAAGTAGGATAGTCGTTGTAGTTGCAATTTGCATTGCGTTCTGCTTAACTCTGTTGTAGGGTGGCTATAAAGACGATGGAAAACTTTTTTTTTCTGCCCATTGCCCTGCTGGACTGGCTGTAAGTAAGCAACCGGAGTTGTACCAGATTGGTAAATTTCCTCTTGGAATGGTGGCATTATAAAAAACCAGAAAAAAATAATAATAACAGCAATTTGTGGAGAAAGGAAAAAGACACAAAGTAAACAGAAATTATTTACGCATTGTATTTAAGGAAAGCTGTTGCTCCGTTCATTGGTTCAATAAACAACATCACATGATAAATAGTCAAATGCAATGAAACGATAAAAATCAATGTTACGAAAGAACCCTATAACTGTCATATAGAACGACTTACTGAAATTAAGCATTTGAAGTTGAAAGATAATTTCGTATGGTCGCTTTTAAGTCGTGACATTTGGTACGACAAAGAATTTGAAAGAGTGCAAAAGATGCATCCTCGGTTATCATTTCATGCAGCCAGAGATGTATATATATTGTCAGGAAGCAAATAGAGAACGTTGATATGGGCACAAAAATTCTTGCTTAATTGCTGACAACGAATTAAGCTTGTCCATGTGATTGGTACTCAATAAATTATCCAATTTGATCATCCCATGGGGGTCAGTTATCCATTTTGGCGTACTAATACGTTGGTATCTGTATGAATCCAACAGAAATAACAACGTCAAAGACAGAATTTGCTACAAAACTTATTTATTATCGGATATTTGCATTTATATACATATCTACTCAAACTGAGAGAATCTTTTGATTAACAGTGTTCGTCATATGAGAAAACAAACCAAGTCTGCTACCAGTTGAACTTCTTTTGCCTGTTTCATTGTGTGCTTGCTGACGATGCAAGTAGTCTGTAATCCGAGCATCACTAGCCTCAACCACTTCTTTGACCTTTTTTTCTACTGCTTTACAGACTTGACGCTTTATTAATCCTGTCAACATGGGATTAAAAACCTTATAAAGAACACTATATCAATATCAAAAGGGTAGAAAGAAAATTAACATGGGAAATCTGCTCATAATCTGTTGATAATGGATTGACTTACTTATGCTTGCAATGTTTCACTTTGATGTCGAAGTTTATCGAGTTGGCAGTGAGATTGGTCAATTCGAAATGTATGCGTCTGATCTGCAGAGCTAGTAACTAAACGCATAGAAACGCTTAGTCCTCTTCCACCGGTCTAAAAACTCACTATCAGTATATATACTTCAAAAGTCAATGCAACTAATTTGGAAAACTTACGCTTAACGAAATAACACCACAATCTGAAACCCTAGGGAAACCACCTTTACGTTTGTAGTAGAACACAGCTTCTTCAATAATAGCTTGAATTCCGCTCAAATGAACGGCCATGCTTTGAGAATTTGCGTAGCTAAGCTTAGTGTTAGGGCTAAATCGCAAATAATCATCAGCCTACGATAATTTGTAGAGATACAATTAGCATACTATCTGAGTGGTGCTGCATTGCTAAGCATTACTTTTATTTCGATAATGTTCGGCATCAACGTATCACCTTGCAATACCATATTCTCGATTACAATATCATACTGTTTGTCGCTATAGAGAATTTTCGGTAGTGGGATATATTTAATCTGCTCAAACAAAGCCGGAAGTAAGCAAATCCTCATGTCGTTTAATAATTGAGGCTTAAACGTAGCGCGTCCATCGCTATGTAATAACGTATAATTAATGAACACATATGCTCACCTCAAAAATAGATAGAATAATTACCTATTATACCACAAATGTTTATGAATATCCTTAAATTTCCGCGATATCTCTGTGCTGGTAACATCATCAGAAATTCGACCCAAATAATTGAGATACGCTTGAATAAGGCCGTTCATTTGACTCGTGAGTCTACGTCCAGAATGTCTAAACTCATTAAATAGTTGTGTGCCATCTTCTGTGGCATCATCAGATGTAAGGTACTCAGGCTCCTTCATTAAACGTTTGATATAATTGCTTGCCTAACAATGGACGAGGACATTTAAGACGAGAACTACTTTTTCAATTGAAAAATCAGACAGTTCACTTACTGCTGTAAGAAGGTTGTTGATAGTCATATCGTGTTTTATATTGCTGGATACTTCATAGGTTTGCTGTAGGAGAGGATTTAGAGAAGTGCCTTGAGCCCAATCTTCGATGATAGTCTTGGCTTCGACGGTAGCAATGTTCAAGTAATACTCAGCTTGCTCCGAGCTACTAATGGTAGATGAACGACGGCGTTCAAATTTATCTTTGCCAGAGGAAATCCGTTTGCTCCAAACGTCAAAGAGAGAAATCAATGTAGTGATTGCTTGTTGGTATTCCGGATTTTTCTGAATTATGGCCATAGTTTCCTTTAATTTGCTTATTACTTCGTTGACTACAGGTTCTTCTTGGCTTTTGCTTTGTGAATTAGAATTGATCTCTTCTTCTTTATCTGTGTTCATACCAGAACTTCCCTGCAACATTTTGGAGGGTATCTGATCATCCTCACTGTCCAAACTGTCAGTAGCTGCTTCAACAGAAGAGCTATTATTATTAGAATAGGGGCCAATGTATGCTGCTCCCAGATCGTTCATTGCTTGCTGTTGAATGAAATCTGGCTGCTTGATGCTACTATTCTTTCGAACATTCCTATCGTTAGGGTTGGCATAATCGGAGACCTTCCAAAATTTATTTCGCTGGGAAAGGGTAGACGCCAAATGTGGACTTTCTTTTTCTTCCGCTTCATTAGGAGCAGAGTGTCTTCTGTTTTTTACATCATTAAAAGGCACACTGCTACCTCTATTGCCTACGGAAGGAACAGTTGAAAAAGCATTGAAATCATTTATGCCCAAACAGTGTTCTCTTGCAGGTTTAGTACTGTTGGCAATTTCTCCCAGACTATCAACATTCGCAGTCTCATATCCAGTTTCTTTAGTCCTTAATGAAGGAGAATCGCATGTAATTCTTACTACTGGTGTAGTAGCTTCTCCTACTTGATCTACGGACGCATCTTGGCTCTCATAGTAAGCATCAATGCTACCACGCTTTTGTTGATTGCTTGCTTTCCAGTCTTTTTGAGCAAAATAAGCACCACTGAGAGCATCAGACATACTAACTCGTTTAGCCTGCGTTTCATCAGTATCGCCTTGCTGATTGCGTTGCAAATTGTAATCAACTTCTCCACCAAAGTCGCTCCTTGTACCAGCTGTCGATTGCTCATCTTTAACTGTAGTAGAGACTATTTTGTTACCTTTAGATGGTGCTGACCGACCGTAAAATTCTTCCCGACGGTAGTCACCAGCAATTCGAATCGTATTTCCCAGAAACCCAGTGGAAAACGAAGATAATGATTGATCATTCATACCACTATAGACAGATTGAAGAGGCTGTATATCGGTTGAGTCCGTCATGAAGGCCTTCAATTGTTTTTTACCAGTATTATAGCTTGGTAAAATGAATGACGCCTGTTGTTCCATATCAGTGGCAATTTGTGGAGACAAACTGTCTGCTGAACGTAACTGCTCCTGCTTTCTAGTCATGTCAGAGCTAAAATTTTTATTGATTTCCATTGACCTTCTGATGTCGTTATTAGGATCAGCGGTAGGCTGGGCTGACGATACATTAGTCAAGAAAACATTGATTTGACGTCTAGAGGATGCGTTCGAAGAAGAAGCAGCCACGGAATCGGAATTCTGTTGTTTGGCTGAATAAAGCGGTTGCACATGATCGAGTCGGCTGCTAAAACCAGAGGAATGCAAAATAGCACCGTGTTGTTTATCGTCCTGCAGAGTATGATTAGCATCATCTGTAACTCCAATTGATGGCTCAGTATCTTCGAATCGATGATTTACAAAATTGCGATGCATTTCTGGAATAAGCTTGTTAGAATGCCGATTTCCATAGACTGCACTACTGCCATAATTCTTTAATTTTTGATCTTGTTGCCCAGCACTTGTTAGATTTTTGTGAGCGGAGCCATCAGTGTCTACAGAATCTCCAGTTCCTTCTTTAATATACGAACCCACTAGATACTTAAAGAATTAGAGCTTCTAAAAAATCTTTTATACTTTTCCCTTGTACGAATATGATCATTTACCATCAGCAGCGCCTGTATTGTTTACGCACGAGGAACTAGCATTCTCTTGCGTTGTCTTATCGCTAACTTTCAAGGTATCACTCATAGTTTGTTGAGCAATAGATATAATTTGGCTTAATAGAGCTCTGAAGTCTGCGTTAAACACAAAAAGCTTGATCACCTTGAGAATTTCCTTGCCTGTCATCCTGGCTTCTTCTTTAATTTGTGCACCTTGCCGCTGTACTTCTGTTGCCACATTTCCAGTAGTACTGCTCGCTTTTAAAGCGGCTTCCGAACGATGTACGTGATAAACGAAAGATTGAAACAATTCGTCGCGATTTTTCGTTTGAAGAGCACGTTGGAATGCAATTATAAGTTCTTGAAGATCATTCAAAAGCGTCTGACCGTCTTCCGATAAATTAGTTCTGTTTCGTTCAATAACTTTACTGTTTAAAAATCGGTCCATAACGGCGTTCAGTTGTTCATTAGTGGGCAATTTTCCTGCACGTAGAGATTGAACATTGTTCATAATAGTAATTGCTTCAGATTGCCTACGCTGTTGTTGAAAAAAATGCTCGTCAATAGATGAAGTCGTATGCCGTCTTCTGCCTTGAGTATTTTCTTCAAAGTCATTTTTATCAAAGGCCCCAGCACTGTTCACATGATGCTGTTGCTGGACAGGGGATGCCGGATAGCCTTCAATGGTAGCAGACATCCTTGAATAGGAGGGTAATAATGAAAGATACGTAATAATTGTTGCTGTTAATATTGAATGCAAGTTCAACAAAGCATCTCTTACTTCATTACGACTAAATTCATTTATAGTATCCGCCAAAATCATGCAATAAAATTTATTCGTTTATTTGCATTAAGAAAAAAAGATAATTGTACATGCATATCAATGCGAAATGAAGTGAAACTTTCCTAATCAAATTGTGTTTTCAAACAGTTTATAGTAACAATGCTGCTTCGATCGTGTCATTGCTATGTTTGAGGACAGTAATGTCACATAAGTGATCCACATCTTTCGTATACCCTGAAAGTAAATCAATCACTTTCAATCCTCCAACTCGTTGTAATCCTGGCGTCAGTGGAAAGAACTCGACTTGCGTCTCTATATATTGGTTGATGGTGACTTCGCCCAATTGCTTTGTGTTGGGCCCACTTAAAAGTACAGAACCCATCTTTGTTTTATCGGCACTAAGAATAAGTTTCATGTTCTTGTCCGAATGGTTTTTGATCCGTAGACCTAACTTAAATGGCTTTTCCACGATTATTTTGACAGGTTCATCTGGTATTAACCAAAATGGTTGTACTTCCAGATCTTCCAAAAAAGGTGCTTTTCTAGTCAACTGAGAAGTCTGTAGTCGGCCCATTTCTCCCATACTTGATCTCCATACAATATCCAATTTACCTAACGCATTGGTTGTTCTTGAAATCCTGTCGTTTGTCTGTGAATCTTTTACTGTTAATATGTACAAATATTGTCTAATATCTTGTGATTGAATGTATTGGTTTCTAAATACTGATGTATCTGTGGATTGCTTTAAGTCATCTTTATCTTCATTGTTTAAATTCACAATATGATTTAGGTCTTCATAATGAAAATGCTCAGATGGTTCAAATTTCATCCGTTCTAAATACATTGGTCCTGCTGAAACATTTTGGAGCTGTGCCTCCAAAAATACTCTCCCATCAACCATACTGTTCAACTTTGTTTTCACAGCGAGGGGATTTGATACTTGAAATTTGTAGAATTTACGAAAATGACGCTTTTGATCACTAGTTGTACTGTACTGAACTGAACACACAAGAATATGGACACCCAATTCTTTAATTTCATGCGACACAGTTGTATCGTAAGTTGCATTATGCTCCAAGATAGCTTGAGGAGCATTTGAATTGTCAAATAGCAGAAATCGTTGTGATGATGTTTGAAGTTCGATTTTGATACTCATTTGTTTCACTGGATACGAAGACTCATTGTTAACACAGACTAGGGTATTGAAGTTTTCGCCGAGATAAATATTGCCGAAGGCTGCTGGAAGTTGTAAAAGCTGACTTAATCCGAAATCTCGAATTTGTATTGCAGTATCAACCGTGTCAAAAGAGTGGGTCGCGGTCAGGTCTGTTTTATTGAGCTCTTTTAGTCCCTCAACTAACGATGAGCTTTTGCCTTGCGATTCGTAGTACATCGGTAATGAGGAAGCTAATTGAGGCCGGGACAGCCGCATTACTTTCAAGGACAACAAATGTGGTTGCTGGTCATCTGGAGGCTGTGAGCTTTTAGCTACAAATCCGTTATTAGGACGAGGCGATTGCATGATCTGATGAAATGTTAATGTGCCTGAAGGAGAACAGGGAGAATAAAAATGTCATTTTAACAAAGTAAAATGGACCTGAAAATCTTATTGGCTCACAGCGGCATAACACACAAGTCATTAACTTTCATATTGCACAGGCTCCACATGTGATTTTCATCAGTATTCACAGTTATTTGGCTTTCATTTTCCTCTTCTCTTTTAAGTTTTCATTCTTAGCTGTTTACGCTTTATTGATCTATTCTTTCTACGTGTCGTCGTAAATCGACTAATGGCAACCATACCACCTCATTATTCCGATCGGTTTATTGTTCAACGGTACAATAAGGCATTGCAATTTGTGCAGAGTCTACCTGCAAGTTCAAACTTCCAGCCTACTAAAAACCAGAAACTTGAGGTAATGAAGAGAAGCTTTCTCGAAAATTTGAGTGTGAGGAATTAAAGTGAATAATATCTCCAAAATTGATACAGCTATATGCTTTATATAAACAAGTATCTGAGGGCAATATAAAAACCCAACGTCCTGGCTTATTTGACGTTGTTGGGAGAGCAAAATGGTATATAGTTTGCAGAGTTATTACTTCTTCATCAAATGCAGTGTATGTTAATAATATACGGGACATAGGGACGCTTGGAAGAAACTCGAAGGTCTATCACAAATAGAAGCGAGACATCTATATGTTGAAGCCCTTTTAAGGGTAGCAAAGGAAGTAAGCTTCGGTTCAACAATAAACTCAAGAGGCTATTTGCATCTATTGAAGGCTAAGAAAAGATAAATTGTTAGGCCTATAGAAAGAATATGGGGCGAGAGGAAGCACAGCAAATAATACATACATTTGCCATTATGAGATTCTCTGATGACGAAACAGACGATGATTTAATAGAAACAGACACCACATCAAATTTAGAAGATAACGAAATCGATGGTCAGTATTTCATATATACATTCTTTAAAGTCTCAGACCTAAAACATCAGTAAGGATATTGAAGCTTTTTGGACTGTATGGTAGACACAAGTATTGAATCGGAAAATGCGGAAGAAGAGGCCTACTTGCGAGATGTACAAAATAGTAATATTCAGACTGATGCTAAACGAGAGACACCATTCAAATCATCGAGTAACGACACAGCTTATAATTTAGTAGAGCAACCACCGCTTAACAAACAACGACAGCCAGCCTTGACAAGAGCTCAACTACAGCAACATCAAATAGAACAAGAAAGACTTCACCAGCAACAGCAACAACGACAACATCAGCAGAATAGACCATCTTCAGTTGCCTCTATACAAACTATGGTAACAGCACCTACGACACCGAGACAATTACCCGTCAGTTCGAGGTCTACTTCGAGGTTAGGACAACATGCATCCGGGCTTCGCGTAAACAACAGCAGGCAAGGCTATCCCAACCATTCCTCAAAAGATGACTTACATGTGCTGCCTAGCAATAGTAAAGAAGCGAATTCTACGTCTTATATTGAAACCGACTTTGTAGATGACTCGATCAATCCGTGGCAAAATTTACCTTCCAATCCTAATATAAATAAGCAAGGGCAAGAAGTTAATAGTGGAGCTAGCAGCGATGACAACCAAGATAATATAATGAATAATAGAAGTAGGCATTTAGTGCAAAATAAGCATACTAATAGCAGCGTTTATAAGCCCCAATTGAGGTTGACATCGCCTATGTCTCAATATCAGCAAAAACAGCAGCTGCAACATAGAATACAACAACAACGGATAACATCCCCTTCACCTCCCTTCGTTTCAACTAATAAACCTACTTTACTACAACAGCAGCTATCAGGCATGGCGCCTCTTCTTCATAGCTCGCCCGTTCCTGGATCAAGCACTTCTTCGTCTGTCACTGCTACTCCCCAAAATCAATTATTACAACAACATCAGTCTGAAAGACCTGTAGAACCCTATGATCCACCAGCTGGGGGCTCAAGATCAAGTAGTAGAACACATAATTCATTGCTACACATCAAAGACGACCCTGCACTCCATCATTTTCTACACTCACAAATGAATCGACCCAGTAGCAGTGTTACTACAGTGGCATTGGGGCCAGCTACCAAAAAGGCTTTAGAATCACTACAAAATGAAGTCATTGCTCTCAACGACCGTATAAATGATTTACGTAGAGAATTAGTAAACCGCGATGAACATCGACCTAAAAGGAAACCAAGTAGTGGGCCCAACGAAGAATGTGATCCACCAGACGATATAGGGGACAATTGGCGATGGGTAATAAAGGTAGTATATCAACTATCACTTGCGTAAATATTTATAGTCAAATATGTTAAATAAGGACAACGCTTATTGTTATAGGCCGCTCTGAAGTATGCTGGTGTCAACATAATGACAGCCTTTATCTTATTTTTCATCCTTTATAAAAGTGATAGTCCGATTGCATTTGCGATTTTACGACAAGCGCAAAAGTTTTGGCGATCTTTTAAACTTCGAGTTCTAATAAGTAATGTGGTTGTTTAAAAGAATAAAGGGAAAACTGTCATTCGACATATAACGTAGACACGTCTTCTGATGTCAACTTAAGTTTTAACAAGGAGCAATAAATTGAAGCAGAACGCCTTCTGCTATTAAATCAGGCCATACGTATCTTTCTTTCAAATTATTTGAGATCATGGTTTGACAAAAAGGTTTACTTTGTCAATATTTCGCTTTCTTAGAATTTTATGAGTCGGGTTCCTAGAAAAATAGTAGGAAACATGACTTCCGCAGCTAAAAATAAATAAGTACTTCAAAATTGTTTTAAATTTGCAATTAGATAACGAGGCAGAAAAGCCATATTCTTCTGTTTAGTGTTATCCAAACTTGATATTATATGATACATGAGATGACCGGAATTCGTCCGATATCGTCTATGTAAGCAGATATCTTTTGTACAGTAGCAAAACTCTTTCCGCTTTCCATCACTTTTAACAAAGTTTTACCAAAAAAGGAAAGCGCAACAAAGACATTCACTACATAATCTTCATTTCGACATCTCGAAGTCAACGACCTTCTTAGACATGCCACCTGAAAGTATCAGCCGCAAAGGGCGTACTAAAGTTCTCCTTTCGGCCGACCAAATTCAGCAGTTATTGGACCTTTTCGATCGCCACCGACAGAACATCTTTTGCCCAAGTTGCAGCACCTACACCACCTTTCATAAGAAAGGTACTGACCCAACTAGCCCTTCTCAGCCTCTGTTTAAATGCACCTCTTGCTCTCGTCAAGTCAAAGCTAATGCCATGTTCGCAATTTTGCACCCACCCTCATCCCATCAAAAAACTAACCCTGAAACAGCTACGCAAACAGCCAGCACTGCTACGAGTACCTTAGATCCCCAACAACAGATTGCCGAACTAACTACCCTGGTAACCAGTCTCACCCAGCAACTTCAAGCAGCCTAGCAAGAGATAGAAAAGCTCCGCGTTCAGCTTAATGCTCAGCATCCCTCCTCCCAAGACGCCCTAGCGGCCCAGCACGACATGGCTGCATTACCCTGGCGCGACCCAGCCCGCCTCGAACAACTCAAACGCAGCATGGAACAAAACCGAGAACAGAGACGTCTTCAACGACAAGAAGCTGCTGCACGTATCCTTCAAGCACCCTCAAATAACCAAGGATTCCAATATATTTACCTCCCCACCAAGGCTCGTATCCCTATAGGACAGCTTCGCAACCATTTCCGCAAACTTGATATCAACAACAGCCGCCTTCTTGATATACATTACCCTGATCGTAACATTGTTGCAGTACTTGTTCACAACGATTACTCCAACGAGTTCAAAGACCAACTACGTGATTTTAAGATCACAATCCAAGAATCATTCAACCCAACCAGTGGAACTATACTTAAAGATCCCAAATATAACGACCTGTCCGACAATGAACGCGATGACATGGCTCGTCAGCTCCATCAGACCCGTATCATGAATGCACTTAAGTATATTCGAATCCCAGTTAAATATGCTGTTGCTCGACACTTTTTAGAAACTAATCAAATAACTAAGGAGTTGTATGCCACTATTGCTTCCAATCGAAATCAACAAACCTCTGAATCCCCATTCTTCGCCGATGATGTAATGTCAGAGGCCGCCCCTACATTTGATGAGGAAGAGTTTGATCTTCAACATTAATGACAACCTTAACCATATCACAATTCAATGCATCCGGCCTCCGAAAACAAGCTATTACACCTCTATTAAACTTAGCCGCCTCATCTACTTTTCTATTAATCACTGAAACGTGGTTACTACCACCCAGTCGATACCCAACTCACTGGATTCAATACCACACATATGGGGAACCAGTTGAAAACACCTACCGAGGGAGAAACGGAATCGCTCTTTTAGTTAACCCTGCACACCACCTCCGAGTTCATCACATCAACCATACACATCCGCTTCTATCTAAATATTCCCTCTCCTTTATTGTATCTAATTTTCTCATCCATTGTCTCTACCTCCCTCCCTCTTTAACTAACGATGAAGTAACAGAGATTTTGCATAGCCTCTCAACTGAGTCATCTACAACCACCACAACTATCATATGTGGAGACCTCAATGCCCGTATGGGATCATACACAGGAGATTCAACGTTCAACTACCGAGGAAAATTGGTGTATGATTGTATCCGTGCCAATAACCTCATTAATTGGAACTCTAGACTTCAATATGGACAGCCTACGTCACTCACATTTAATGGCACCAGTATCATTGATTATTTTCTGAGTAATACTGAACTCAGTAATCCTAAATTGCTCATTCGCGACGACCTGTCGCTTGATTCCAACCACAAATACATGTCACTGACGTTTGATTGCCCCAAGAATGTCCTGAAGAAACTACCACCTCCTCGACAACAATGGCACCTAGGGAAACTACAGCAACCTGGCAAGATCCATGCCTATCGACAAACCTTTCAAGACCAACTTGACCGTAACCCCACTGATTTAAATATGGCTCAGCACATCCAGTATCGTACACAAGCTATTGAAGTGATCGAGCTCTTACAGTCGAATCTTTGTACTGCTCTCTATGCCGCACTAGATCAAGTCTGTGGACGGGTCACTCAACCACATGTCATAAACTTGGAATCCTTCTGGACCGTCGAAATGCAACAAACGTTTGATCAAAGAGAATACTATTATCGGAAATGGCGCCGGGCTACTGGACTGAACAAACTTGACTACTGGATCAAACATCAGCAAGCCAAGGCCAAACTTCGTCGTCTCTATCGAAGTCGTCGACAGGAAACATGGCAACAGTTTTGTTATCAGATGAGTCATGAAGAGTATACCAAAGCAATTGCACGTTTTAGTAAAATCCGTAAGAAGCGAAATCTAACCCCTTCGTTCTCTTCCCCAGAAGGTCCACAAGCTGCAGCTGATCTCATGGTGTCTCATATGCAAGGCACGTATTCGGGTCAATATCTTCCATCACCGTATCAACGCCAATTACCACCAATTGACCCCACGCAAGCGTTCACTTTAAACGAGTTCTTCATATCTGAGGATACCATTGTGAATGCGATCAAAAGCCTCCCCCGTAAGAAAGCTCCCGGGGTGGATGATATCAAAATCGAAATGCTGCAACCAGTCAGCGACCGAATAGCGCCCTTTCTATTAAATATCCTCCAATTAACCTGGAAATGGTCCTATACGCCTAAGTCATGGCGCATTGCCCAAACGATTCCGATTTATAAGAAAGGCCCCCCCAACCGATCCAGGTAACTACCGTCCAATTAGTCTTACATCTATTTTTCGCAAAATTTTAGAGCGATGCATCCAAGATTACCTTTTGGCCAATAGTCCCCCACTCGATATTGCGCAGGGTGGATTCCGTATTGCCCGTAGCTCCTTAGATCAAGCTCTTTGTTTAGCGGAAATCTGCAATATTTTGAAACGCCAGCACAAGATCGAACCAGTTCTAGCTTTCCTCGATATCAAATCAGCGTACGATACGGTTGACCGTAACGTCATATGGACAGTGCTTCGTCCCCATATTCCAGTACCGCTCCTTGCCCTATTTCAAAACATGTTTGACGATGTCAGCATTGAAGTCCTCCAGAACAATGCCAAGTCAGAACCTTTCAGCCCTACTACTGGTGTCCTTCAAGGATCCATACTATCTCCTATACTCTATTCATATTACATTAACGAACTACCTACACTGCTCCGTCCAAGCCCACTGGATCTTTCCTTGCCTGTTCCGGAATTGATTCTAAATATCAACTGTTTACTATATGCCGACGATGTCGTCTTGATTACTGATAAAGATCATCTTCAGACCCTGTTGCAACAATGTGAAGCTCATAGTCTTCGGCTAGGCTATCGCTGGCATCCGAATAAATGTGTTATACTAGACAGATCAACGCACCCTATAGATTACCAGCTTTATGGAGTTCCTCTACAACGTCAGCTCACTTTTCCGTATCTAGGGATACCTTTTCAACCAGGTGGTAGTATAGATATAAATGAACTAGCACGTACTAACACATTTAAGGCCCTTACTACGATGAACCAATTAGCAGCAATCGGTGTCAATCCTGGTGGATTCGAAAAACTGCTCTCACTACGGTTATATGCCCAATTAGTCCGCGCAAAGATGGAATACGGACTGGCCATTAGCCCCCTAACCGCGAAGCAATATAAACAATTCGAAGATACCCAGAACAAGTGTATTCGACGAATCTTTGGTGGATCCAGTAGATCGTCTGCCCGACTTATGCTCCACCTTGCCAATCTGCCCACCATGAAAGAACGCTCCTTCGTCCTACAAGCTAAGTTCCTATTACGTTCTACCTCACTACCTACTGATACTTTAATCTCGATACTACTCCCATATATAGGCCAGCAACAAAGTAAATCGTTATATTGCAAGCTTGCTCGTTCTCCGATCTGGCAAGATTACACTTCTTCTCCGCTCAATCAACGATCTGAATCAGCTGCTCTGCGACGCTGTATTGCTAACTTCCGCACTAGCCTCCTTCACATCCAACAATCGAACAGCCTCAACTCCAAACTGATCTCTCAATGCCGTTCTCGATTAATGATCGACCCGATCCTTTATCCTCCTATGTCAACTAATGAACGCAGCCGATGTATCCGATGGCGTTTGGGTTGGCTTCCTGGAGGCCACCGAACCTATTGCCTTAAACATCCCTCGTCATTACTTACAAAGTTCCACGCTATCTCCTGTTTAAACATGCACCACCGCCTACGACTCCCCACATCAGTCCGTGATCCCATATCCTATGTCCTCAACCGTCTTCCTACACATCCGATCAACAACCCATCCCAAATACAACACTGGCATTTTCTATGGCCAGCACTTTGTCACATTTTGTTTGAACTCGACTACTTACACCACTCTCAAGAGCCGCCTACAACTCCTCGGTTAGGGCACCTATTGCTCGACTGGTTACCCTCTTCCCCTCCCCCAATCCTTTAGTACATAATCCTTTTTACCCTTGAGCCCTAAGGGGTTTTTAGTTTCTTTTAAGCCTTTGGAGCTGCCCCGGGCAATTTAGATAAGCTTAATATCTCGTGTCCATTGGGCTTTAAAAAATTAATATTATGTAATAAAATCTCTGTTTAAACGTACAGTAGCAAATTTTACATTCCCCCAATAGAAAGATCTCAATTCCTCATTCCATTTATAATTACAATAAAAAGCGTTCGTACTAATTATTTTTCTAAAATGTGATTAGTTTATTGTTAAGAGCCTAAGACTTCTACTCTAAAAACGATAAATCCAACTGTCGTTGTTACTGTCAGCCTAATAAATCTGCGAAAACACTATCACAGGAATAAGTATACATGTATTGGTATTAATAAAGCAAATGCAATACGCTTATTTTATCAATCAATACTAGACTTACTCTTTCTTTTCAACTTTTTTTGCGGGTTCAGTTGCTGCTGAAGTAATGTTGGGTGACGAAAAGAATTGGCTTCCTTGAGGCTGATTTTGCTGAGTTTGAGAATGTGCTGAAGCACTCATAAATGAGCCCCACACATTATTGCTATTGCTGGTATTTGGAGTCGTTTGACCATAAGCTTGTCCTAAATTTAGACTTGCTAATTGATTCGTCAAGTTTGCAGTAGTAGTGGCGTTATTGTTGTTGAAGAATGGCTGTTGCTGCTGCTGGAAGGTCGGGGCTTGTGCAGCAGGCATACTGCTATAAAGTGATAGTATGGAAGACTTGATATCGTTCAACTTTTTAGTTTGATCATCTACAGCTGGTTGTTGTTGTTGCCTTGTTGAAGCATCATTCGCTTTCTGAGAATTACTATTAGCAAAAAAATCAGCACCTTGAAGCTGCTGAACAGCAATAGAAGAGTTAGTGCTCGATGTTTTGTCACTTGTTACAGAAGATGGAGATGGAGACCCCAAGAAAGCATCCAAATTCGCGAACTCTGATTGTTTCGATTTCGCTGAACGCTGTTGTTTTTGAGCCACAGGAGAAGAATCGGCTGATGTTGTACTCGTCGCCAAGGTCTATGTAGAAGAGGTGCATTAAGATAAGTGCGGTACAACCCTTTATGTTGCAAAATGTATAAGTTACGTTACTCTAACGGATACGCTGTCATCGATATCATTATCACCACCAAGAGTTTCGGGATCAGGAATAGGTCCTTTCATTGCCCATCTTTTCTGTTCATACTTGGCACGAATCCACATCTCCATATTACTTTCTGTTGGTTTTCTATCTTTGAGACTAGCCTCCCAATACCTGATAAATAGTCGAATAAGTTAAAGGCTGAAACCTGCTTATATATTCTTCATATAGAAACGTTACTTATTTGCTCGCTCATTTCCCCAGCGTACCATATTTTCTACTTGTTCTGGTACCCACGTATCCAAATCAACAGATTTTACTGAACGTATGAAAAGAGTTCAGGTTACTTCCCAATACAAAATGGCATCTTCTCATTCTTTCTTCTCGTATACCTTTACTGATATGGACGCCAAGGGAACGATGTATACCCGAACAGCGAATGCATATGAAAATGCCAAGATTCCAAGAAGCCCATCGAGCATCTTTGTCAAGAAAGGCCCAAAGTTAGAGCTGAAGTGCAAAATTTCTGTCTTGCTCATCGTATGGTTACCTTTTTTTTTACAATCGGCGCAGTACTTATTGGATGGTTTTTGTAAAAGAGCTTTCAGCACCTTCGAGTTCTTCTCATTTGTGGCTTTGTCAGCTACTCGTGCATAGCGGGTGGACATCGTTGGGTAAAACAGACAAAGCAGGAAAAAAAAGGCAGATTTAAGGTTGAACAAAAGGGGATCGGCAATAGCAGTTGAATACCAAAAGAAAAATCACTTCCCGCTTTTTTCTTTATTTATTGAGGTAAAATCATAGACCGTATTTGCCAATAGGTACACCATAAATACCTACTTTACATATCTTAGTATAAGCTGGATTACCGTGATTAGATAACACTCGAATCATTACGGCGTGAAATGGCCGACTGTTAGAAAGCTCTTCAGTTTGCACCAATTCATAAATTTGGGTTTCATCACTACCACTATAGTATTCGTACTTAAATTTGCCAAGTTGAACCAAACTTGGCTGCTTACTACGAAGTATAGGATGATTACTGATACCAAAGAGCTCGATATCTTCTGGAGCCGACCACCAATCGTTATAATCATTTCTATTAGTATCACTGTTTATATCACCTCCTCTTTCTTTTTGTAACTTGAAAGTGATGCTCAGTCGGTGAATTCGTATGGGCTCACTGAGTGCAATACTCAAATTACCTTGTTGGCCTGTCATCAACCAGCATAAGCTGCTATCGCTTTTCCCTTCTTCTGCTTCCATTGTTGCTGTTTTAATGATGTGATTGTCATTCTGGATAGTCTTGTCAGCACTGTTTGGAAGAAGCCAAAAGGAAGACCATACAGTCAGTTTACGGATAGCTTCTCTCCAAGGTGAACGTTGTCGTTGTCCGTTTAACTCAAACGTAGCACTTGTCAGAGGATATAGCACATATGCACCGAGATTTGCTGAAGCATAATTTATTTTTCGGTATTGTTGAACCTTTAAATTCCAGAGGGCATTTCTTATTTCATCAATTGCGATTGGTACACCATGAATATTCAAGATAGTGGGCAATGAAACTTCTGGCTGGTCAGTATCTTCGTTATAATCATTATGGTAGCTACTTACATGGTAGCTCATTTCTTTTTTCATTGTGTTTAGGTAATCACGGTAAGTTTTTTGTTGCCTTAGATGTTCAATATCCTTCAAGAGAAGACGTTTCAATAACTGTTTCTCAGTGTCAGTTTGCAAAACATCGTCAAATAGTTCCATAACGTATGAAATATAAGTCGAAAAAATCTCATCGACGCTCTTTTTACTTTTGTTTGAAGATGTAGTTGAATACTCTTGAATTTTTGACAATAATATAGGGCTGAAATATTGATATTTTTCCAACGTTTGATCCGCAAGTCTTTTTGCTTGCAGTTGATGAAGAGATTGTTGCTGCTTCAGCATCAAGATTTTTTGACCAAGTAAAAACAATAGTGATGATAAGTCGGATAGTTCTTCTTCGACATCTGGCTCGTTGTTAACGTCACTTTCACTGGTATGATGATTAATATGGAGACTTCTAAAAAAAGGTACGTTTTCTCGAATGGTCATAATCACACCTCTGTTGTCATCCAATATCATTTTTTCAGTGTCGCACTGTTTAGTACCCAGCAAACGAATTATAGATGAGGTTGAGGTCAAAACAGCCACTGCAAACATTATAAACGAGGAAAGACCGAGGACTTTACGATACGCCTGTTGTAAGTAGACTGGCCATAGCGAACATTGAGAACATCTTTGAAATGTTGTCCATTCATCAGGAAACTTGTTTTGCCGCTTAAGTATACAATACCAAGCAAATAAGAATGGATGAAATAAAATCCAGTAGCAAAGTTGATGCACATAATAATCTAATGGTCTAATAGCACGAAGGACCGACCAGAAGAATGACATTGTCGATATTATACATCTATTGATAGATATTGGTGATGCTGGTGATAATGCCGGTTGGATAGTATCGTATTCTTCAGGCGTATCATCAACTAGCGAAAAGTCTTCAACTCTCTCTTCAAAAAGTTCATCAATTTCTTCTTCTGGTATGTCACTATTGAAATCATCTTCTTCATATAGCTGTTGAGCATCAGCCATGACAAAAACTTGTTATTTGATCAATGGTAATCAAGCTGAACGAAAAAGCAATGAAAAAGAAAGCTAAAATACTGCTGCTGTTGGTGATATACCGAAATTTTCGACATTCTATCGTTGATGAAATAATGGTCAGAAATAATGTCAACATTGTTGAACAATAAAAATCTTATGCTACCCATTTTGATATTGTTTAAACTGCTGCATTAAAAAGGCTTACTTCATTTTTATTATTGCTGATGTGCGCTGATTTTTATACCTAAAGATGTTGTACACCTGCTGGATTAAGGAGGATGTATGTTGACTCAAATCATCCAGCTTACTTTCCAGATTATTGATTGTCTACAGTTCCCACGATTGAAATCAGTGATTGCTAAAACTCAGTGCATATAGTTACTTTAATCAAATGCCACTATCATTTATGATATGGAACATTAGTCGTTACAAACCTTTCTGAAATTCGTAAAAAGACAATAATTTCACTTAAGAAGGTTTATTAAATGTAAGTACACGTGGTATATTAATGCATATAATACAATTAAGATTATCATTTTTTCGCTTTGAATTTGTACAAAAAGGCTAATAAGCATCCCAAATATAAACACGCAAAGGCACAACTTTTTTTGAACTTAAACATAATATCCAACAAAAAAACCATATTGCTCATAGATTTGCTACACTCTACTAGCAAAAACGACACCATAAATCCAGGAAAAAAGAAGTAATTTCTTCTTATTCGAGAAGAACTGGTCCTTTTACTCGTCCACTCCTCAAGAACCCTCCATTAAGATATCATCTTAATATCCAACAATTATTAGCATCTGCATACATAAAATATACTGTTATCATATAGTAAAACATTTAAACATCTTTAAATAAGATCAAATCCCATCACCTACTTCTTTTATAGATACATAATGTAGAACAATAAAAATAAACCTTTTCGTTCTGCTCAGAAAACAAAACCCAACCACAGTTACTCCGATAAACAATACAATCAACCTACATCCTCCAATGTACAAAAATCCATTATCCCAGCTTTTAAAACTTCATTTGTCATTTTATTTCAAATCACTACAAATATGTCAGCCAGAAACTCCTTCGAATCCAACCAAGAAATGGAACATACACAAAACAATCACTCTCTCCCAACAAATACAGTTAAATTGAGTATCGAAGAACTGACAAAAATAATCGAAAACCTCACCGTTAATACGACGACACGTATTTTCGATCAGCTTTCCGACGTCGTCACTGGAACAGTGATAAATATCCTCCAGCGATGTTAAAACCACGCAGGAAGGAATTTGGCGAAGATATATCGCGTCAATTACAAGCACTGAACAATGTGACCATGTTGGGAATGCTTCCGAACAGCTCAATATTCTGTTCATTCAAAACTCATACCCACCAAAGAAATACTCATCATATCTCTTTCAATAACATTCTAGCAAAAAATGACAGAACACGGTAAGTTACTCAAAATACATGCCTTCTCACATAAATATACTCAGCCAAGCAAACCTCATTTACATCTCATAGGCATAATCGAATTTCAACCAGACAATTACAATTTTCAAGCCGTGTTTGAACAAAACAACTGGGGCTTCACGAGATTGTCCCAAGCAAAGTCTGAACACGTCTGTCAGACACTGACAAAGAAGCTCTAGGAAAAAACTAAGAAAACAATTAAAAAAAAAAAAAACAAAAAAAAAAAAAAACCCAACTCGTCGTTTGCTTTGGTACCAACACATATTTCACGTTGACTAAAACAGAAACAGGTACTACAAGCTCCTTTCATAGCTTGGACCAGCAGCCAAAAAAAATCCGCAAAACATCCTATTTTCGTCCTTCCCAACTTCGAAGGCTACTTTAAAGACAAAGATATTGAATATAAAGTGTACTTATCATGATTAAATATATTGCTAACTCTAATATACCATTCATTCGTTTCCTAGTATTTGGAGGCAACTACGCAGAATAATAAAAAATGAAGAGCAAACACCAGATCAGATTCTGAATAATAAACCCAAAAAAAAAAATCAAAAAAATCAGCATCTTCCCAAATTCACTATAATTTGTACCCAAACACTAAAAGAATTATCAACTTGCATTAGATAGGTTTTTAAGGCGTTTTCACAAATAAATATTAGATAACATTATTAAATTGCTGAGGTGATTGGCAAGCTTTCAACATACCTCTTTTTTTTTTCATATTGCATGTGCTGAAATGTGCAAACCATTTCTACTCAATCAAAACAAATATACTGTGCATCAGTTGATAAAACTGTAACAACGTACAGTAGTAATCGAGACAAAATGAGCTCACCTGAACAAGTAACCTTCTAAAAGCTGCCTACTCCGAGGAGCCGACAGTACCGTCTTCGATACGACGATTTCTCCTGTGAGGGCCAGGTCTTTTCTAGACAGACCAGATGGTATTGACAATGGTAATGGTGGTCTTTGAAGCATTAACATCGCTTTGCCTCAGTACTAGGCAAGTTTGACACAACTTATTAACGTCTTGAGCCATGGACATTCACTTCCTTCGTATCGTCACTCTTGCAGTTGTGAGAAATTGCATAAGGTAGATTACTAAGTTACTTAAATACGTGGTTATAGTCAATCCAGCATACTTACTTTTGACGTGCGAAAATCGTCGATAACGGCAACAAAAGTTAGAAACGTCTATTGCCTCCTCCAGAGCTCTTTATACAATATACCGGTGACTCCTATGGTATGGTTTTGACAACATCCTTCCCATGCATACCTTCACCAAATACAACAGGTGGCATCGATTTTCTGTCTTCATTTTTTAGGCTGCCACTTACTTTTCCATCAGCTTGTTTAAATCTATTATCGAAACCCCGTTAGATTTTATGCACTATGTGTAACTTTTATATTGCAGGGCAGTTCTGACCCAGATTAAGGGGCCAATCAGGAATAAGTATCTCTGAACTAGAAAAGTTCGTTTTTGAAGGTTCATCCCTTCTCTTTTATTGTTTTGTGCCGTTTGACTATTTATACTTACCATTATGACAGCGTCAGTTGCAGATATATTTGAAGACTATGTTGAAAGTAAAAAGTAGAGATTGTAGTTTAAAAAAAGAAAGCCCAGTAAACTTACTTACTTTCATAATGCAGGTCTCCAAAATCTACCTTCAGAAATCGATCAAAACATGCATGAACTGAGAAGCATGGATGAAGAATTTCAACGTATTGTAATTTATGAGCTTTACTTTTCGAAAAAAAAAGGAAAGGATTTTTTGTTTAAGTGTAACGTTCTTTTAACGTATATAGGGTTCAAAGACATTTACAGCAAGCACAGAAGGACTTACGCAAAACTATACAAAACATTGAACAACAACAGTGGTAATACAGCTACCGAAAATAGTAGTAAAAGCAGCTCTTCTTCACCGTCAACAACGTCGCCTTTACTAAATAAAAGTCATAGCAATTTAGCTACAGCAAGGCAACAGATAGAGAAAGATTATTGCTTAGCAGTACAAAAACAGGACCAGAAGATTGAATTGACGAAAAGAATGTATGAATTAGTAAATAAGCATATAGAGCGAATAGATTCACAGATGACGAGAAGTGATTTGGGAGATATAGAATGGATTCGAAGCTCTCCTCCAAAAAATAGTAGAACAAACATTAGTAGTGCTGTCAGTAATAGCCATAATGCAGCCATTACCGCGCCGACGACTCCTAATACAGCGACGGTTGAAACAATACCACACAGATCATCAAATCATCTTACTTATAGCAATAGATCTTTATCAACTATTAAAAAGAAACAATCTCCCCATAGTAGTTCATTTTTCGGAAGGAAGAGGTGACGTACACAAATTTGTTCAAAGCAGAATGTTGAGCAAATAATTTACTCAGTTTTATCTTATATTGTGATTAATAGAACGCATCATTCTTTTCGACCGAATCCGACATTGAATTCCCAATTTTTGTCTGAGATGGATAGTGATCCTTACGAACCGAAATATTGTTATTGTAACCAAGTATCCTACGGAGATATGGTTGCTTGCGATGGAGAGAATGTGAGTACCTTAGCAATTACGATATTCGAAGCATTGCATTATGGCGTACTGAGCTATCTTCAATGCTATTTTATAGTGCGAGAAAGAGTGGTTTCATTATGCTTGTGTAGGCTTAACAGAGCCCCCTATCGGTAAATGGTATTGTGAATATTGCAGTAGTAGTGGAGACAATAAACAGCAATACGAACAACCGGAAGAACAAGATAGATATAAGAAGAAGATAAAGAAAGAACATACCATTTCATATTAGTACATAATACAAGACAAAAAGTAAAATACCCTTTATAGTATGATCAACAGTGGTAAACTGTTATTCTACGCAAAATTAATGTTGAAAAAGGCAATGTATATTTCATGATGTAAGTAATTGTTCATTTGCATGAGCAGTCTATTCTTTTTTATTCGAAGCAGTAGTATCATCATCGGCCGCCTTTCTATTGCCCTTGTCACTCTCATTCTCATCTTCATTGCAAATCTTCTCTTTAATTTTACCAAAAGCATTTTTAAAAAAGCCGCCATCTTTTTTACTTGAGTTGTCAGTACGTTTTTTACTGCTATTATTGTTATCATTCTGTGTTCTATCTGTTGTTGAGGAATCTTTTGCTGTAGTGGCGTGATTGGTTGTCTTAGGAGAAGGCGGTGGTGTATCAGGTTGTTTAACGATAGGTTTCTGTTCTTGTTTTGGTCGATACTCTTCATCGACTAGAGCCGCGTATTCCTGAATGATTTCCTTTTGTCTACCTCTCAAGGATCGAGGGAATTCCACTTTAAGCGTAACAATCTGGTCTCCACGTACGTGGCTGTGTAATTTCTGAATACCGCGTCCTCTCAAAGCGATATTATCGCCAGGTTGAGCTCCGGAGGGTATCTTAACATCCACATCGCCGTCGATGGTAGGAATACGGACACGTCCACCCAACATTGCCTTATAGAAAGGAACTCTGGCATCCACAAAAATGTCAGCATCCTGTCGACGGAATATGTTCGAAGCTTGCACATTGAGAACCACAAACAAATCCCCATTTGGCCCTTGTCCCTCGATGGGAGCATCCCCTTCGCCAGATATGCGAATGCGTGAATTATGATCAACACCTGGTGGCACTTTAACCTGGACGGTTTTACGTTCTTTGACTTTTCCCATACTATTACATGTATGACAGCCAGCGCCGGGCGGAATAGAAGATCCTACACCTCCACACGAACGGCAGGTCGTTTGCATATGGAATCCTCCCATGCTGATAGTTTGCACACCGGTACCATGACACACGCCACAAGTAGCTCGCTTCTTACCTGCGCCCAATCCTGTACCTCGACATGAGCTGCAGTTGGTAACTTTGTTAATCTGCACAAATTTTGTAGCGCCTTTCACAGCTTCCATGAATGATAGAGTCAACGGCACTTGTATATCCTCGCCTTGAGATGGGTGGAATGGGTTACCACCTGCTGCTGATCCTGCTGCAGCTCCTCCAAACCCACCTCCGAAGAACTGATTGAAAATATCATTTGGATCAAATCCACCAGGAAATCCATTGCTGCCTCCACCAAAACCGCCATAAGGGTTTCCTCCAGCCCCTCCCATGCCACCACTCGGATCAAATCCATGCCCGAATTGGTCGTATTGCTGTCGTTTCTGATCGTCAGATAGTATTTCATATGCTTCTTGAATTTGTACAAACTTTTCCCGTGCATCTTTATCCTTATTTGTATCTGGGTGGTATTTTTTAGCGAGCTAACGATTAATTTATAAGTAAGAGTTAGTTCTGATTGCTTGCATAATGCCAGTGATCATGACTGTCTCGTTACTCCATAATAGGCCTTTTTAATTTCGCTGGCCGACGCAGTTTTTTTAACTCCTAGCACTTCGTAAGGATCCCTTTTTGGTGCTGAAGTAGGTGCTATGTGATATAAAGTCAAATGTTAGTACGGATAATCTTCACTCTGATACATGCCATATTCGCTAGCCCAATGCACTCTTGCAGTTATAGGATATTAAATTATCTCCCCTTTCTCATGGCAGTAAATTCAATTACCTGTTGCATGAATACATCGCTATATCCCAGATAGAAATGAATTATAGTAGTGTTGAATATTAGATATTGACTAAACATATGTATAAAGGAGGCATTTGTTTGATTGATTACCTTTTGCTGGTATTTGTGATGAACGGTATTGCCAATAGTCTTCAGACCGTCTAGTCAAACGTAATAAGTTATTAATAAGAAACAGTATCAAAAAGTAAATACGGTTTGTAAGGAAAGGCCCGTCAAAATGAGCCTGCAATTCCTCATACTAACGTAGATCTAGCACATTACTTTTTCTCAATAAGCTAAAGAACCGTTTTGAGCATAATTTATTAAAGTGATAAGGTTCCCTTTTTAAATTATTACAGAGGGTAAGTTTTATAACGTGTAATGGTGTAGTCATGTAGTCATGCAAATGAATGTGGTGGAAAAAGGGTAAAATGGAAAGAAAATTAATGACAGCTGGGGTGTGCCCAGGGTTACATCCCTTTAAAATTTTCTGGATCAGGTATTTTTTTTTCTAGAATGGATTAGAAAACAATGGGAAAAACACAGCAACATTTCACCAATTTCAGTGTTCCTTTTTTAGTTGATGCCATCTGTGGAAGTAACACCTCTGGTAAGTCTGTTGTTTTCCTGGGGAGTATGATCTTCGTCTGGTTCAGAATCCTCCTCATCCAGCTCCGTTGTTAAAGGCTGAAGGTCTTCAAATTCGTAACCATTACTATTTGTGTTCATAGGTCGTCTGCTAGTGAGGGGTGAACGTGATAATTGCGGCGATCGCTTTTTCTGATAAATAAACATAACACTAGCCACACTCAAAATAGCCACCGAACCCAAAATAGCATAAATAACTGTTAGATAGCGATGCTCGTCCTCTTTTTGTGAGGCATCAACAGATGATGAAGTGTCTGTCTCTGATGCTACGTCCGAGGACGTACTAGCTATTATTGTTGTGGTAGTTATTGAACCGCTAGTGTATGTTTTACCAGGTTTAATACGTGTAGGTCGGGAAGGTGGCGTATCATCCATTGATGTGGTTGCAGGCGGCGAAGTAGAGATAGAAGTTGTATCCGGTATATCATGCTCTTTATCGTCGTGTAATCCTTCATTTGAATGAATAGGTTCACCCACAAAAGCTGGATCCTGTTCACCATAGAGTGTTAGTGTCCAATTTAACATATGACCTTTTGTTTCAGGGTTAGCCACATCGTAAACCATTAACGTCCAATTTCCTATTGGGTTTTCTTCCCTGCAAAAAGAGTTTTATGTTACTCGGAGATTGTCATACATCAACTACATTGACCCATCGTCTTTCTTCTTACCAGTGCTTTACAGACATAAACTTCCAATTTTGCATGCCACTTTTGTCATTATCCAAATGTCTTCTTGTTGCCAGATTGGATACTACTTGATTCGGACTGACTAAATCCACTACTAAATCACCACGTCTATCATGTACAATGTTGACTGTTGCTGTAATATGTTCTAATCGGAGCAGGCCTGCTGCTTGTATCATCTCCTCTGTGACCAAAACTGTATTTTTCAGTGCTTTTCTCGTTTTCAGCCCTGATGAATCTGGTATAGCTCTTTTTTTGAATGGGCTTGGTAATTCAAGCCAAGTCTGTTGGTTGACTAGTATGAAATTTTTAGCTGCTTCTATTAGTCGATAGGCATCTAATTTACCATAGCCGAATTTATGATTGTAGATCCTTCCTGAAGGCAGCATTTTCCAGTCGTCGTCCAAAGTGTTCACAGGCACTGCCGTTTGCACGCATAAATGTTGCAAATCTCTCCAAGTGAGGTCAGGCCTAACCGACAGAACGAGAGCAAATATACCTGCTGCATTGGGTGCGGCTGCGGATGTACCGCCATGACGATCTGAGCAACTGTTTTCACCCACGTCAGTTGTATGAATATAGTTTCCCCCTCCACTAGAATAAGTTACCACAAGCTGAGCCGAGCAGCTTTCCGAATAAGAAGGGTGATCATTATTGTGATCAATGGCTCCTACGGTAATGGTGTAGATACTATTGGTGTAGCCATCAAAGTTACAATTATCTCCTGAAATAGCACCGTTGCCTGTTGCAAACACATAGATTGATCCTTTGCCATCTCTTCCTTTTTCGATACCATTAATGAAAGCGTCGGCTAGAATTCCATTGGGTGCTTCCATTGTCTGTCCGTTATCAGGCGGCCCCCATGAACAAGAAAAAATATGATTCTGTTGATACTCGTAATTAAGCGCAAGAGCTTCGTCAGCGTCCGTTAAATCGCCCGATAAGATACGCACACCGGCTACTTTGGCTTCGTAAGCTATACCCATACCACATACATCGTTGCGAACAGCAGCAATTTGTCCTGCACATCTCGTGCCATGACTATCATCCCAAAGTTTTGGTGTAGGGAGGGATTCATGGTCGTTGAAGTCGTACGAACCCTCGGCAAAGAAATTGTCGGCCAAGTCCTTGCTTTTATAATCTAAACCATCGTCAAGTATAGCTACATTGACGCCTTTGCCAGTAATTCCTTGTTTCCATACACCGGTGACATTGATATCATTTCCAGGATTTTCTAAATTAATCTTTTTTTTTTTTATTTTATTCCGAGGAAAGGGAGTTTCATTAGAGTAAAATCAACAACGCTTTAACTTAAGGTTTAAAATCGAGCCTTTACCAAATGCCATTGCTTGGGAAACCATGGATCCTTGATTTTTAGTGCTGTTTGCGCATCTTTTAGTGTTTCGTTAGCGGGTATAATTGGCAGCCTTTTTATACGCTTTTTTAAAATTTGTTTGTCGAGACGGTTAGCTTCCTTCCAAAAGCGAGAGTCGTCTTCATCTCCTCGCTTGCGCAATGACCGTCGTTTCAGTGTCTTAAATTGTTTTACAATAAAATCTTCTTCTTCTTCTTCTTCTTCTTCTTCTTCCATTAGCGAAGCCCGTTTTTCCATTGGGTTATTGCTTTGTTGTTGTTGTGGTGTGCTCATCATAAACCAATGATCTAATTCACCTATTCGACCCTCGAATCGTCCACCTAATCGCTGTATGATGTGTTCTGCACCCATCTGGGTAGGTATATTGAGTGTATAATAACTTCTATTGGCTTCGCGCTTTCCCATATACTTTTTCAGTTGCTGTGCTGTTGTGCTCGTTATGAAGACAGCCGAAGCCATCACTAAGATGGCAAAAGTGGCTAAACTGTGGACAGGAGCCATTATCTATTTAAGGTCTAAGGGTATAAATACAAAGATATGTAGCCTTTAACACTTTGTTATGTGAAAAAGAAAGCTGTATTTTTTCTCGAAAAGAGGAGTATATGAGAGTGTAAGAAAGCAACAACAACAAAAAGAATAAAAAAAAAAACCAAGATCAAATAAGGAAAGAGAGAACAATAAAGTAAAGGAAATACCTGCTCTAAATTAGATTATTTTATTGAAAAATAATAAATTAGTCACAAATCGCAGAGGGGTGGGACATTGGACTGTATTCGTTAGATTAGTCAAGAGCAGCTGCTTCCCGCAAAAGCTGCGAAGAAGATAGGCTCAAGGAAATAACATTAAGTGCCGCACAAAGAACGAATGGAGGACGAAACGGAATGGCACGAAATATCATTCGGAAGAATGATGTCCATATTGCTCAATGGATACTGAAGCATACGGTGAAAAATCGAGTTTTTTCAACCGAAGGTAGTGATGGTGGGGGGATAGTCTCAGAACAGCTTGAATAGTTGGAGGATTAAAGCATATTGAGGGGAAATACACGGACTAGGCCTTCTTGCCATATCTGCCGGTGGGGAGGACAGCCTGTTTTGAAATGTTCAAAGGTATCGGGGTTATTGTTATAGAGTCGACAGGTTGCCAGATAGAACTATCCCTGCGGCTTGTAAGACGGATAGGCATTTTGCGCATAACAAACTTGTCAAGTTCTATTCTAAGACCGATCACAAGGAAGCATTCTCTATCAATTGCTCTGGATTACCAATGAATTTTTGCTTGCTGGACTGCTGACGGTTGGAAAGACATATACGTCAACCAGACCAGAAAAAAGTGCCATTAGCCAATGGGACTTTGAATACAACCGATGAATACAAAGACAATAGTCCTGAAGAAATTTACCAAACTGTGAATCGGTTGAGAAAATGCGTGTCGGTGAAATTGCAAGAGAAAGCTACAGCAGTCAACAGGCCATGAATGAATAACGATATGTAGCAGAGTCTATTTTTGATGGTATCAACGAGAATCGCAGTTCTGATGGTGCTGCGCGAAGCGGTAATACTGATCCAGAAGGTCTTGGTGATGTCCTTCGTTCGCTCCAATCCTCGTTGACACCATTTGGATTGCTGATATGGTAAAGGATTCTTCGAGCCGCGCTTCTTATTTGAAAAACCACTAAAATAACTTTTCCTATATCATTATGTCCTACATAACTTTCTAAGCAGCCATTAAATTTTCAACAAAATCATATTTATGTGATTTACTATCTATAACCAATTCTTATTGACTATTTTAAAATAAGTAATGCTTTTTTATATCAAGGGAGGGCAGAGGTGGATTTTACCATAACTTCGTCCTCACTTCGTCAACAGACGTATTCTGATTGTACCTTTTAGAAAATTAGCACCCAATTGAGGCCATAAGCACTGTAAAAATCAACTTGGCTTTCTTTTTAAACTAATCTTCTGATTGGCTGATCAAATAATGAATACTATTTTTGGGTTTTTAAACACAAAATCATTTGTAATGGTTGGGCAAGAGCCGTGTTGAAACGTTCGATTTCCAATATGAAGTGTTCCATTTGTCTTTCTTCTTCTACTATTCGTACTTTAATTACCTTGCTCTTTTTCTGGTGGATATGGTCTGTCACTACAATTATAACAGCAAGGATCACGCCTCTACTTCTATCGATTCATCGCTATCGCCATCGCGTACTGAATTATCCACGCGTTCATCAACACAATCATATACTTCATCCATTATTAGGAACTATTGCATTGACAATAATCCTTCCTATGACCAAGATTTTCCTTGGTTGTGGAATAAATCGCAAACGTCGTTTAACCAGAGTAGCATCCTTTCCTCAATATCCTCCGATATACATACAATAAGACGATTCAATACAGATGTCATTTCTTCGAACAATATTCATACATTTACCACAAAGTCAATGCAAAAGAAATGGCGTCCATGGACAACACACAAAATATGGTTGATGCTTGCTAATACACTGGTAATAAACTATTAATGAGACGAAACCAAAATATGCATCTCATTTTCAAATTCATTAAAACTCATCTGTTCAAGTCCAATCATCGTTTTTTGCCTTCTCTTTATCATTTTCGACGCGAAATGTAGCTTTTCATCTATGGACTTGCATGCTTCATGCTAGGTATATGTACCTACTGTAAACGTAAGTATGATGGGTCAATTGTTGTAGTAATAACATATCTCAATTGAAAAGGTTTTTTTTTTTTTGTATTTATGTAGTATATCTACGAGCTATTATATTTCTGATCGGGGAAAGAACGCTAGCGAACTGTAAAATCTGTTTCTTTCATACTTCCTTAAGCATTCGAGAATATACACTAAACTTTAAACACATATCAATCTCTTTCTCATTATGTGTAGTAATAACAATCACGGGCTGTATCTGTTTATGTACCTCGCTACTTGGCTATACTGGTATCGTATTACACCATCGTCCTATTTTAGCCATTTATAATCTTTTGCTATGGATATGCTTGGGCTTTATAGCAAGTATCGGCTACTATTCTTATCGTAGAATGAAATGGAACATTGAGGTAAGTTGCTGCTTTTCTAATAGTCATAGCAAAATATGTTAATTTTTAAATAAATTTGCCCACACGTTATCTATTCATACTAGGGCAAGTTATCTTATCAATGGCATTATCAGTTAAGCTCTCAAGATAGGGCTACTATCCAAGCCAATTTGCATTGCTGTGGATACAAAATTTATTCTGATTTCCATGAAACTTCTAACAAGTGCTACCCTCGCACGCTTTATCCTGGCTGCCGATCCAAATATCTGAATCTCATTAAAGGCCTGTTAAAGAACGCCTGGACCATTGCATTTAGCATTGTGCCTGTGCATCTGGCAATATTGATATCGGCTTTACTTTGTTCTAACCATGTAAATAATACGTTTGGAAAAGGATTGCCACCATACTTATATCATGTGAATTACAATGTGGCAATGGCACCCATCAGTTCTGTTGACGTAGCGCACTATGATGACAGTACAACCACAAAGAGCGATTCTTCCATAAGAAGACGTGCTTATTAAATACCTTGATCTTACACACACTATTAAAAAAGTTTATTTACTTATATGACACCTTCCACTTTATTTACATGTTGCTGATTTATTCTACATATACAATGCACATATCAAAGATCATTATGTATACCACAGTTTGGCTTTCCTTTCATTCTTACTGCAATTCAACATTTCTATTTTGACTTTTTACTGAAATAGACCCCAATCTTTGATCTGTAATCCTTCTACAATCGCTTTGATCTCCTGTTTCACTGTAGCGATGTTTGTTACTGAATTACTTTGATTGATCGACTTTTGCTCACTACTTCCTGGAGCTAAAGAGACTGGTGCATTGATAGAAATGACAAAATCGGTGGCTACTTGAGTTAAACGAACAACAGCAAGAAAAATCTCAACTGTATTGCATGCTCCCTCTTCGTTGAATTTGGCTATTTTCTGTTCGCCTTGAAGAATATATATTTCTGTTCTTTCGGATCTTTTATAGTTCAAAAGAAAAGAATCACGAAGAGAAATTAAGTCTCATGAATGACCTGTTTTATACTTGCACTGTAAATCACTTACGAGATTGTTGATGAAACAGATTCTGGTTGGAGTTTTTCAATTGATATAACAGTTGCATCTGTGGCTTCATTATCTTCAGCCAGTTGTTGGAAATGAAATCTAAAGAGTTCAGTTGGTATCATCCATAATACGAGTCCTTTCCTTTTTTGCTCAACACGTTACTTTGGAATTTCATTTTTATGCGCGTCCACTTCCTCCAATAATTCGAAAATCAGACTCTGTTGTGTATTCATGTCAACAAAAACTTCTTGATTATCAGGAATCTGTCTAAACTGACTTGCCAAATCCCCATTCACGTAAAGTTTTTATAGGTTAGGCAATTTCAAACATTCAAGAGAGAAAACTTTTTGCATAAAAACAAACCTAGCATCAACAAAAGTCTTTGGCACGGGCGCCACAATGGCTCCTCCAAACAATGCTGCGTTATTCATGACTTGAACCGCCTTTTTGTACAGAAATCGCGAAAGAAACAACTATTTGAAAGCTTAAAAATCATTTGAACTTAGCGACGGTCACGGCGGGCTTGTAACTTTTTTCCATTTACGACCCTTTTCCAAATTTGGGTTTGCTTCCCCACCCCCGAATAATAAATGCCTTCTGTCCCTGTTTTTCTACGTTTCAACCTAATCACGCATTAAGATGTCCCAAGCTGTTGGAAATGTAAGAAACAACCAAACTAATCTGTTTATTTTTGTGCTACATCTTATATAAGTTTATATAATAATAGACCGCACTTGCTTATGCTCGAGCATGGCACGTTGTAGATGCGAAACAAAGAGTATTGGGACGCTTAGCTACGAATATCGCAACAACCTTAATGGGAAAGCATAAACCGATCTATGATCCTGCTTGTTAGTACAGTCAAGTGAATAGTTTGTTTTAATCTCAAATATCATTAAAATGTGTTGTACTTCTTTCTTTTTGCGTACTAAAAAATGCGTATATAGCTGATTGTGGCGATTATGTGGTCGTCATCAATGCTAAAGATATCTTAGTGTCAGGAAAGAAATATGATCAAAAATTATACCGACATCACACCATGTATCCTGGCGGCTTAAAAGAGATTACATTTAAAGATTTGCAAGCAAAAGATCCTACAGAGGTAGGTATACCTGAACAATATTGACATAAATTTGTATGAAACTATTGATTGACTATTACTCAATACGCCTACATTTAGCCTATTCGTAAAGCAGTTTCTGGTATGCTACCTAAAAACAGGCTCCGTAAAGTGCGCTTAGAACGATTGAAGATTTTTGAAGGAAATGATCATCCATATAAAGATAACATCATTGTACAGCATGGTTTGGAGGAGAGCAGAAAAGTGTCTCAGCAATAGAAACCAGAAATGATATCCTTGAATGTCACCAAAAGTTCAGTTGAAAATGTACATAAAATCAACATTTCGGTCTATTATGTTCGAATGTATAACTTAACTAATTATTTCTATAAACTATCTTTGCCAACAAAACAAAATCTTGAAAAGTGAGTTATTTCATTCGCACATACGGATGTATATACTAATTGCTGCTGGTAATGGGATGAAGTTAGACAGCGTTATGGTATATTGATTCGGTTCTCTGTTACCAATGAAATGCGTGCTTAATTGAAGTTTCTTTTGATGTATAATTTGAAGCTCTAAGGATTCATTTTGAGAGAATTAAAGTCGAAGAATAAAAAAGGCAGAATGCAATAAAGAATATGAGCAAGAACATTTCAATCAGATTCTTCAATATGTAAAACCGTCAATTAACCAAACATCCTAAAATGGTTGTCAGTATCCGTTGAATGATGTACTCTTAAACAGGTCACATTGACTCATAAATGTTTGAAGAACCTTCCAATATTCCTCTTCTTTGCAAAATTATGAAGAAGCAAAGTGTTCTGAGTATTATACATGACTACTGTAGTATGTTATCTCCTTGACCGTACGCCTCAATGATCGTGGTGAAATTTTTCCGGAAAACAATATCAATTTTATAGAAGTGTTATTGTCAACCGCTTTTCAAAAATGTACACTCAAACGGGTAGGTTTGTGCCCTTGTTATTAGTTTAAGTACGTTTCATTATAGCACTCAGCGATTATAGTACCTTATTGAAGTTAGATTTAACGTAATATCATCAAATTAGTAAAGATACCATCAGTTATTCTTTCGAAATATGGTAATTGTGTGAACAGATAGTGCTATATCCAGTTAAGCAAGATTTATTTTACCAAAGGAACTATAGACGATAGTATCTGCCATTATCTTATGAATGTATCTTCGAGGTTGATGCTCCATTCCTCAAACTTTCAATAAGATCATCTTTACGATAAACAAATCCTTGACCGAGTACATATTCTATTTTGTGCACTTGTCTAAAATGCGCAAGACAGTCTTGCAAATTATCGTAAAGGGTTACATCACATTCCTCACACGATGGTAATATATTATGGAATAAGTTGGCGTTCGTAAGTAAAGTATTAACCATAGGTAATAAGTTTGACATATGAGCTGCCTGTAAGTGCTCGCGGTAGGTAGTACTATTATAACCTGTGGTAAGGCAGAAACGGCATTGTATTTCGGGTATACTTTTTTCAAACTTGTAATCATTGTAAGAAGTGACAGTACTGTTACGTTTTCTGGAAAGAGATTTATCAGTTCTAGTCTTGGTTTTTGGTGCGCGTGACGATGTCACAATACTATGCTCAACTTCAAGGTGAGTTGTATATTCATTCATAGTCGTAAAGCTTTGTTGACAATTGTCACAAAACAGAATTGCAGAATTACTTGCATCCGTAACGTCATTATTACTATTGCTGCTCGTGTTATCTGCGTTTATAGCTGATCGAAATAAGTCTGGTGCGACTTGATGAACTTGTTCCATGTGCTCGCTATAATCAAGTCGATTAAAAAAAGGTTGAGCGCAGAGCTGGCATCGATCATATGGGTTTACTATTGCACTTGATGTGCTAGTATTATTGGCAATAATCTTAGTAGCTTTAGACTCAAATCTCTTTGATCTTCTTGCGGATACGGTCGCTGGCATTGCTTGTTCATGCACTTTGCTCATGTGTGTTTGGTATCCTTTTTTATAATGATAAGTTTTACCGCATCGATCACATCTATAAATTGTTTGCGCCTTGACTTCCCGAGTCTTTTGCTTTTTAGGTTTACGCTTGTTATTCGTAACGTCAGTAACTTCGTTGTATTGTGAACTGTTGATAGACTTTGTCCTCAAATGTTGCGGTGAAATTTCCGTTGATGTACTTGATTGCCTGGTATCAGCTTTCCGACCTCGTCCTCTCACAAATGCTTGTTGTTCCGTATCAGAATCCTCATATTCAGAATAAAGCTCATCTTCTAAAAAAGTCGTGGAAAATCAATTCCATATTCCAAAGATTTTTGGTCAATTTACCAAGCGGTGAAAGTAGCATAGGTGATTACCTTCATCGGTTTCTCCATCTATCTCAATGTCATTGTCGTGAGTAACTTGTAAATTTTTCGCCATTTCTTCGACTGAAGGTTTCTCTGAGGGTTCCATCTTTATGGCTGGTAGCGAGGTTGCAGCAGCATTCTCTTCGTACGATGCTGTAATTACAGCTCCTTCTGGCAGTGTCTCTGTGATTTCTGAATCTTCCTTACTCTGTGCTAAAATTGATTGCTTTAATATCGCCTCTTCCTTCTTCGTGTCTGGTTCGTCTTTGATACAACTTTCGTTCATTATTGAATTTTTTGTTGTTAGAAAAAAAAAATGGAAGAAGAGAAATGAAAGCTGTTGAATTTACGCCTTTTTCCCCTTTCTGTGAAAGAAACGGAAATCGAAACCTTACTTGGTAATTGTGTGGAAACCATTTGCATTTAAAACGTCCCCCTTAAACCCAACTTCTTTTGTATCAGATTTTTCGACACAATTGTGCTTCAGTCATTGTCCATCAGTATTGTAGATTTATTACCATAAACAAAGCAAATCTAATCATCAATGTCTGGTAATAATGCTCGTATCAACATTTTCCCTACGCGAATGTAAACCGTCATTCTTTGCAGCCGATAAACCATACAATTTTCAGAAGTAACTCTTTGTAACGAACTCTACTATTACCGTAATGTATAGGGCGTTAACAAACATGAAGCTGAAGTTAAAAGGTGCTCAAACGGGTCATTCACTTTTAAAGCGTAAATCAGAAGCTTTGACAAAGCGCTTCCGAGGCATTACAGTGAAGATTGACGAAGTAGGTTCAGTCTTGCTTCTTGACACAATTGTGATGAAGCATATTTACAGTTTTCAATAAGCCGTTACTAATGTAAAATTCAGTTGAAACGCACAATGGGCCAAGTGATGCAGCAAGCCTCTTTCTCTCTTGCTCAGGTCCAATACTTTACGGGAGATATAAGGTTCGTTTTTTTCTTTTTTTTTTGCTGCTATTTCAAAAATTAAACAAGAAACCTAACCGAGGAAGGTCTTAATACTCCTGTGTAATAGTTATCAAATCCAAGAGGCTTCAAAGACAGCTCAACTACGTGTCCGGGCTAAGCAAGAGAATGTCTCCGGAGTTATGCTTCCTGCTTTTGAAATGTATAATGAAGGTGGAAATGGTGAGTTGTTAGGATATAAGATTACTGATTTATATACACTGTATTGATGATTGAGTTACTATTTCAACCATGAGCAAAGCATTTGAATTTACCGGCCTGGGTCGCGGTGGTCAACAGGTACAGAAAGCTAAAGAAGTCTATACTAAGGCAGTAGAGACATTAGTAGAACTTGCCAGTTTGCAGGTAATGTCCACATGACTAAAGTATGTTTAAATATAAAGTATTATGGCACTAAGACAAATGTTGTTCTTTGTATACAAAAGACTGCATTCGTCATTTTAGATGAAGTCATCAAAGCAACAAATCGCCGTGTCAATGCTATTGAGCATGTTATTATTCCACGTTATGAAAATACCATTAAATATATCATTTCTGAGTTAGATGAACAAGACAGAGAGGAATTCTTTAGGTAAATGCAAACAAAAACCCTCCAATAGAGCCGTATTATCGCCATTCGCCAACCAATTACTGATAATGGTTAATAGATTGAAAAAAGTGCAAAGTAAGAAAAAAGAACGTGCTGCTGTTGAAGATGCCATTAGAGCTCGAAATGCTATGGAAGCTGACAGAAACGGTCATGAAGGTAATATACGAAATGAAGAGTCAGATACTCTCTTGCAAGAGCAAAAGACCTTATCTAATCATTTTTTTGCATTGTTTTCAGCTCCTATTCTTCAAGCTGCTGAAGAAACGGGCCAACTTAACGTATTGGACCATGAAGATGAGGATATTATTTTTTAATTGATGGGAAGATGACATATACACGCTTATGTATCCAGATTGTTATAAAAAGTCTAAATGGCTAAAAGGAAAGCCCTTGAATTTTTAAAAACGCATGTACAATATTGACTGCCTGTCGAGCAATACTTTATCTGTATGTATGTAATTTTTCAGGATTTAAGGATTAGGATATTAATTATCGTAGTGTGATTACTGAGAGATTATTACATGAAATTTCAAACATTAAATGGTGACAGAATTAAAGAAAAAATCGAACATCATGTGGAACGTTGCATCAATTCCGATAACTTCTTTCCTATTAATAGTTAATGAGTATTATTGTATTTTTACTAAGGCATTCCTGACGGACTACTTATTAACGTTCTGTGTGGATTGGCAGTAGAATAAAATGGATAATCACCGTCCTTTCCGGCAGTTTGCTGCATAGGTGGCCTACTATTGATATAGTCATCTTCATCCTCGTCATCGAAATCATCTTGAGGTTGGAATATCTCCCGGTCTGCTTCAGATCTAAGTCTCCTTCTACGAATGAGGAAAAAGGCTAAAACACCTACAAGGGCGAGACCAACAACGCCTCCTACAACACCGCCTGCTATAGCACCTGTATTGGTTTTAGAGCCAGACGATTCAATAAATGTTGTAGTAGTGGGGCTTTGTACTGAGGAAGATGAAGTCATGCTCGAATTAGACATCGATGTATCTGTTGACGAAGCTAATGTAGGTTCTTCCGTAGGTAGCATATCGGTCACGGTGCTGCTGCTCGTATTATCAGTAGATGTGGGTTCGGTAGGGTAGACATCTGTTATGGTGGTTACAGGACTCGTAGCATTGGGATCAAACGTTATACTTGTTGGATTCGCACCGTTATCAACATCAGTTATTGTTGGTTCTGACCAAGGGCCATCCGTAGTTGTTTCTAGGGCAGAATGAGTAAAGTATTCTTCATGTATCCAATTTTTTATTTTAGATACTTACCAGGATTCGAGACTTCATCATTAGAAGTAGATGGAGTATTGCTATCATTGTCTCCTTCATTTATATTGCTGGTATCAACAGCTGTGCCACTACTATCGTCATTTTCGCCGCTGCCATCGCTCATAATGCTACCTTCGCTGTCATCAGTATCCGCATCATTATCCACGGTATCATCAATGTTATCTATAAAGTAAAATGTCCGCTTAATTACAATAACTTCTGATACAGATCTGCAAAGCTTTAAACTATTTAGCTTACCACTGCCGCTGTCATCCTCTTGAGCTTTTATGGCTGCGCTCCATAAAGCAAAAGTAGTTACAAAGTAGAGAAACTGGGAACATAGGCGCTTCTTCAGGAGTAACATATTCTTAGTAGTGGATTTAAATAAGCAAATATATGGAAAGAAGAGGAAGAACAAGGGCAAATTTGTGTTATCGCACGTTGTCAATAAACGAGGAAACCCAAAAAAATTGTCCGTGTGCAACATAAAATAGTAGAGGATCAAAAGGTTCTTAATCAATTCGAATAAAAAAGTTCGGCTCAGGTTCCATACACCATTGCGAGAAGTTCGTTGAAACAAAAAAGCATTTTATTCTTGCTCACTAACCAGCACGACACAGTTTCAGCCATGATATATCGAGCAGCTTCCTGTAAATTTGTGTTGGGAAAACCTTGCATGATATGAGACACCAAATATGAACATTAAACAGGGGATCTGCTGCTATTTTATTCATTTTTTACAATTGTTTAACTCAACTTAATGCGGGGAAAGTGCCATTGAATCAATTAATCTATTATTACAGTTGTATAGGAGCCGCTCGCAAGGCACCAACGCATTCTCTCTATAAAGACTTTTGGCAAAGATGTATAATATGTAAGATTATTTTACGCAACATAAGTTTGGTTTTATGTGTACAAATTTTCCCTAGCATTGCCCTCATAGATTGTGCTATCGTCTTCAATATATACTGATTTTTTTTATTTTCACACTTCAGCAACAAGCTTCTCCACGTTTGTCGTGTAATAATTGCCTAAGCTTCAGCCAAAATAAACAAAATATGGGTTTGGTTACATGGTTTGCAATTGTCATTTATTGTATTGAAAAAATAAATGCTCTGAAGCGCCAAGAAAATGTTTATAGATCCAGAGAAGATTTCTCGATGTGACGTTCATTTTTATATAGTAAAGTATCCACATATTTATTTACAAAGTGACAAGTGGCTCGAACATTATTTAGCAAAGAACATGGATCTTGTCGAGGCTTGGAATATGTATAGTAGCTTTTAGAAAACTTTCAGTTGCTGTTTGGAGGATATCTTTTTCATTTAGAAGAATTCTGTCTTATTGAGTGGTTCTGGAAAATCCTCCAAGTCTCTGAGCTTCTCATGCATGTTTGTACGACGTAATCTTGTAGCATAAGCACTGATCACAGAGGCAAAGTAAAACTGAATTTGATAACATCAGATTGTGTTAAATTTTTTGTGGCTGAGGTTTCTTCGTTACTCCTTGTATGAAAGTACTTTACCTGAATGAAGTTGAACAAGAAAACAATGATTCCATACGATATCATAAAGTTTCGATAGTAAACAGTACAGGTGTCCAAACTCTCCTCTGGATAAGCAGCACAGGCTTCGATAATCTCAGTTCGCTTCGTAACGAAAACAATAACGGTAATCACACTTAGTAGAAACTGTATTAGAGACATGGTCCAGTAACTAATTTTAAATATAGCAATCATTTTCCTTTGTTGCTGTTGAATTATGGAGATATGAGTATTCTCTGAACCATCATCTAAAGCCAAAACCTATTGACTTACGACGATGCTTCCAATAACACCGAGTATAGAAGCAAGTGCAAATATGATTGAAATAGCAATTGATGCGTAATAAATCCCGTTGATTATGCTCATATTGAGTTCGATACCATTATAAGTTACATCTATAAGGTAGAAAGATGACAATCAAGCAATCAATATACGTGCAAATGGTTTCTCTCTTAATGATCAGAAAAAAACAACAGATTAGTACTTGAATAAGGCTTGGTCAAAAACAATGACACCGTACACGCTAAATAGATCATCTATGCAAACAAAAGGCACACTGTCTCGTTAAACAATAAGTATTCTCTTATCTTGAACCTCTCCAGCATCCTTACAGTGGAAATCAAAGCAATAATCATTACACCAGCTCTACATAGCCAAAATGCACATTTTTAATTTATTGAATTGGCGGAAGGAAGGATTGCAATTCGCTGTTATGAATACCTGGCTGGAATGCAACGGCAGCATTTATATTGTCCCATTTTAAATAGTTTAGTATTTGAAGGATTATTGTTATGAAAATGTAGGAAAGCAGAAGAAAGGTCAATGGCGATTCAGGCTTTCTTATAAAGATTTATAGCAAACAGAAAATTAGCATATTTTACCTTCATGGCTTTATCAATTATTCTTTTTTCTCCAGCCCGATTTGTGTTACAGCAAGTACAACGGGATTCGATAAAATATCGTTGACCTAGAGGGCTTTTACAGACTTCTATATCCAGGAACATAGATATCTTAAGCCTTCAAAATACCGCTCTCGGCCTTACAATTTATTGCCTTCGAAAAAACGAACGTGGATTCAACTGGTGTTCTGTCAGAGTTTTCATCATAACAGCACCCAACGAATAAAGTCTTCAACATTATTACGAACTTTACCAGTTGCTGTTTGGCATCTAAACATTTTTGTTAGTTTTGTCAAAGGAGCATTGAAGAGTGTCAACATATTTGTGCTTTCTGATGATGAAAATAAAGCAATGCCATTTGAAAAGAGCTATTTTTAATTTGAAGATGTTCGTGTGGCTTCATAATGTTCAACTTAGATGGAAGTGTGGGACTCTGATGGGCCATCTCAAGTTGTGATTCTGTTGAAGACTATTGAGCTTATCTTACCTTGTAGATGCTGCATTTGTGATTCTCAAGTTGATATAATAAGGGCTTGGATCGTCACGAACTGCCGCAATATGTTTTAAAAGTCTCAATTATTCGATTGCTTTAGTAAGTTTGATAACCGGAAGCACTACAAATGACTGAGACACATCCGACAACTCATCTCTGCGAGGTTCAATGTGCCTGAATAGCTCTGACACACCCATTACTTCGAGTAACTCTCATCAAAATCGTTTAGTCGACTTAGATGTTTCAGATAACGATCATAAGTTTTGCTGACCTATCGAAACTTTAATGGTGAGTTTGTGAATTGGCAAAAACGAGCCACAATCTTCGAAGCGCTTAAGGTTATTTTCACAACTGCCTGCATTGAACTTCTGTGTAACAGAGCAAATCTCATGTAAATGAATCTAAGCAGATTTCTTAAGTTATTCTAATAAATTGAAATTAGCGTCAATATCTCAACATGGAGTTTGCATTTTCCTGCTTCCGTATGTATTCGCTGCTGCTGCCATTAATTACTAGCGAAAGGTTTCTTTAAAATAGAACAATCAAAACTCATGGCTCGCGACTATGCTTATGTGTAATATCCCTTCTTGTTTGATTACTTTTTTTTTTTTTTCTTTTGTGTGCGTGTGTGTTTGTAGGGCTGGGTGAGTGGAGGGATTCAACTAAATCTTTGGTTATAACTCTCTTTTACGGCTCATATCACGAATCACTTTGATTCACTGCTTTTGAAATGCTCCTAAGAAAGTTCGAAAGTGCTTTAAGATCACGACCTAAAGCAAGCATTCAAACACAGGTTTGATCTGATTCATACTGTTTTTATAAATGATATTTTACAAATCCCCAAATTCTTGACATTTAGAACTTGGGGTTTGGCTTAAAACTTTTCTTTTTGACAAAGGGAAGTTGGGATAGTGGGTTAAAGAATGAAAGATACAATTGGTCCAAACATTGATCAAGTAAGCTTGAATTTGGGGAACAATGATCAGTAGTTAATAAAAAATACATAAACTAATAGTGATATAGGCAGTAATGTATCCTTACTGTTACGTTGAAAGTCAACCATTAATCTTAATCATATTAATGGCTTAAAACTACCCTTAAGGCCTTGATTATGAATTGATAAATTCAATTCTATTCTAGGTTTTTTGACGTGAATAAGATACGGTAAGAATCTATTATTGATCGCATCGACGGGCTGCTATTTTTAGAAGGGCGGCGTATCGTTTATGTAGATTAACAAATGCGCAAATTATAGCTGATGTATCATTGATCTCTTTGGTTTTATTTTTCGCCCAGTCTACCGTAGGAAATTATTTTGTCAAGCGCGTTGGCAAAATGTATTCAATGTCATCAATAGCAACTTAGAACAATCTCGAAGCAAAATTGAGCGTTTGTCTTTCATAACCGTCGAGTGTTTTTGTTAAACACGATGTAAATATATAGACTCCCTTCACTTCTCGAGGATTCATTTTCTGTTTCTTATAAGTCCGTACTATGACGTTCAAAGTATGTATTTGGTGCTTATAGTACTCACACAGGTTCATCAGTCCAATGTATTCAATGAAAATAATGGCGGCACGATCAATGATTCAAAATTGCCAGTGTAGTACTTACTTCTTCTTCATTGGCTACAATTACGCGGCAAATAACAAAGTAAGGAACAAAAAAAAAGAAACGCAAAACTTTTTAGTTGCTAAGATTTGTTCGGGCTCTAATATCTTGTTAATGCGACGGGAAGAGCAATTACAGAAGTGATGGGGAAAAGACAACATGGATCCTCATCCTTTTGCTCTCCAAAAACTACAGTTGATACGTCAGCCAAATCTGTAAAATCGAAATACTTCTCTATCGAATCTTATTTCTCCTCAACAATTGCAAACAAACGTTTGAAAAGTAAGAGCAGCAGCAACTCGGCAACCAATGAAGCAATTGCAAACGGCCAAGATTTGGAAACTGAGGAGGCTGTCAATGATAAAGGGAAGCAGGAACAATGTCCGATTTGCCACGCTTTCATTTTAACAGAGTCGATGTCGTTCGAAGTGCATGTTAATTACTGCCTCGATCAGCAACAAACTCAAACACAGGAACAAAAGCAGCAGCTGTCACAGGAGCCTGAAAAAATACAGCTGCAACAGCAATACTGCGATACCAAAGAAGTATTAACGGAACGTCAGAATTGTTTTACAGTATCTAGCAATAATGTTGACGAACAAGCTTCTTTTGAGTACGGGGGTCAATCTAAAGAATTGGACGAATCAACAGAAGTATCATTTTCAGGATTGGTTCAAAAGTTTTCCTATAGGAATTGCAAAGGCACTGAAATGTGCCTTCCAGAAAAGCAACAAAAAGATGGAGAGGAAAAAGAAGGGGATGTTAGAAACAATTCAACAACCTCAACTATTTCTAAAGATACAGAGGTGAACGGCACCTTTAAGCAGTTAGACCCTACTTCATGGAAAAAAGCCTTCTCCTCTAATACATCATCATCAACAGCAACAGTGCTTCGACCATTAGACATTAACGTGAACAATAACATCCTATTGAAGGGGAAAGCCTCAGTCAATAAAAAGAACAAGATATGCCCCTTTTACAAATGGGTCAAAGGTATAGAATAACGGCTTGTTTAATGATGAAAGATTCAGCTAATATTGTTTTGTTATTGTGTACCAAAATAGATACACGATTTGTTGTAGATGCTTTCAATTATGGCGCCATTCCTAATTGTGATGGTTATTTTTTATCCCACTACCATTCGGATCACTTTGTTGGCCTCACTTCAAAATGGTCTCATGGTCCAATTTATTGCTCCAAAGTGACAGCCAATCTTGTGAGACAAGAGCTTCGTGTTGATCCACGTTATATACATCCTTTGCCTATGAATCAGCTTTATCCTATACCTACTCTCAATAAATCACAAAGAACAGCAGCACCAGCAACAGTAGAAGTAGCACTTATCGATGCTAATCATTGTCCAGGTTCAGTACTTTTTCTATTTGTTATCGACAAGAAAATCAGACATTTGCATACAGGTGATTTTCGAGCAGCGCCAAAGATGTGCCTGCATCCATTACTTCGCCAGCCTGAAAACCCACCGATTGGCAATCTATATTTGGATACAACATATCTAGACCCAAAATATGCCTTCCCTGCGCAAGAAGAATGTATACAGGCAGTGTGTAATGCAGTCTTGGCGGAAATCAATGGCTTTGCAGAAAGTGATAAGCCTTCTGATCCTCCTCCGTCTATGCTGGATAAGTGGATTAGGCGACCATTGTTGAGTAAGACGAACAATAACAATAAAGGAGCTCAATTAAAGCCAGTTATGAAACAAGAACAACACATAAACCATGAAGATCTCATGACCAATAATAATGCATTTGAATTGATGATGTCAAAAAGCAAGGCAAAGAATGGTAAAACGTTATTTGTTGTTGGGACCTATACCATTGGAAAGGAAAGAGTCTTTATCCGTAAGTAGAAGGACAAAAATACAAATGACCAATTATACAAAAAGAAAAAGTAATCTTAAACGGTCAAATTTCGTTTTCCCTCGAACTTCAAAGATATTGCGAGGCTGCTAAAATGTAAAGTATATGCACCATCAAAGAAAAAATGCATTTTATTATGCCAGGAAGACGAAGAATTGAAAACAATGCTGACGAATGATCCGACAGAAGCACAAGTTCATGTTGTGTCACTAAGAGATATAAGAGCCGATGTAAGTTATATCAAATATATACAATATTCATTATTCAACCACAAATACCAGTTTTTACTATCCTAGCTTACTCATTATACCTGCTGTGTACCATATAGACCATGTTTGCTTATTTGCATCAATATGAATCTTATTTCAACCGCCTGGTTGCATTTAAACCTACAGGCTGGGCCTTTAAGTCAACCGAATCACAGACACTTGACATGAAATTGGCCCCTTTATGTGATATCATCTTACCACCACCTGATCGAAATCTGATTCTCTTACCCCAGTATTCTTCCAAAAAGGATAGTGGCAAAGTTAAGATTTACAGTGTACCTTATTCGGAACACTCGAGTTTTCGAGAATTGGCGTCCTTTATTGCAAGCCTGGATATCAGGAACATTATACCTACTGTAAATAACCATAATCATGAATCAATGCGTGTCTACTTGGATAAATGGCAAGAAGAAAAGAGAGCTAAAAGGATTGAAGTAGTAGCGTACCCTAATGAGGACCACTGGTAATGAACGGCTTTTCACATTGCAAATTGGCCCGTGCTTTCCTATATATTTATACTACACTGTTCCCATAACAATCAAATAAAATCGCCTCGATGTTCATAGTAATGCAATAAAATGCACCCAATAAGCTCTTCTTATAGATCTACTAGTAAACATGGCAGTGGTAGTGTGTTCATTTATTGTTCTTTTAAAGTTGGTTTGATTGTTTAGATTCGGTGACGATAGAATACCTAAATTTTTCCCTTACCTTTGTTCCTATTGAGTTTCACAAAACAATTAAAAACAGAAAGACGCTTTTTTTCTCGTTTGTATTTGTATAAATGTGTATACACACACAACATGAAAATAACCTTTTTTTTTTCCCTTCCTTCGCCCCTTTTTTCAACTTTTCTTTGTGTGTATTTAAAATAGACATATTTTATCTGGTTTTTTTCTCTATTCTTTTTATCTCTGTTCTATTTTATTTTTTTCTTAATATATAACAACTTAAAACCGACATGTATTCACCGGATCAACAAGCAGAATATGCTGATCATTTTAATCAAAGGCAACAACAACAACATTCACAACAGGATATGTCTCATACAACCGTAGCAGCAGTGCCGGTGATAAACCCTAATAGTAGCCGAACGCCAAATCGAATGTTTAGCCCAACTTCATACCAACCACAGCAACAACACCATCATCAACCACATCAATTTCATCAAAGACAAAGCTCGTATGGTACAGTAGCTTCTGCTATTGCCATGAGCTCACCTCGACAGCATCGTACAGGTGGCCTTGCCGCTGCTGCCGCCGCTTATGCTGACAGTAATAACATTAATCAACAGAATTGGTTTGGAACAAGTTTTGATTCTACTTCATCTTTTGGTCAGTCTCCACCTCATATCTTCACAACAACTAGTGCATCATCAGGCGGAAGAGGTGCAACTGCAGGCGCGGATTTGATTGTTTCCCCTTCCACATCCTCAACACATCTTGATCACACTAGTTTTGCTGCTGCTGCTGCCGCAGCGGCGCATGCAGCAGTATCAGCAAGTGTTAGTGGTAGTAGTAATAATAACCCTAACAGCATTACAGAAGATGAAGAAGCTCAGCAGCAAAGAAACTTGCAAGAAATGTTCGAAAAGAGACGTCGACGAAGAGAATCTCATAATGCTGTCGAAAGGCGCCGAAGGGATAATATAAATGAGCGTATTCATGGTAATATATAATGTATAGTTTCACACATGAGTTATTTTATTTGAGAGGAGCTGTGAGCTCTAATGTGCACAAACATTTACCATAGAACTATGCACACTACTACCTGAAAGACTGTTGGATACAGCCCCTACAAGCTCAAATGTTATGTCAGTTGCTAGCGGCCAAGTGGGTGCTAATGGTAGAGCAATCAACAAAGGCACAATTTTGAAGCTGTCTGTTGACTACATAAAGGAATTACGTGACGAATTGCATCGATGTGAGAATAGAATTCAGGAATTGGAACATATTGTCGAAAGCACCAAAAGAGACGAATTAGTCTATAATAATCATTCGAACAATATTAACAACAGTGTTAACAATAAACTAACTCAACAACATCAATTGGAATTTAACAACCGTAATAACAACAATAGTAATATGAAAAATCTACAGCAACAACAACAAGACACTGGTAACCATAATAATAGTGGTGGTGGTGGCGGTGGTGGCGGACATCAAAGGGTAGGCTCAATACAATTCAGACAGCAATTTGATAAAATGCAAATTACAACAAACATGAAGAACGAACCTCTTTGAAACGCACATATTTTAGCATAAAATTATATCACTTCATTCAACCCGTTAATTTTGTTCTCCGTAATGCAGATATAATTATAGTCATATACATTCCTATACATACAATCTGAATGACATTAAATTGGTTCTTTGTTAAGATTCGAATCCAGGTTAGTGCGCCCAAATTGCTTTTTTCACGCGTTTTTATGGAGAAGATTAGAAGGTTGAATGGTAACCTAGGTTTTGGGGCAATAGTAGGCATCGGTTATTAATAAGTCAACAATAGTTAGTTTGGGTTTTTCTTCAAAACAATATCCCCTACTGCTGCATAATAGTGAATCTCTATGGAAGAAAAAAAAAGATACAAAGTACTGAAGAAGCGATGTAATCTCTTAAATCCGAACCAAATTATTGAGAAGTTGATCTTTTCGCGGAAAGCTTAAGTACGAATATTTGGCAGGAGATATCGCTGGTTTGCTTACGATAAAATAACAGGAGATGAAAGCGTTTCTCTCCAACTTATTGTTCCTTGCGAAGACACTTTTTCTTTGTTTTTTTTTTTTTTTTTTTTTTTTTTTTTTTTTTGTGGAATTCAAAGACATGAACTTCATTATACGTCGAACAGCAATTTTCCGTTGCATCATCATAATCTGAAAATTGATAGGAATAATGCTATATTATCGAATTATTGCTTTGGATGCTTTTAACATGTTATCATTGTTACTAACTGGTGCATCCTCTCTTTCAAAAAAACCTTCGGCTATCCATATAAAGATATTGACGTATTCTATGGATTAATATATTGTCGATGCCTACAGACAAAATAGCGCAATAACCCAGATTAAACGACTTCTTTGTAAAGTATGAGCTATATCCTTTTTCTTAATTTCTCTTACTTTTGGGTCGTAGCCGTACTTGTTCCAATTTTCATCTTTTATAACTTTTGATCAGACATCATTCTAACTTCTAGAGAAGCCAAAGCTCATTAGAATAGAAAAATAAGGAGAAAACCAAAGCATTTCATTGTTTTCTCTATATAACAAGTGCGCGTATCTATTCATATTAGGAACAACAGAGGATGGTTTAGCATATTTCTTGATGCACTCATCCCCAGCAAAGAAACAAAAAAAAAGCAGCGGGCTACACTGAAGACAGTTATGAACGAATGGTGCTACATCAAAAAGGAAGCTGGAAAAGAGAGGAGGAAATAAGATAGGCGAGTACTATATTGCTTGGGTAAAATTATACGAGTATTGTTCACCTTGATACTTTTTTCTTTTTTATAATAAATGTCAGGTTAAGATCGAACCGACGAGGCAAACTCTATAAATGATTTTCAAATAGACAAAGACTGTTAGTCTTGCGTTGTTTTTGGCGAAGGAATGTCAACGCTGCTAAAAATAAGTCGATAAATGCAACCTCATAGGGTGTTCAAGGTTCACCAGAACTGTACAACAGAAATTGCCGTAGCGAGAATTTGACTTTTCATCTTCCTCGCATATCACTGGGCTTGCAAATTCAGGTCAGCAGCAAATCATTTTTGTTACCGCAGCATCTGACAGGAACAGCCTTATCCAAAAAGGAATATAAAATGAATGTGAATTATATTCTTTCTTCCCTTTTGTTTTTTTCAATTCACCAAAAGTTAAAGTAATATCTGAACAGTAGCTTATCATGACTGTATGTATAAAATTTATTATGCATATGCTGCGGCTTGCAATGATCGAAAATGGGAAATCAAATTATGGGCAACACATATTGAACAGGGCACTTTGCTCCATTGATCTTTATAAAGTCGAAGATCGTGCTATTGAGTGACCGATCTTTTATATTGGGTGTTCACATCCGTAGGAAGTTTTTTGACATTTCCTAGAATTGTTGGATCTTTCCCTTTGTGATTGAATGATGTGTTTAAGCACTCGTTTTTTCCTTTAATTACATTGCGTAGCTGCGGCTTTGTTATTCTTAATGACTGTGAGCTAAATTTATGTCTTTTTTTTTGTAGTTGGCTATCGATTTGTTAAACCCCACTATTGAACTTGAAAAACGCTCTCATAAACTCAAAAGGCTCGTGCAATCCCCTGATTCCTATTTTATGGACGTCAAATGCCTTGCTTGTTTTAATATTAGTACTGCTTTCAGTCATGCCCAAACGGTAGTTTTATGTTCTGCTTGTGGTACAGTTCTTTGTCAACCCACTGGTGGCCGCGCACGTTTAAGTGATGGTAAGCAGCAAAACAAGCATCATTGTTTAGATTTTTGAAATTTGATACTTATATCGATTATAATTCGTATAGGTTGTTTCTTTCGTAGAAAAGCCAATTAGATACCAACAGTTTTTAAACCCACCAATTCATAAAAGCTTCAGCCATTGCTAGATCTGTATAAATAGTCTGCTGCGTTTCATATCCCCCTAGGCATTTCTCTGTATATGTACACTGTGTGTATTAGCCATTTATCAAAATAAAATTTGACTCTGAACTGTATTGATAAATAAATTTAAACCACCTCAATTTTAGAAAGATAGTTGTCTTTACTTTGTTTTTAGTTGCACGGAAATTGACCTACGCTGAACTTCAGTGTAGCGAGATGTGTTCCATGTTATCTGAACTTTTAAAATGAACTTTGAAAGACTTTTAGATAATTTCATTAGAGTCCTGTACTGTGGCATGAGATTCGTATTTTCAAAAACCGTCTTTGCTTCCTCAAAAAATCACGTTGCAAAGGATTCTTGATATGCAAGATATTATTGGAAGATTAGACGGTTGCTCAAAGGGAACTTGCTGTTGAGACGGCTGCCATTCATTCTGATACTTTAAAGACTATCGTCTAAATTTTCCCATTGCTGGTAGAAAAGTTAAGGAGAAAGACAATCGCAACAAGAAAACACTGGGTGCGCCAGCTACAGTGATGCAGTCGGGCATTTATGGTAATATTTTGACAGGTTCTGAAGATGTCGTTTTTCTATATGAAGAAAGCTACTGTGAATCTCGGCTTTTACCAAAACATTACCTTTTCCTTCGAACAAAGTTTTAAAAAAGGATATGAAATACCCTCTAGGGTAAAATACCGGAGTTGATCCATAAGTATTTTGCTGGGATCATCATTTCTAAAGGGTCCTATTCTGTGGTAATTCAATACAATTACAAGGTTTCTCGTTCGGGAAACAAGTTATGAGTGTCCTTTATTTATCCTTTTTTTTTTCTTTACTAATTTTAACCGCGCAAATCCTTTACAGAGCTATAATTGCGTGTTCTTCCGGTCATACTAGTAGTAGGATAAGAAGTAGTACGATAGTACGGTTGATTATAGTAATAGGAAGGAATAGCATTAGTAGCTGCTGTAGATGGTATTAATTCTGGAGGTAGCCTATTATTATTTCCATAGTAATCGTATGGCTGTAGCAGCTGCTGCTGATAAGCATGAAGAGAATAATATGGATTAACAAGGTGAGGGTCATTGTATGGTAAATGCGGCGGCCGAAACTGTTGTTGTGCTTGCATTGAAAAAATTGAGGGGTCTACCATCATACTATTATTGACAGTAGGCGGAAGACCGTAATTAAAAGGCAATACAGGAACAGCACTACGCTGTACCGTGCTGTTAGTGTTGTTATAATTAGTGATTTGCATCATCATTTGGTTCAAAACTGCCGCTGCTGCCAACTGTTGCTGTTGTTTTTGATGCAATTGCTGCTGTAAGATGGCTGACTGTTGTAGTGCTGGTAGTTGCTGTTGTTGGTCCAACATAAGCATCATAGCCAATGCTTGTTGTTGCGCCTGTGCTTGTGCTTGTGCCTGGACTTGTTGTTCATAAGGCGCCATGGGAATTGCTGGCTGATTGTTGTACGCTAACGGATGTCCTCCAGTTGATTGTAACTGCTTATTATGAAGTTGTTGATGTTGTGCAGCAGTTTGAGATAATTGATGCTGTTGTGCTGCTATCTGAGATGGAGGAGGCATAGCAGAGTGAGCTTCTGCAGATGTTGTTCCTACTGTCATTGACTTTGAAGGCCCACCAGGAAGCAATGGCGCCGAAGCAGACGCAGCTCCTACTGAAGCAGAAGGCATCGGATGTGGCATTTGCTGTGGTAAGATAGACCTCTGCTGTGAATGGAGCGCCGATGGATCCGTGATAGCTGGTGTAAAGACATTGCCGTATTTTGAAGATGAGGAGATAGGTGGTGGACCTAATCCTAATCGATACATTAAATGATCTAGAATGCCTCCTCCACCTCCACTAGCACGTTGATAATGGGACGCTGTATATGGTGCTCTGACAATATTTGTCAGTTGCTGATGTGACATGGAGGCAGGAACTGCTAAATTTTTTGATTGGGGCTCAGCTACAATGAGTTGCTGTTGTGGAACTGATGCTGTTGTTCCTGTTAAGATAGGGGGCGCTGTTGATGTTACTGTCACAGGTGCTTGAACTAAATCATTCTGAGGAGCTTTAGAGGCACTTTTGGTTTCAGCAGGCAGTGTTTCGGCTGGATTACTAGCAATCTCAGCTGTTGAAGAAACTTGTGGAGAAACGGCAGCGGACTCTTCACCTGCCATGAAAAAGATAAGAAAAGGAAAGTTGAATGAAAGGGAAAGACGGTTAAAAAGTCCTGAGGTGCATCTATTGCCACAAAAGGCTGCAAAAAGACTTAACTATGCGATTAAAGTGACGGTATTTTCTGTCTTCTTCATCCGGATGTACCGAAAACAATAAACATACAATAAGGCAAAAATGATTTTCGTAGTGGTCTGGTGATCAAAAGTTTATGTAATCACAATGGCTTATTGTATGACAGGTTTTTATCCCCACTTTAAGGGGTTTCCTAAAAAATCCAAAATTTAAACTTCTTCTAGATTAAATTTCCTCTGCTTTTAACACTTTTTTTTTTTTTTTTAATTAAACTTCGACGCAAAGAGAAGCTGTTTTCTCTGTTTAAAGATGCCCTTTGGATTTTACCATGATGTAGTTGTTTGTATAGCAAGAAGTGCCCTTTGGTCCTTCTTCTCTGACATTCAGCTCGAAGATGTCGAGAACGTACCTCCGGCATCGCAACCTGTCATTATGTAAGTAACCATTTCATGCAAATATGAAATATTGCGTTATTGATGTTTGCATGTGTCCGCTATTGGATGATTTTAAGTCGAATTCTTATCCTTTTATAGAGCTGCTACTCATCATAATATGATTATTGATCCTGCTGTTCTTTCAGTTACCTACCCTAAACAACGTCGTTTACATTATTGGGCAAAAGATACCATGTTTAAAAATCCATATGCTGCAAAATTCCTCAGCAATTGTGGTGTAGTACCAGTAGATAGAACAACCAAAAACAATAAGTTACTGTATGCTTCTACATTTCAGGTTTTGAAATTGGGGGAAGCAGTAGCCGTCTTTCCGGAGGGGACAAGTCATACATTGCCAAAGCTAGGATTATTCAAAGACGGCACTAGCTTTGTAAGTTTGAGCCATTGTGAAATCATGCAGATTGATGCTGATTTGTCCATCTATTTACAACGTAGGCCGCTCTAGAATATGCTAAGATATGTCATGAAGAAGGTCGTGCAGACTATGCACCTATTTTGCCTGTAGGCATAGTGTATCCAGAAAAGTCAAAATACCGAAGTATTGTCATTGTAAAGTAAGTTGGAAAGCAATATTTTTTTCACTTTTTCTTACTACGACAGACACTACCTTAAAAGGGACTGAGAACACTTCATTAATCAGTTCATGGTGACCTAACTTTGATACAACTATGTAGATATGGAAAACCAATATCAGTTGAGCCTTTCTTATCGTTATACTTACAAGATCCGAAAAGTGCAGCCAAACAACTAACCAAAACACTAGAGAAATCGATGGAAAAACTGACAGTCAATGCACCTGATTGGGAGAGCAGATATGCCGCTGATATGGCACGAGGGGTACTCTTTCCTGACAAATACAAATCGATGACGGAATATATACCTATTACTCAAAACCTGATTGATGCGTTCGTCACACTCGGTGAACATAACACTGAAATTGCGAAATTGAGAAATAGTTTAGTGGCCTATAAATTAGAGCTCGCAGATCTCTTATTGAAAGATACGCAAATTGCCAAATACAGTGAGAAGGATATCACAGCAATTTCTACCACTTTGCAATTACTGCAACGCACCATCCTTAGCTTAATCGACTTGCCTTTGTTCTTACCGGGTTTGATAGGTCACATGCCCCTTTATGTAGCTGGCTATCTTGCGGGTCACTTTGAAATCTACGAAGAAGTCCGTGCTCAGAACAAGATTTTTCTCGGTATGGCATTAGTACCTGTCATCTACATCGTGGCATTTTTATGGGGATGGCACGCTTTATTTAATGGTACCTTTTTCGGGTTCTTCCAGGCGTTGGCTACGTTGGGTATTTTTGTTTGGTATCATGTTACATCAATTGATGAACGGTATGATAATTTCAAAGACTTACTGGGACGTTGGCGTTTGTTTGATGCCGTCGTTCTTGGTAGAGGCATGTGGAAGCGCAAGGAACGCATATTAGGTTTACAAAAGCTGAGAACGGAAAATGTTAGACAATTACGCAATATGATCCTGGAGCATCATTCAACAAATGAACATATTGAAGTGATATGGTCTGCTTTACGGCAACATGCTTTGGACATGGTGACGTATAGACCAAAGAAAAGCTCTTTGATAAAACAATATGAGTGGATATTGAAGCGCCAATAGAAGTTGTTAATTTCTATCTCTCTTTTATAAACAATGTCTATTTGGGCAAACTGTTATATGCTTATATACAATCTATATCAACCTGGACAACATTCTGTAATTTAACCATATTTTATTTCGTTTTATTTCAGGGCAAAGCTGCATATCAATAGTCTGTGGTTTAGATGATACAGAGCACCGTTAACAGGGAATAAACGACAAACATACTATGTGCATAAAATGCTTATACTGAAACAATTACTCAAAATGTTGTATAGCACATTAAGCTCGTTTGAAAGAAAAGTAAAGAAATAAAAAAATAAATTGAATTTGTCTGTCAGTTTCTGTGATGCTGGTAACCCACTGGAAATACAGTGGGACCAGCAAGGAAACGATCAGAAGCCCTATTTAAGTTGTGATGGGTTGAGTTTTTTTTTTTTTTTTTTTTTTTTTTGCAGGTCTTTTCGATGGGGTGTGTGTGTTAATGATGATATAGAATTTATTGTCTCGAAATATACTACATGCAAACTTTATACGCTTATAGAAGCAGTGAAAGGTGACAACTTCGTTCTCGCGGACTGAGTCCACTCGTTATGTAATCGCCTTCATTGTATAAGTAACGAACTTATTAAATGGTCCTTCCATTAAGATAAGAAGCGACTAATTCTTGTCATTGCTTTGCAGCCTAAATTAATGTTAGGTATATATAAAGAATGAATCATAAATAAGAAGGAAATGTTGACTTACAGAACAAACCAAAGCTGAGAAAAAAGCAGGCATATGATGTTAAGGGAGTGGCTGATTCAGATCATATCAATGACAACAGCGGTATGTAAGTGGACATACTATCATAGGAAACTAAATTTGTCACTGGCATACGTTATGCAATTTACAGAGCCTTGAATTTATTTAAAAGATACTGTAGCTAATTTACAATTGACAACCATATTTATACTAATCTGCGCAATGCATTTCAGGCACTCAACAGAAAGCATGTCTAACTCTCTAATGAAGTTTAAATATAAATAAAATTCCCCAGGATTGAAGGAAGTATCCGTATGGTGATTGATCATGCTCAATAACAATGAATGTGCTAATCAATCAATCAGGAATAATTAATCTATTTGGTATTGTGGTTAAATGAAAGTTCAACTTTTACTACGCTGTGAAGCGCCAGGCAGACAACGATTATCATTATCAATAAAATAGGAAAATTCGTAATATACTAGGAGAAAAGCGGGATAATGACTCAATGAATGACGTTTACAGCAGAAGTAATTGCATTAGTATTGGTATCAGATGTAATGTTGTATTTCGCATTAGTCTCCGATTTTGCGGTTGTTGTTCTCTCTAAATCATATCGAAAAGCAAGAGCCTTGATCTGATTAATCCATACTGTTGTTATGTCGGGGGACGATTCTAATTGACAATATTCTCTATAAGCCCCTTTTGCAGTATCTATGTCATCATTCATCAGCGCTGTATGAATAACTGCATAGTAATTTCTGACCAGTAACGGAGACGATTTATCGCGCAAAGGTGATTCCCATATTTTCCTCAAGCTGGTATAATTAGAGTGTTGATAAGCACCCCATAACATCACATCAAAAGTCAATTTATCTGGCTTTGCGATAGGATGCTTTTCCATCTCTTTAAACACAACGTTGGCCATTGGGAACCATGTTCTTGACGCTGTAAAATTTGTCAATAGAGCATTGTAATGATATGCACTAAATTTAACGTGGCGCTCTGTCAATAGCTCGTTCCACATTCTCCAAGCTCCTTCTGGTTTCCGTAAATGGTAGTAGCAAATAAATAACGTGGTAATCGCCTTATCGTCAAGCCAACGTAAATCCTTCAGCTGCTGGTATATGCCATCGATTCTTTCTGCGTGTTGTATAATAGCATCATCAAAAGGTTTTTGCACTTGTAAACAATCTTGGATAATAGCTGCAGCATCTAATGCATAAGCTTCTGCTGTGAGTGTCAAAGCGGCAACGTCCATCGAGATACCATTTTTAGTGATGCCTTCTAACAAATCAATAGCGATGCGCCGATTTTTATTAGATGATGACCCACGATGAGTAAACCTTGACGAATATTGCTGTTGCAAGAAAACACCAGCAAGAATAGTGTAAATAACAATGTCAGGCTCAATCTTTCTGTTAAGCATAGCACGGTATGTTTCATAAACTTTATCATAGTTAGCTGCTTCTGCGTAGCCCTGAATAAGAGGTGCATAATTGATAGCCGACGGTTTTAATTGATGCTTTTCAGACATCAACTGTAGCATCTGTTCAGCAGTTTTCAGCTCGCCCTTTTTTGCATAGCCATAGATGAGATGTGAAAAGACGTAGGCATTAGGTTTAATATTATCCTCGTTCATGGTCTTGAAGATCCGTTCTGCTTTTTCCATATCGCCCAAGTAGGCAGCGTTACGAATTCTAAGGGCATAGGTATAAATATCAGGTTTCAAATTAGAGGTATCAAGGAAGGCGATCATATTATCTAATTTATCACCCAATCCTTTCGTTGTTAATGTTGTTTTTGATTTGTAAAATTGACCTGAGGCTTGTAAAATGGTGTTATAGGTACGTGTTGATAGATGATGTCCGTCGTTGTATATAATTTGCTCTAGCAAATCTCCAAAACCATCGACCGAGCGAAAAATGTCCTCATTAGAAGATATCTTAAATCGTGATAGTTGAATATTTCTCGAAACTTCGTCGAAAACAACGCTGTTATTAGCGGCTAACTCACGCAGATAGGGTTGTATCCGACCTTCTTCGTGTGGATACTTAAGCGAGCAGTCTAATAGGATGTTATATATGTAAATGTTACAAGGAATGCCCTTATATCGCATTACATCCATATATTTGAGGCATTCTTTAACATTTCCTTTCTTAGCATAATAGTGGATAAAGTCGGCATAGATAACGGTGTTTGGATCGTAATTAGCTGCAACCATCGCATCATACGTCTTGAAAGCATTATTAGGGTCATCTTTGTCCAGGTAATACTTTATAAGTGTTGCAAACGTATATTCGTTAGGTTCAATCGATACAGCTGTTGACGACGTTATTGCAGAGCTTTGTTGTGTATCGCTATGGCCGCTGCTACTGCTACTGCTGCTTCCACAGCCGCAGTTAGAGCAATTACCGCATCCTTCTTTTCTTTTCGGAAACTTCACGCTTTGTAATAGTGTTTCAATTTTTGCTTCGTCTTTCGCAGCCGTCAACCCTTTCAGAAGCAGATTGACTGTAAGTGTATCTGGTTTGTGTCCTAGTCGTAACATAGCCTCATACACGTTATAGAGTGATTTGGTTGTAATGGCTACATCTGCAGGATAATGCTGTCTTGCATACTGCTCTATACGTTCTGACAAACCTTGTAATACGCTATGAAAACTACGAGTATCTATTCGAAAACCTGACTGTACCATTTCATCAATCCACATTCTCGCGATTTTTGCATCTTTAGTTGATAAACAATCTTTCAAAAATCCCCGCAATAATATCTGATATGTCGTTTTATCAGGACTCAAATGACGACTGAGAGTACAGGAAGCCAGTATCTTTTGTGCTCCTGGCAAATCATTTAATTTAATTTTTGCTGCTAGCAACAGATTGTAGGTTGACATATTCGGCGACAAGCATTTTTTTCGTATCATTTCGTTTTCCACAAGAGTGAGCATTTTGCTGAAATAACGTTGGCATGTCAATTTATCCACGTATTTGAATTGGCTTAAATAGACGGCTAATAGCTGATTATAGAGCCCAGTTGTCAGGTTCTGACTACTTGTTGTATCGAGATAGAAATAGATATTCCGATATATAGCTTCTACACGGTGCATATGTCCCAGTTTGCCATACATTTCGAATAACATGCTCAGCTCTATCTCATCTAGATAAATATCTTTCCTCCGACTGATAACATTTGATAATACATCTAAACGTGTGGTATACAATTTTTGCAAATCATGATATTTTACAGTGAGCCGTCGTTGTAAATTCAGATCGACCAATTTATATAGTGCGTCTAATAGTAAATGGAGGGTGGAATTTGGTATTGTTGTTTTAATTAATTCGCTAGCTGAAAGAGTATCCACATGCTTCCAAGCATTTTCATAATCATCATTCCGTAAGCAAGAGTCTGCTTTGTGAATAATTACTGAGCAAGAAGCAGGTATTGATACGTCCTCATTCTTATATTTGTACTCTAGGTAGTTGGGTGATTTTTTCTTTCCTTTCAAGTGAGATAATTGCTGTTGTTCAAGCTGATCTATTTCAGACAATAATTCTGTCGTTTATAAAAAGTACAAATGAAAGGTAAATATATTGGTAAGTCGGCAGATCTACTTTTAAACTATTAAATAACCCACTTTTCGGTGATCTTGCAACATGGGCAAAATTGTTTACGTGAGCTTGTCTGATCTGACAGGCGTTGATGGCATAAGCTAAATAGAGAGATCTCCACTGCTGTAAAATACGTCTACTATTTACATAACGCTTAATTTCAGAATGCAGGTGCTGGCACCGCATATAACTCATGACTCTATGTATATGGTACAAATGTGAAGTAAAACTGTATCGATGGTGGCCCGTAATATTGTGTGAGTAGTTGCTCAACCCTTAACTGAAAGAGAAAAGTATCTAATTGGACAAGGCCTACAATTCAGCAGGAAAAAACCCAGTTCAGGCATAAAAAAACTGAACAATGTTTGGAAGGCCCCAGCATTTATCATTGTTGAATTCTCATTGGCTCCCGCGAACAAGTTCGGCATGCTAATTTTTTCAGGGCAAATGCTGTGAGCATGGTTTTACAAAGAGATTGCTCACTAAATATGAAAGGTCAAAAGCTATAGGTGATGCCTGGCTTAGCTTTTGCCTCAGCAGTGATAAGGGGAAATTAGTTAACATTGGCGGCTTTTGTAAACGGTTCATTGATCAACGAAGTCATTTGCGTACATTTCACACCTTCGTATCCCCCTTCTTTATACTATTTGGTATAGAGTAAAAAAGAAACTGCAAAAAAAGGATATAAATGCAACACCGGCGCTTCTATCAATATGATAGTATGTCAATATTTACTTAGATAAAACTTCTTCATTCTAAAGAGATACCCAGTAGAGGAATCCGTCAGCCATATTTATGTTTGAAGTTTTACACCTTCATTATTTGATATTATTTGCAAGTTTAGCTGCCTCCAATCTTCTAGAAACAAAGAATTCATTGCATTCATCACAGAACTGAACTAAGAAGTCTGTATAATGGGAGTAGAACTATAAAATCGCCTGTAAACTTCGAGTTCCCTCATAGCAGTTTTAACTTGAAGCATTACCGTATACATTACCTTAATACCTTCAACAAGATTAATCCTTATCTCTTTAAATTTGTCAAAGGCGGATAACAAGTTTCCTATAGCTTCTGTTCGTTTAATTAAAGTCTCATTTTTTGCTGTACAATCTGTGAGTTGTGTAAACAGTTTTTTGATCGTGTTGCCTACTTCTAATTGCTCAGTATTTAGTTCTGCAAACTCTTTATCAAATGCAATATATATTGATAATTGTTGCTCTACTTCTGTTTTAAAGTCCTCGGCCCTTAAAACGATTGCTGAACTCTCATTCTTCGTTTTGTCATGGAACGATTTAAGAAGTAAAGGCAATATATCATCTGTTTCTGTGTGTTTATCCATTTTTACTAATAGACCCGCACCTACATTGGACAGCTCTTCCAACATTTGCATATTTTCGCGGATCTTTTTAATTGTACTCTCAATGAGCTCGAGACTTATATCATCTATTAAAAGGACGGGCAAATTCTGCTGTATTTCTGATACTGGTTTAGAAAGCATTGCAATCGCCTTACTCCAATTGTTCATCTTTGCTTCAACAATAAGGTCTGCTCTTTGTGCTTCTTTGATTATATCATTATATTGAGTACCAGTTGTTAATAATCGTCTACTGGATGGGCAAAGGCCTGTTTGCTTCCATACTAAAGTCATTTTTTTTTCGATTTTAAATTGAATCGGGTGAGCTGTCCAATCGATACTCTGGCCCCGAGAGAGTTCACTTACATTTTCCCCATGTTTTCATAAGTCTTGCATTCTCTTCGATCTCCATTTCAAGTGCATTGAATCCTTTTTCCAACAACTTGGAAATTTTAGCAGACATTGATTTGACTTTTTGCAGCATATCGAATAATGCTTGTATACCGCCTTCATGCTGCACCTCTTCCGCATATTGCACAAGCTTATAGGGTACAGAATCTATAATATCTACACTATAAGGTAAATTGAGGTCTTCCAGTAACCTTTACGTAAATGTATATATTACAATCAATATTTGCCCAAGATTAGCCCTATTATTATAATAAATGTGATTATTGGAGTTGCTTATCTACCTTTGGTAATTCTCACTGAAATCTCTGCTTTTTGATTTAATAATGTCTTCAATCAATTTTGTTTTCTCATTCTTGTACTCAGTTGCTGCTTGATGAACTGCCAATGGTATAAACTGATTAAAGAGAGGACGTTTGATGAAAAGTTTATCGTTTGGTCGATCAGGCAAACTAAGCCAATAATCTGAGTGGTGCATAAAGGCAGGTACTACCGGTTTCACCATTTCCGATCGAAGAATAGGTGATAACTGCTCGATCTCAAGTACAGGCATTTTATATTTTGAACTATTGTCTCTTTCAGCCCGAACTAAATCATGTTGAATCGTTTGCTGTATTGCTGAAACTGTACTTTTAAGTTTGTCGAATACAGAAGCAGTTGCGTCATCCTCGTTTAAAAAATTACAAGCCTCCATTGCATAGGTTTGTGCTAGTTTAAGCCTTGTTATCTCCTCTCCATACCGGCCTGATAGGAGTGACTCGCTCGCTTTGTAGGATTGAGCAACGGCATTGAAGTGTTTGTGTTTTACCTTAGCATAGAGTTTCCAAGAGCTAGGAATGTAAGTACTGTTTTCTGATTGAGAAAAAAATTCACCATAGAGATCGGAGACTTTGATTGCCAAGCGAGCTAATGCCCCAAGCTTTACATCTGTTATCACAGCTTTTTTCCACGCACATTCATGTGCCTGAGCCATCATTAAATTCATCATAATGTTCAATATTGAGAAATCAGAAGGAGCTTCATCTGCAAAATCTTTCATTAAATCCGTATCTATTATGTGTAAACAACCTGCTGCATTCTGGTTTTATGGAAATCGTTATTCATAATGATTTTATTTAATTATAAAGTCTGATATGATTTTGTTTACCTGGAAACTCTGGCAAGCTTTTCGGACACTCTCTACTGTTTCAAGGTTTTCTGATGTAGCTAGTTGGCTATATATGCCTGCAATTCTGTATGATACGCACGCTTTTTCATATCTTAAATTGTCTAGAACGTCTATGCGGGCAGAATAAATACATGAGTTTCTTTTAGTTATTATTGGCTACGTGATTGTTGTGCCTGGATTTTTATTTTGTGGTACCTGACTTCTCCTGAGCTCCGAAGATCGAGAACCAGCCAATCTTCAAACCCAGCTTTTCGTTTTCGAAAGGGGGGTTTTTCTTCTTCAATTAACGACGTATTTTTGCATTAAGATGTCCTATATCTTACCTTCAAAGGAAAACGAGATTCCAAGAATGTTAATTGATTCAAATATCTGTAAAAGCAATTGTGTAAGCCATGAGCTAGTTATGTATTGAGCTTTCTTGTGAGTTTTATACAGTCATTTTGCGCTTAAAGCTCGCCTTACATGCGATGGTCTTCTAAAGCCAACGGGGCGTCACTTGGTTGTGTTATCAACGACCTCTGCCGCAACTGATCCAAAAGCTGACAATCCTCTTCGTATGATTTTTTCGTATCACCATAAGTGATAGTGATATAGTTAGTTAAAGCCGGGGCCCACCTAAGCAAATCGGGTATCTTCAAAGGTAAAGTAAGGAAGTCAGTTTGCGAAATGCTCATTAAATCGTTTTCCTATTTGTCGTTGTTGAGATAAGTTGGAGAATGAAAAAGAAATAATGCACTTTTGCACAAAGGAAGTAATGATAAAAAGAGATTTTGATTGAGGCCAAAAGGGAAGAAAGAGGACTGCTTTAGTTATGTCACAATTGAAATAGCTGTTACAGAAAGTTGGGGCGTACACCTGTCGCGCTGTGTGTGTGTAACGACAATCGCCATGCAAGGTCTAATGCTTGCCTTGCAGTTAGCAATGAAGGCATTTATGAAATTGGTTACTTTATGTATGGGCCAGGTATTTGTTTGTTTCAATATACATCGGCAGTAGTATTTTATTCTATTACACTTAGGTCGCTTTAAACAGAATATTCTCACACTTGAGGTTCATCTACATTGCAAGTTATGACAGAACATCTTTTATATTGAGGAGGAAGGATTCGAACGTCTGGAGGCTTTTGTGAGCTTATTATCATTTCGAAAAGTAGCTGCTCGAGTTTACTGAACTTACATAGAATGGTTGATAAACTCGAAGTTCATGGTCAAGCAACTCTATAATTTTCTTTCATTGCCAAACAACGCTTAAAAAGCATGCTTGACAATTTTTTAGTGTAACTTTTGCTGTAGAGTAAACCATTCTTTCCATTGAAAAATATATCCGCACCATCAAAAAACGTTGCCTTTGACCCCATATTTTACTTAAACAAAAATGCTTTTCTCGTATTGTGAAAGAGAGAATAAGGCAAAACGTATTTATACCTCTGCTCTTAAGAAACTCTCGAACCTTCAATATTGTTGTTTTTTTCATGTTCCCCGGCCTGAACCATTGAAAATGAAAATTGCCAATGATATACAACCTTCCATCGGCTTTGCTTTTCTTAGTTTCACTGATAAACATCGGTTTACCCATGACACGTTTAAAATTTCGGCAAAAGAAGCTACTCCAAACTTGTGAAATAGAACTGTTGCTCTTTGAAAGACTATCCCAGCTGCTTCATCTACTTAAAATAACTTAGCATGCAACTTGTATGGTGCTTAAAAAAAGCATCAGCATGTTCATCGGTCTCCAAAATAGCCTCTAATGTTGTAGGATTACTATAAAGCATGCCATAAACTACTAGTTACTTTAGTGATGCCTGTTTATCCACATAAATCTCGTCTATGGAAAAATCTTACATATAAATATCTTTTATAGCGATTAAATTCATCTTGACAATGTATCAAAACTAAGAAAGCATTAATTAATACTGTCCACTAACGTTTATCAATATTTAAAATTTGCATTTCAATTTTTTGTCATTATTAGCAAAACATTGTAAGATCTCAAGCGTAGTATCATCTTTCCACGTTCAAATTCGCTATTATGATACCAGTATTGATTGCGAATAGCTTTTTATAAGTGTATTAAATAGGCAGCTCAAAAGTCGGAATTATGGCTATTAGTCTGTGCCATATACTCTTGCATCTCCCGGGCGTATCGAGCCTTATCGAGATCTGCCTTTTGTTTCCAAGGCGAACGCTCTTCTGGCGACATGGCATGCCATGTCTGCGATATGGACTTGCTAATAGGTCCCACAGTGGAGCCAGGGAATTTCAATGACACCTCCGTGTAAACGGATGCCAAGTAAAATAAATAAGCAGACATCGGATGCTTTGGTGCAAGCGGGTGCTTTGTTTTCTTTTTTTTACGGCCTCGGGGATCTTTTTGATGATTAGTCATTTTTTTGATTCTTTTTGATGCGGAACTATTGATACACTCAGCACATTTGGTTAGACAGTGTATGTTGGCTGACGCTGGTGCTACTGCTCCTTGATATGCTGTTTGCTTATCGGTATCAATGGTAGCGTTGTTGACTGTGAGTAGATGTTTCTGAAGACAACAGCTGTGGTTCTTTTTTTTTCTGCCGTACTTTGTAAGCCGTTTAGCTTCAGCAAGTTCTGCTTTAGATCGTCGATTGTATGCTAAATTAGGATATTTCTCGCGGAGTGCTTGCTTTAACATTGAAGCTTCATTCACGTAAAGCTGTCGTTCTTCCTACGTTATAAACCCCGTGCGATATAACATGGCGCTACTAATGAGTGACAAATTAAAATTATGTTTTTCAATGTTATATAGCAAACCTACGCTCAACAGGGCTTTCCATGTTTCGCCTATTTCTTTGCTTATCTCAGCTACTGACATTTTAGGCGAAGAGTTCAGTAACTTTTTACGCATGTCTCTGTTGAATAACAGGTATGCGTTTGGAGGCCTTTTTAACCTTTCTCCTGGGTTACTGTGAGCAGTTGGTGGATGATCTAAATTATGCTCAGAGGTAGATATGCTGATAGCATGTGCATTGGTTTGTGTTAAAGACATTACATCTGGCTCTTTTTGGAATATTTGTTTAACACTACTCTCCATATTATGATGCGCAACTTGAGACATAGCAGTATCTGCTTTCTCTGTAACTAGGCCGTCTACATGGGGTAGAATTGTGTTGCTGCTATATGTGGTTTTCGTTTCATAAGAGTATCTTCGCTGTTTTAAGGTGTGAAAAGAAGGATATTGAGAGAATGGTCTTGTTTCACTCTGTCCCAATGCTTCTTCTTTTTCCTCTTTTAATGCCTCCCGAATTGCTTCAGGTGACACTATATGCTTAGGTTGTTCGACCTGCTGTCTTTCAGCTTTGCTATTGACTAAGACTTTTGAAGTTGGTACAGGGGACATGCTGAGCAAAGTTGCTGATGATTGCGTCATATTGTCAACAATAAAAATAGCAGTCTACAAGTAGATAATGTTAAGTACACTTTAGCACTGATCAATTTAGACTTACATATTTTGCTTACTTGGGGAACATCATCTATCTTGGAATTCAGGGGACCGTATCCTTTATGCTCACACAAAATTGTGGTGCTCAATACAGAACTTCGGGACGGGGCTAAGTCTTCGATGATTGGTGGTAAACATAATGGTTCTGCCACCTGATGATCCGAAAAAACAGACGTCGAAGCATGTAGATTTGATGAAACCTAATAGAGCTCAAAAAGTATGTCAACTATGCATACCTAATCATTGCTCTTCGGCATTAGCCTTTACCTTCACTCTACTTTTGGTTAAGTCAGAATTGTCTAAGCTAGAAGAAAACTTGGTTGGCTGGAACAAATAACTGTGATCATTTCTTTCACTGTACGTCTGTGGATTGAAATCGGTGTTTTTATACATGGTGAAGTGGACGTGAGTATTGATCGAGTCTGTGGTAATTAATTGAAGAGACCACTTGATTGATTCGGGTTTGTTTCTTCAAAATATAGTATCCGGTTGTTTGGTCAAAGAAAGTCTGAGAGTTTTGTTTATGTTTTTCTTTTTTTCTTTTTTTTTTTTTTTGAATTGAATAGAAGAAGAAAGAAAAAGTCAATTACCAACAGAATAAAGTAAGAATAACGTGATAGGGACAGTAGCTAGTTAAGTATGCGATGCTTAAAAAGTTAAGTATCGCAAAAGAAATGAACTGGGAATGAGACACACATAGATCCCACAAGGCTTTTCCAAAATGGCTTTAAAAACGCAGTACACATTTCATGCATTGACCATAAGATAATTCAATAAACGCAATCGCTGTTTAGAGCTTTCTATCTTTTGCTGTCGTTTCACAGCAATCTTTGTGCCACGAAAGCATATCTCATGACTATACGGCAGAAAGCATCAAAAAACTCGTTTCTAATCGAACAAATTTACTAAGTATGGCCACATTCTGGAGCAAATTTATAAGAAGTTGAGTTAGTTGAATGTTGTTCTATAGTATTTTTAAGTAATGAACGAAAGGTTGTCCTCACCGTTATACGAAGAACAAAAGCATGTTAATTTATGTCCTACAGAGACAGCTGAGGCGATTTGGCAGCTATTCTAGGAGTATTTCTTATTCATCAAGGGACATACGTGATGTATGAGTGCATTTATCGTTGATCAGTGTCAACCAAATCCACGTCCAACAGTTCGTAAAGAGAGAGGGCAATCACCTTGAGAATTTTTCACTTGGTTTATTGAAAGTACCATATACAAAATTATTTTGTTGGATTTAGCTCGTTGTAAGGCAAAGCAAGCTTACAGGGTATACACTATCGTTAGTTTTATGAGAGAATTTTATTACCATGTCTTTTTTTTTTTCCACGTTCTAACGTCCTTAAATATGCTCGAAATCAAAGGAAGGTATGCGGAACGAACAAACTGAGTCAAAAACAAATGGAGATTAATGATAGCTAAGGATTATCCAACTGTTCACTACTGGGTAAATAGGGAAGATAGCCGCCTCTGACCCTAGACCAGGTGTCCAAACATTGACATCTCCAAATAAGTATATCCTTTGACCATTTAGGCTTTTCTTTAGCAGTTGTAAGTTCGTTATAGTATTTAATTCCAGCTTCAATATAATCACGATTTTCTTGAATATAATGTTCTGTCAATCTATGCCAATTTTTTAAAGTAAATCCATCATTAGGACCTTTGCTGCTAGCAGTAAAAGAAACGGTAGCTGCACTATTCATAGGGGAATGCTGGTATCGATCTACGACTTTATTCATTGGGAGAGATCGTGTTCGCTCTATTTGCTCGCCACAATTACTAATGTTGTCGTCAGCAGATACTTGTTTTCTTTTTGCACAATGTGCAGCAACATAATGTCGAAAAGGGCGTGCATAGATTGAAGAGGAAATATATGACTGATGAACATTAGTAGTTTCGGAAAGGGTTCTGCCAATAGCATTGGTATACTGATGCTTGGGTATATTATTATTACAAGTATTGTCCTGTTTAAAATGATCTTGGCTAAGAGATTTGATTGCTGAAAATTGTGTAGCATTATATTCAGTCTTGGTTATTTTCAAAGGCGTTGTAACAGTTTTGTTGCTGGAGCCATCGCCTGTCTTAGCATCAAAAGCAGTAGTAGATCTTCTTTTGAGACTGTTATTCGGTGAACTATCATTGTTCATCGTTACTGATGTACTGAGACCGTTCGCATGGCCTGATATGATCGGTCTTGTCAAACGGATACTACTCTCACCTTGGCGTTGAGGTGATAAAACTGATCCTATCGACAGGTATGGCACTTCAAAATCATTGTCAAGAATTGGTGGTCCATAGCTGCTAGGGATGCCACTGTCGTATGCTTTTGCTGCAGTTGATGTTTGGTGTGAAATCATTGGCTTTGGTGAATACGGAAGTTTATATTTGGTCATAGTGCTATTGAAGTTCTTCTCCCCCGTAGCTATTTTGAAGCCATTGCTACTATTACCATAATCAATGACAGGCGATTGGCTTTTTCGTTCTTCCTCTGATTTTAAAACTTGTTCGAATGCGCGTTCCTCTTGTTCATCAACATCATTATAATTTGAGTAGGATATTGGATTGCTATTGCTGCTGTTTATAAAAGACGTTGTTTTTTCGTCGCTGAAATAACTGCCATTCGGTCTATTGAGTGATGGTGAAGTTTGTGAGAAAGAAGAAGGTGAATGTGAAGGCGTTAATCCCTTAGAACGTGAAACACTTGGCGATGACGTTGCTTCCGCAATGGTGGTTGATTGATAATTGGTACTGTTGTCGTAGTCGTGAGGGTAAGCTGATACCATAGGATCTTCGGCATAAACAGGCGTATTCTTTGTCATTTCTTTTGTTTTCCTGGCCACAAAGAAGTATGCGTTGAAAGGGAAACTTATTGTATACACTTTTCGGAAAGTATTCGCACACTTTCGTACCTGTACATTTGAGAAAACAAATCTGTTCAGATTTCGGGCTCAGAAAAACTGGAGTTTTCTGAACGAAGTTTTGAACGATTTCCTTTCTCTTCAGATGAGACTTCTATTAAGTAAAATGCGTCAACTGTATTCCAAACAAAAACTACATTAATTCTATGATTGGCAGAATGAAAGTAATGTGTTCGCTGTTGATTTGCGCTGCTCAAGGGAAGTGAATATCTCGTAGAATCTAATTTCTCAAAGCTCAGATGAGAAAAGGAAGGACTCAATTATTTTAAACTGTAAGATTATGAACACCTTACACGAAAAACTGGAGAAAACTGAGCCAAAAGCGTCCGAAGCTTGTAGTATACCCTCCAGCAGTGCTTGTAAACTTTTAAACACAGTTCAATGACAGTACTAGGACAATTCTTCCAGGATGAGACCTCTACACAAAAACGAAAAGCGAAATGAAAAAAAAAAACTATTTTCTTTCCATACGCCTCGATGTTGACCATATAATGTATAAACACGACTTGACATACTTTCAATACTAGACGCGTTATTATGTTCATAGAATCATAATAACACCTGTACACGTCATCTTGTATTTCTAAAGATGCGCATATAAAATGCTGCATTATTACTGGCTGAGAAATTCAGGCACAAGTATTTAACTCCTTTTTTTTTAATGTTTCTCTTTCTTTTCCTTCTTTCTTTTGTTGTCAGTACAAACATCCAGTTCGCCATGAACGCTTCCCTCTCTCATTTTCGGTGTATAATAAAAGGACTCAAGGAGACTCATTTCACCTTACAGTTTATATCAAAGTTATAAGTCGCGTTCACTAAACATAAAACAACCACAAATAATACACTTATTTGAGTATAAAAATACATGGATAAGTAGAGTTATAGACCTTCTGACATCCACACAGACTTTATTTGTATGATCTTTTTGCTTTGAGTTTGATCTCATTACAACTGATGCTGATTATTTTTTATAGAATAAAAGTCATTCGAATTGGGAGAAAATTGCTATGCTCATTCACGATAAAAGTTTGGGTATTGTGAATGATACTGCTGTATCAACCGTAACTGACTTCTGGACCACGCCAGCAAGTAATGAATCCATATCAAACGCTGATACTACTTCTGTTACTTCTTTCAGCAATACATCTGTATATACAGAAAACAGTGTTTCGGCACCCTCAACATGCAGCACTAAGCAAATCAAGCTAGCAGCGACTGATAAAGAAAGAATAAAAAGAGTTTATGAAGAACTTGATCAAGCTAGTATGTGGAAGCTATCCACGGGTACTGTTGTCGAAAAGAAAATGGAAGAGTTCGCTCTATCATGTTCTTACGAGCAGTAAGTAATTGCATATAAATGTTGAGGCCCAATAATATCCAACATCCCTATTCACTTTTTTGTCTACTTTATAGTCCTGCTCATTCTCTAATTCTAGATACCACTGATAAATCTTGGACTGGTTATTTCACGAAAGAAGAAATGAAAGAAATAACGACGCAAAACGCAAAGACGCTTCCTGAATTGCCAACCAAGTCGAGTAGTTATATTGATGATTTAGAAGGTTACAGAGCATTGATACGCTGAAGAAAAAGCTCTTAACAGAAACAACTTGTTCTGCTTGTGAATGGGTCAGATCTACAGTATTAGACTACCTTAAATTGTTCGAGTACGGCTAATTGCCGTTATCGAACAAACAAAGGGTGACATGATGAGAGGAGTTTGGTTCTTTATCGATACAGCATTTGATGCGTCACCAATCAACTGCAGAGGGATAGTGTCCTCTGCAGTTGAGAAGATTAAAAAAAAAAAAAGATGCTACCTTATGTCTGTTATTTAAAACCTTTTATAATATAAAGTATTTATCCAGCTGTTCTGTTCGAACAAGCCATATTCAAAGACGTTAATAACACCAACCCCATAGTTTTGCATCTGTTCTAATTGGTCTTAACCATCTTTGCTCACAACCAAATCATTACGGTGGATTCAAGATGACAAAAGTATTGAAAGATATGTTATGCTGCTTATACAAGTCAACGCCCGATGTATTGCGGGATGTAGCCCTTCCTGGTTTCTTGTTGTTTGGTAAAAAAGAAAATACGACTTTAGCAGGATCAGTTCTAAACATTAAATTCTATTTTATTTTTTACTTTTTTTTATAGAAACTAAATTGACACTGATCTTATGCGATGCGCCTGCAGGCCATGTTTGCAGAATTATACGCTTTAAGACGATGGATTTGCCAGAAGAGCCTGATGAAATCCATAATCAACTATTTTCAGCATTAACCTTGGTTTATAAAGCAAGATTGTTAATGGAAAATACGAGGAGATTGGTTAGACAAACGCCTGTTACTCCGCAGCTTGTTGATTTAAAATACAAGATATTACCACCGTGCTTCAATCCTGATATGAATAAGCAGAAAAAACGAAGGAATAATTGTCTGGAAGAATAAAGAACAACAATCCTTTCATTTTTTTAACAAGAATTAATGATAGAGCGTGGATGAATTCTAATATTTATTTTAAATTTGCCAATTGAAAATATTTGTGTTCTCACTTAGAAACAGTTTAAACAGGAGAGCTGAATGCGGGTATTCGTTGGAAAATATTTTCCTAATGACTGGGGAAGGATTACGTGACACGGCACTTTACCATTACCATTTAAAAGGATTAGAACATCGTTTTCATGAACGATTGGAACGAAAAAGTTATAAACCATGAAAAAAGGGAGGGCATAGGATTCATGGAATGCAAAAGAAGAATATGTAGAATTATACTTTATTTATATGGTTGAATTAATGTTAATTAATGAGCATAATGGCTCGTTATGGACCTACGTTTACGAGACGTTCTACGATCGATAATTGCAAGCAATTCGTGATCGGTAAGGGTTGGTGGGTTATTGGCATAGTTGTGTTGTTCTGGTCTAGCAGCTTGCGTAAAACTTACGGCAATGGTCATAATTTTGTCCGCTTGAGCCAAGAACAAAGGAATATCCGCCAGGATTACAGGTAACTGAACATGCTCAATCTCGCACATCGTGTAGAGATGTTCTTGAGTGCGAAAAAGAGTATAAAAACTAACGTGGTTTCCTTATTGGAAAAATGAAAATGAAATATATATTTAAAGGTTATTGCCAATCTTACTGACCATTTTTGGACGCATAGACAACTTTACCTACAACCACAAACCCAAATGTCGTTTTTTTTTTTGCTTTTATCTGAAGCATCCTTTAACAGATGGCCAACACGGATGAGGTCTTTGGCAACTGCTTTGTGATTCAGAGCTTGATATTGAGGCTTGACCTCACCACAACCCACACGTTGACCAAGCGATGCACCATTGACAATATTAATGGATGCATCAGGTCTAGGACTGAGGATTTTCTCATCATCGCTAACAGAAGTCCTTTATATAATAAATTGGATCATAAATATTATGCCGTCTCAAGCTCAGAATGATACGCTTTACCATCGAAACATAACATCGTTTTCAATATCTTCAAAAAGTGGTGCAAGGGTAGACTGTGTGATATTTGTAGTTGTTTTATGTTTAGTGAACGCGACTTATAACTTTGATATAAACTGTAAGGTGAAATGAGTCTCCTTGAGTCCTTTTATTATACACCGAAAATGAGAGAGGGAAGCGTTCATGGCGAACTGGATGTTTGTACTGACAACAAAAGAAAGAAGGAAAAGAAAGAGAAACATTAAAAAAAAAGGAGTTAAATACTTGTGCCTGAATTTCTCAGCCAGTAATAATGCAGCATTTTATATGCGCATCTTTAGAAATACAAGATGACGTGTACAAGTGTTATTATGATTCTATGATCAGACCGTGGTAGAATGTATTCTCTACCTGATTGTACGTACTCGAGTATTGTAGTTATTATCTCACCAAACACGTCAATGATGACGGCAAAATATCGTGGAAGATTCTGTACTTCATTCTTAGTTAGGACTGCAGAAAGGTCTGTTAAAGGGTCTGCAAAAAAGGTCTGCAGAAAGGTCTGCAAAAAGGTCTGGTTACCCCGTACATATGAGCAGTCTTTAAACATTGAAAAATGTGACGCATGAATTATAAGACTTTTTAAATATTGATGAATGCGGCCCCTCAAGAATCCTATTAGAGAGATTGGCTTTTGCTGAGGCACTCTTTTCTACTGTTTTGGGCTAAACCAACCACTTTACTCTCAATCGCCGCTCTTTATATACTTCGAAGTTCTTTCTGAGTTTCTCTCTGCAAGTATTCTATCCAATTTCTTTAGAAGGCCCGATTAGATGCTAAAGCCAGAAAGGCGGATAAAGCCGCTTTCAAATAGGCATTAAACAAAGCATCTCTAGCCTCCCAAAGTACAGCTAATGAGTGCTTCTCATAAAAAGCACACACACGAGTATGGCTAGTGCAACGTCTTATCAATGCCTTTATTTTTTTGCCCTTCTTCATCTTCATAGAAAGTGCATCTGTTCATCATCTTTGTAGGCTTCAACGAAACGCTGTGTTGGTCGCTTGATTATGCCTATGGACCGATAATTATAGTACTTGGTTTGCAGTATAGTTACCAGAGATCTTGATCCTTGGCTTTGTACTTCCTTTCAGGGATCTCAGCCTTCACCTGAACTTCCGAACAATGCTTTAGTCATTCAGTCGTTTGGCTGAGTTACTTTGATATTAGATGATAGACTGATCTCACTACAATAACTCTAGTACGCATCCAAGTCAATAAGACGTCTCGAGTCTATTTCAAGTTCTTTGAAGACTGAATTTTCATGCCACTCAAGCTGTACGGTATCAAGAGACCCCCAATGGCTGATCGTCATCGGCTGCCGTTGGTGAGGGCATTTCAAGCTCTTTCTTATATATAAAAGCAGTTGAGATATTATTCACGTACCTCATTGTTACTATTACTTAAAAGATTTGTGTTCTGTAAAAGTAAAACCCGCCAAATACTGAACCCACCAATTTCGTTAATTTCTTATTCGCCACAGAAAAACCGACAATCCCGCCAATCGTTTACGATTTTCTTTTAACTTTATACAATATTGTGACAAAATCGTCGTAGCTTTTATTTATCCTTTCCTTTCTTTCTCCCCTTTTTTATCGATTCTATTCGCTCTTGAAACTTTTTATTCCTAAAATAATGGTACAATTGGGCTCACTATTCGATGCTTATGACATTATAGAACAGATTGGTGATGGGTCATTTGGTACAGTTCATAAAGCGAAAAATAAATTAAGTCAGCAATTTGTAAATATTTCAATTTTTGTGGGGTAAAATATCGGAAGAGAGTCAGTCAAACTGATTAGAGAATGGTGTGATCTGTAGGTCGCTGTGAAAATCATGAAAAAGAAATATTCAACAATTGAACAATGTGCTGGGCAATTCGAGCCTCGGCTGCTTGAGTTAGTTTCACCGCATGTAAACATTGTACAGATATTCGATAGCTTTCTTTCACCTGTCAATTGCGATCTTTCCTTCATTATGGAATATATGGATGGTGGCAATCTATATCAGCTGATGAGGGAAAGGAAAGAACTCCATTTACCGTTTAGTCAGCAGGAGATACGAAGCATATTGTGAGTAACGACTATGTCAATTTTAATTTACGTTTTACCCTAGGATGGCTGTATTCATATTGCATGATCTTTACCTTTTTAAATTTTTTCTTTTTTCTTTCTGACTTGAAAAAACAAAAAAAAAAAAGGTATCAAACGTTATCTGCTGTATCACATATACATCATCATAATGTATTTCACAGAGATATGAAGCCTGAAAATCTGTTATTGGATTACTCTTCTGGGAAACCGATCATTAAGCTTGCAGATTTCGGTTTAGCAAAAGAATTGCGTAGCTCACCTCCTTATACAGAATACGTCAGCACAAGGTGGTATAGAGCTCCTGAAGTCCTCTTACGCTCCACAGAATATTCTGCACCTGTTGATCTATGGGCTGTTGGGGCTATCTTTGCCGAACTTATCAACTTGGAACCGCTCTTTCCTGGTGAGTCTGAGATCGATCAGATTTATCGTATTTGCGACATATTGGGAAGTCCAGGAAACAAATTAGTAGCTCAACAACATAAGAAGATGGAAAAGCGGGCAAATGACAAACGCTTAAGCCCTGGTTTTGCACGAAAAAAGACCAAAGACTTGACTCTTGCAGAGCTAAGTTTTTTGAATACCAACATCGCGTCGACTACTTCTACTTTGAATGCCCATGACGGCGGTGGTGAATGGAAAGAAGGTGTCAAATTAGCGTTTAAAATTGGCTTCAGGTTCCCTTCAGTGAAACCAAAGCCATTGCAGCAGGTAATACCAAATGCTACAGAGTCTATGCTGGACTTGATCAAGCATTTTCTTTGTTTCAATCCTAGTTTTCGTTGGACGGCAGACTATGCCCTAAGACATCGGTTCTTTACCTCTGAGACTGAAGAAGAATCACATACAGTCATTCAACTCAACACACCTATGGAACCTATTACACCACCTGATGACGGTAATAGAACGAATGATAATAGCAGACTGAACACGCCAACAGGTATACTAAGCTCTACCAGAACTATCCTTACCCCGAAAAGTCTGTTGTCTATGCCTCAGTCATCCTATCAGTTTTGCTCACACTGGACTGATAGTCATCCCGAAGATCATTATCGGCCCATCTCCCGCGATGGCAGAACAAACGCAATCTCTACCACAACAACAATGCACAATACTCATACAGACAGTATATTACATGGTCAAAGAAGTAGCCATAGCAGAAATAGCAAAAACGCATGGTTGATTCATAACAGACCCATTTATAGCTCTCATCAAAAAGTGCACCCTATTTCAAACACTCCAGCAACTTCAAACAACTACGATCATGCTTCCTATTATCAACTGCAGTTCCAGCCTCAATCATTGGACATTTGCCGACTGGATACCCCTTCAGATAGTGAGCAGCATCATAAAGGCTCTATGGAACTTTCTACCAAACGTAATTCGGAATTAGCGATTGATTCAAATGCACCTTACTGTAGCGGGAACTGTCTCAAGCCGAACGATATGGCGCACTACGGGTGCCAACAACGCTGTCAGGCACAAACAATACGATGGACACCGCCTCACTTCATAAAACATCCACGTTATAATGATGATCCGGAAGCCAAAGAAAATGACGCGGCTATCACTCGCCATGAAAGCAGACGTTCAGCAAGACGTTTCTTTTATATATCGGCAATGATGGATACTACTGCAACGAGCGACTCAGTCAGTTCCACCCGATCTATGACTGTTGGGCCATCAAAAAAGCTTTGGTCATTATCTTCATGTTCTAGGTCTCTTCCATCAGCCATTCATCTTCATGCCACGTCAATCACTACGGCTGCTACTGCTACACCCACCAGATTCAAGGTTTGGCTTCCGGTAAATGAAGCAAACGAGGATAACGATACAGAAGATGACGAACAGAATTGCACAGATGATGCTTTGGAAAGGTACGAACGAATAGAACGTTGGCTGATCATCAACTAATCCCAAGTGAGAAGAAACTAATTTAAAATAGCAATTGGGTCCCTGTATTGTAGTAGAGATAGAAGCGAAAGGAGAGAATATGGCAACAAGAAAGATTATTGTTGCTGCCAATCTTCGTGTAAAAGATTAAAGAAGGATCAGACGCGACACGTCATTTTAATCTATTGACGTTCATGCATTGATCTATGATTACAGCCGGCGGTCATTCTGCTGGATTTAGTCTAGTGACGTCAGTTTTATATACCATTATAGTTGTATCATGCTGCTTTGATTTACGCTTTTGCCCCCCCCCTATACATTATACCATTTATTAGCATATACTCCTAAATAAAATTTTCTTCTGCCTAATGTATGCAGCAACCTAACATTAACATCAAATACTGATAGTCCAAAAAGGGCTTTGAGAAAAAAAGTCAGCATTGCATATAGATCGTTACAGTCTTACGTGATTTGAAAACTCTGCCATTCTAGACCGCTCAAAGCTGTAGAAAACTGATAGTTAAAAAAATGAGATGTTGATTGTAGCTATTCATTGTGTTCAGTAGCTGATAATGTTGAGCTCCCAAGATGCAATTTTGAATGCAGTGCTTATGGTTTTTAAATGGCGGGTGCGGAAAATTCTCAGCCTTAGTAAAACCCTGAACGTTACAAACATATTATCTACTGTATTCCTTTGTTTAGGAACCTTTTTTTTTAAGCTTAATTAGCGAATTTTGCAACAGTCAGATAATTCGTTGATAAGAAATTGTAATGAATATATGTATGCCATCCAAAGTGTCAGTCGACATCTTTTGGTGCAGAGTCAATGCTAATGTCGTAGTCATGAAAATGGATTATGATAAAGTGAATATTCGGCCAGCCCTTTATTATGGTAAAAAGAGAATATACAATGCTTGTAAAAAGATAAAAGAGTACTATAGAATTAAGGTGGGATCAGTGGTATCAATGTATGCAGAAAGCGTAAAAGTATCTGAGGCAGTGTCAGGAACAGCCCAGACAGAATGGAATGGTGCATGTTCAAATGGTAGATTGATTAGATGTTGGGTAGATGGTAAATTGGATAGGGTATATAAACGTGTCGTAGAGGCTGACACAATGCCTTTCACTTTAGAATAGGTGCGAAGATGATCAGCGACCTCTGCTCTTCTTGCTACAATATATTCTGTCACTTTACGATCGAGCGGCACTGAAAATTCCAATCCATTATGGATAGGTTGCAAAGCTTGGCAGATATCAATGGCACTTGGACGATATTCCGGTTTAGGGTTCAGACAAGCTGTGTATAGTTTATGGTACCACTCTGGTAATCCTGGTACTGTTTCAATTCGGTATACATGCTCGTCATTCTCATTGCTGCTTGCATTAGGATCGGTCATGCTAAGACTGTTGGTATCGTCACTGTTCAAACCTAGCGATACTGCGGGTACGACTGTTGCAGCTGCTGGTTTCTGTTTTCTATGACTGCTGCTACTACTTATCTTATGGTCTCCATCCAACAGAACATCGGGCGATGGGAAAATGACTTTACTCACCAATTGCCAAATAATGATCCCCAAGCTGTAAATATCCGACTTTTCCGTATAGATACCCTGACGTACTTCTGGTGCTACGTAAGGTAATCTACCATAAACGGCTTTTGTAATCGCTGTCACCGACGATGACTCTTTCGTGGGAGTGGCAAAGCGATAATCCACCAAAAAGTAATCTGAATCTGTACAAACTATATTGCGTGGGTGAACATTTCGATGGCACATGCCTACTTTATGCAAATCGACTAAATTCGCTGCCAGACGGAGAATGGTACCGGTAATCGTTTTAAGGTCAAGGTCGCCGAGTGGCAGCTGCTGCATGTGGTCCTCTAAATTACCGTCGCTGCTAAACTTCATGACCATCATTAGATCGCCTGTAGTTTCACATACTGTCAATCCTTGAAACAAAAGGGGCAGAAATGCTTTGGATTGGACTGATATTTCGTTGAGAAGCTTATCATCGACGATCTTTAAAGCCATTCGCAAAGGCTGTGGATCATAAGCGGGTACCATTAACACAGTATAAACAGCTGAGAACCCACCGGCGCCAACGAATTGCATATTTGAGAACCAAGACCATGGAAACCATTGCATATATTTATCGAGCTTTTCCAAGTAGATTTGGTTTACTGCTTTTCTAGCTCTTGCATGCATTGCTTGGACTACTTGATCCTGACCATATATCTCAGCTAATGCTTTGAAGGACAGTTGCTGACGCCAGATTAATATCCAATCCTTATGAATTATAAAATAAATGTGTATATTACAGCATGAATAATAAAGATTAGAGCACAAGAAAAGATAACAGCAAAGGACATGACATAGAAGGGGCCTTACCCATGCATGATCAAATTGCAAACCGTTCTCAAGGTAAGTATCACAAACATCCTTATATAATTGAGCAACTCTTTCATTGATAGGAGATAAGAATTGATCAGTCTGCAAAATTAGGTTTTCCAGTCCAAAAATCTCAGGGCATAATTCTATGAAATGTGTCACTGCCAACTTGGTTTGATTGACTAGCTCTTCATGAAGTTTTTGAGAGTAAATTCGTTCAATTTCAACTTCATCCAACATTTGCCTTGTGTCTCTGTAATTTAACAAATGTAAGGGTGATAGCAAGTACAGAGTGAAAGATCGGGAAATCAACAAAAAGAAGAACCAGAAAAAGAAGAAAGAAGGAAAGCTAAAGAGAGATCAGACCAAAGAATGAAAATAAATGGTGGGGGGAGGGAATCATAAGCATTTTGAACGAATCAAATTTGAGTCTTACAAAAACCTACGAGTAAGTTACACCGGCAGAAGCTCTTTTTTTTTACGTAAAACAACTGCTACTACGTTGTACTGAAAGCCGTCTTTCTTGTCAGATTCTTTTATGCGCTATTTGAATGGTTAGTACAAGACGATACAGTAAGCATTTACATAGAGTGGAAGGTATATGTCTCAGCTTTCGGAGTAACTAACTTATTGATGATTCCTCGCCCCCACAGTATTCACACCAATAGGACTATGTTGCACGTTCATGCTTCAGGGGGAGGGGGCTGGGATCAAGAAATGCTAAAATGTGTCTGTGTATCAACAGTCGGAAGCAATTTTCCGGCTCGCTTTATCTGCAAAAATGATAGAATAACCTGCTTATTCTGCTTTTGTAAACTATGATAAAGCACAAAAAAGAAAGAAAAAAAAAAAAAAAAGATAAAGTTTCTGAACACGAAAGTTAGCATGTTGTAATAGGTCAATTAACTGTAAAGAGTTTGTAGTGGTGCTGTTTTTGTTCTGCAAACTGTTCTTTTTGTTTACGCATGGTACGTTTTAAAGATAAGGCCCACACAACCTTATGAAAAGGTATAGTGCTCGCAATGTGCTAGATGGCGGTTTTCGAAAGGCAAACGTCGGGTTTTCTATCAGTAACCTACAGGAAATTTTTTGCCAAGTGTAATTTGTACATGCTACTATGTTACAACTTTCACTAGGCTCAGTCACTCTAGTATGTGAATCCTCTTTTTCTTCTATTCTTGGTGCCGTCTTTACTTTGCCTTTTCATTTTGCCTAAAATGGCTCGATTGCTTTCAATTACGGGAAGGAAGAGGGGCAAATCTATGAGGGACAGCCTCATTGATGAAGACACAGTTTCGAAGATAGTCCATGTCCGTTTCTAACCACTTCTTGGCCCCCACTCTTATCTTTCAATGGCTTTGTCCTTTTTATTTCTTGCAAAAGGTTGGCGAGTGACCCTTATGTTAGTGACCAATCGCATTCACTTTTTTATAATTATTGTCAACAGATCGTTCGCTCAAGGTATATATATTTCTCAAACGCCTCAGTTAAAGATTTCATTACTAACTTTGTCGTAGCGTGAGCATTCTCACGAGAAATGTGTTCAGCAAACTCTTTATGTTTGTCGATCAACTGGCTTCTTTTCTGTATTTCTCAGTCTTTTCCTATAGACTTCTCAGCTAAGTTCTTTCTTCAATCATGCTGCCCATCTTTGCACCGTCCTCTCAACGATTTCTGCTTTGCCAAGGACCTTTGAAATTGGGAGAGAAGTGCTTTGTGGGGGGTAAAAGCAGCATCCTGCCTCCTTGCATGATGTCACTGCCAACTTTTATAGCAAATGTTCAAGACCTTTTCTTTCCATCATCTTTGCCAGGACGAACGTAGGGAAAACATTGGTTAAACAAGAGCTTCTTAAGAGGGAAAGATGAGAAATAGGGGCACGGAGTGTCAGAGAGGTAACAAAGAGTTATCGCTATGCAAAGTCGCAGGTTAAATTACCGCATGAATTTCGTAAGCCACCCGTTCAGCATGGGGGCCGAATGTGGGGTCCAGGTGCTAATCTCTTTATTTCTTTTCCAATTCGCTTACGATAAAACATAGTTCTAATGTCGAAAAAGACACAAGCCGCTGAAGTGATAGTTAAGCTTATGGTGGGCGCTGGTAAAGCTTCCCCTAGTCCGCCTGTAGGACCAGCTTTAGGCGCACGTGGCGTCAAATCTATGGATTTTTGTAAACAGTTCAACGATAAAACCAAACATATTGTCCCCGACACTCCACTCCCTACAGTCATTACCATCAAGCCCGATCGTACCTTTAGCTTCATTGTCAAAACACCACCCACCACCTATTTACTCAAAAAAGCAGCGGGTGTGACTAAGGGCGCATCACAACCTGGTAACGAAGTTGTTGGCTCTGTCACTTTAAAGCACATCTATGAAATTGCGAAAATCAAACAACAAGACGCCAATCTAAAGCACCTACCCCTGGAAGGTATCTCAAATAGTGTTATAGGAGTAGCGAAGAGCGTAGGCATTCAAGTTGTGCATTAAATTCCTGCCGACTGGGTTCATCATCATCCTATCAAGCAATTATAAGTAGTAGTAGACTGGGACCTAGCTGTCTATATTACTGTCAATTTATTTAATAGAAACATAGCCCATTTATGCACGAATACCTGGAATCAACATCAATAGAGTCGTTCCCCCTCCTTCTAATATATTTCTTTGAAAGATAATCCATTCGAAAAATCTGTATCCAATAAACCGCATGAATAGGCAGAAATCATACAAAAAAGTATATCACTTTTGAAAAGGTTCAATCCATAATTCATAACAGAAACAGAACAGTAGAACAGTGTGCAGGGATAAAATCAAGTCTGAAAAATCTCTCAATTGAGTGATAGAGCGTATAAACAATTTGATATTATATTGAGGATAAAAAAAAAAAAACTATTGAAAAGAAAAAAGTTCTAATACATTAAGTCCAAAGTCGGAAAGTGCCATCTGAACCAGTCGAGAAGATCCAAGGTTGTGTAGGGTGGAATTCAATATTCAAGACACCTAATCCGTCTTTTTCAGCATGACCTCGCAGAATCTTCACAGGGACAATTAATGGATTTTGCAGCAGATCGTTATAGACCATACCATAAAAGATTTGAATAGTACCGTCATCGGAAGCAGATGCAAAAAGAGGGTATCGCTTATGGTACGTCACTTGACGAACGGCCTTTTCGTGATATCTAAGGGATTTATACGGCCTTGAACTGAGATCCATATCAAACCAACACACCTTCTTATCATAAGAACCGATAATCACATTATCGCCTCCTGGATGAATATCAATACTAGAAACCCACTTCACGTTGGTTTGCAGCGTCTTCACTAGTTGTTGTTGCATCAAATCATACACACGTACATAAATTTGCGTCTATAAAAAGGAAATAGATGAATAAACACAAGTTCTTTTTTTACATCTTCAATCCATTATTGGTCTATCTCCAACTTACAGCAACAAAGAATATGGGTTTGATAGGGTGAAAGGCAACCTTCTGCACAATACCCTTGAGTCGGTTAAATGGTGATTGAGTTTGATGTTTTGATGTTTGGTGAATAAGAACACCAAGGTTTTTCGCATCTGGAGACACAGTAGCAAAATAGTCACCTTTACGGTGCCATGTAATTTGCTTCACCACTTGCGAATGCTGAATCTTGATTTTGAAACCGTATCTTTCTTCATCTGTCTCACTTGCCTTCATCCAAGTGACGGATTTCTTCTTCATATCAGCATCAGTATTCGTGAAACCAAATGCTGATTTTGTAAGTTGATCCGTATTCATGGCTTGTTCGGCTGTACATAGCTTAGGAGGGGAAATCAGATGTACTTCGCCATGACCCACAGAGATAGCAAATAACCAATGATCAGGATTGGGACACCATGCTAATGCGTGGATAACACCGTCGAATTGCCACATCATTAAACAGCGCCCTGTCAACACTTCCCAAAGACGACAGGTGCGGTCATCTGAGCCAGTGATTGCATAGAGACCGTTAGGATGCACTGAGAGAGCACGAATACGCGATGTATGACCTTCATAAAGGATAGATTGACGAGTAGGGAAGGGACGAAGATCCTTAGGGCTAGGCAATTTAGGAACAAGTGACTCAGGATCAATATTCAGTCGGTTTTTGCGCACACGAGGTGCCAAATAAAGATCAAGACAACGTTGGAATCTTTCTTGAATGAACTTATCATACGCAGGCACATTACGTAGACTCTTGTATTTCTTAGGAAGGTAATTCTTGGGTCGATCTTCTTCGTCCATTTCACGCCATTCCTTTTCTTCTTTTTCATCCAGTAGATATTCTTCTGGTGGGTTGTAACTTTCATCATGTTCGGGAAGTTTCATTTTAGGTGCAGCAACATGCATAATATGGTCTTCCCGAGGCTGATCATCGTCTCCCCATAAATTATAGAATCGAGGTTTTTCATCTTTTGGTTTACGTGGTACGATACGACCTTGACGGATAGCACGAACAATCTTCATGATTTTCTTATGTTCCCATTTAGAAGGCACAAATCGTCTCTTAGGTTCAGGTCGAGCTGATAAAGGCATGACTTCGGTTTTCGAAGTGAACCATTCAACGGTGGGTTCATAAGGATTATAAGATGCATCAGGAATGATACCTCTTTGTAATCTCTGGATAATATCCAGTTCTTCATCGTTTAGAACAAGTTCTTTGTTTTCGACGTCGCTCTTTACAGATTTCCATGAATCTGGATCTTCCATAGTAGCCAGGAATTTGTCCAACTCATCTTCAGTAGCAGGTCTCAAAATCTTCTTGCCATCAATATCATAGCCGATGTGTGGTAAATCTTTGTATTTATCAAGTGAGATATTGCCGACTGTATTTTCAGTTTCTTCAGTAGATGAATCACTATCATAATCTGCTTCAATTTCTGGTAACTTTTCCTCAGCTGAATAATGCTGGGGATAGCGAGGTGGACTGGACATTGATAAAACAATGAAAAGGTGAGTAAATTGAACCTTTTAAATGCAGAAAAGCGAACAGCTTACAACTTAACATCATCTTCAACTTCATCGTCGTCGTCTTCGTTCTCTCTTTCCAAATCTCGTTCGAGTTCTTCGTCATATTCATCCATTTCATCGTCGTCCATTTCCTCTTCCTCTTCCTCTTCCTCAGCACTGTCGGCTTCAAAATCAACATCGTCCTCATCATCATCGTCGCTTAAATCGATCTCGGGGAATGCCTCTACATCCTCTTCCTCCTCCTCCTCTTCATTAAAATCAGGTTCTTCATCATCGGAGCTTCCCATGTCAAGGGCAACATCCCCAAAATCGTCTTTATCTTCTTCTTTTTGAACGGTTTGAGCAACATCAGCTGCTTTTCTCTTCAAGGGTTTCGCTGTTGTGTTTTTTGATAAGTTTCCATTTTTTGTTGTGGTGCTGGTACTTTTTTCCTTTGCTGCATTTGGTTTGTTTCCACCAACAGCTGCTGTTGCTTTCTTGGTTTTGGATGCCATAGAATTTAGAGAAGAAGAAGGTTAAAGAATATTTCAAATATACAGTTGGATCGGGAGAAAAGGTGGAAAGTTACAGACAAGCAGTTTTGAGAATAACACCGAAAATGAAAATTGGTCACACACTCAGTGTTGTGGCTTGTTGATCGCTTGGGTTGATTTAAAATGCGAACCCAAAATATGGAAAACGCTTTTTTGCGCTGTTCCTGACGGAATTTTCAAACTTGTCTTTTTGTCAACTCATAATATGATGCCGTACATTGACTATAGTTATTAGTTTTTGTAAATTTACAATTTATCACTACTTTGCAACTTTTTTTTTTTTTTTTTGGGGGTAGTGAGGCTTCTTTTAATGAAAAGAGAGCTGATAAACATGGTGTTTTATTTGAATAGTACAGTCAATTAAAAAGTTTCGTCTCGAAAGTGATAAAGGTGCTAACAACCATTCACTACATTTTGAAAGAGATGCTACACTCTTAAATTTCAGACTGAGTATCTGCAAGCCGATCATTGTGCAGACCTAAGTGAAATTCTAGATATTGGCGCGTGGAGTGAACTAATTTAACCTTCATAGAGAGGATAGGATTGATTATAATCATAATCGCAGCTAGAGGGACTGTCCAATCCGCCAGTGAGCACGAGGTTTTATTTCTATGCACAAGCAGTTACAGCGAAATGTTCTTTTACAAGTTTAAAGTAGCTGATCGGAATGAAGTCCCATCTTTATTATAGCAAAAGTGGTTCACTTAGTATTTATCGCATAGTTTGAGATGCAGATGCTGAGGAAATAAACCCTATATTGCTATTTGGTCTTGTATCTGTAGACTCAAGTTCTTTCATTTCAGCTTCCAACTGTTTTTTAAATTTTGACATTGCAGATATCACATCATCTTCTCCCTCCAAATACTCAATCAGACTGAATTGTGCCCTCGTATGCATTTCCATCAATTCTTCTTGTCGATCTTGCTCTTTCCTATTCAACTTCCGTGTACTATTATTTCTTGTCATTGAGATGACAGAATTACGATTAGATACGGACAGCTCTTTGATTTTAGCTTGAAGGCATTCTACAAGTTCTGATAAGTTCTTATTTTCCTGTCTTATGTTGTTCAGCACCTTTTCCTCTCTAATTTTCAAATCCTCCGCTATTGTCTGCTTTTCGTTTTCAAATTCTTCTATTTGCTGCTTCCTTTCATTTTCATGCTTTGTCTGTAATATTTGTAATTCTTCAGCATGGCTGTTCTGTACGCTTTGCAATTTAATCTCTAGTTGAGTGTTTGTTGCTTGTGCAGAGTTCAACTTTCTTATGATTTCTTCAAGCTTATTTTGTAGATCTACTTCTGAATTGATGTTTTCTTTGTCGTTGCCTAAATTCTGTTGTAAAATCCGCGCCAAATTTCTGTGGATATCGGTTTGCCGTTCTAATTGAAGGGACAAATTGTTATTTTCTTTCATCATGACATCATATTGTGCCTTCAATTGGTCAAAATCATGAATGTGTTTATCGTGTTCAGTCTGTAAGGTTTGGTAAGTTGCTATTTGATCCCTATATTGATTTGAGAGTTCTGCCAGGCTCGTTGATTGTTGTGTATACTTTTCTTTTAAATCCTCAAGAGCGGAGAGATGCTGATTATACTGATCCTTTAATTGTTCGTGCGTTGCAGAAAGTTGATTATGTTGATTATGCAGCTCTGATAGAGATGCCTCATGCTCTATTTGTACATTGCGTAAGGCGTCTTTGTGAGCTTCCTTTACTTGTTGTAGTTCTGTTTTTAAGGATTCCTCTGATGTTTTTAACGCTAAGATTTCTGCTAAAAGCCGTTCTTGTTCCGTTTTTAGGTCTTGATAGGCAGAGCCTTCTGATTCAAGCTGACTTTGTAAGTTTTGATGAATATTGCGCTTCTCAGTTTCATTTTTCTCAAGCAGCTCTGTTAGAGTTGTTTCGTGCTTGCCTTGCAATTCAGCTATTGCTGCTTCATTCTCCTTTTTGATGCGTTCCAACTCCAAACTCATATTTTCTTGACTTGCCACTAACGATTTATTGTGATCGGACAAAGCACTTATCAATTTCTTGGAATTCTCTATGACCGTTTTGGTCCTACTCTCTAGTTGATTTCCTTTTTCGAGTGCTAGCATTAATGTAGAGTTGATTGTTTGTAGCTTCTCTTTCATTTGTAAAGACTGAGTAGCATCCACATTCTCTAAACGGTTCTGAACAGCAACTAATTCTGCGTATAAATCAGCCTTTCCTTCACCTACATTCAAATTGAACATGAATGCGTTAACTGAATTGCGGTTCTTGTGTGACAAAAGATTTCATCTTTTACTTTTTTATGTGCCAATGGCTCACCTTTTATCTCTGCTTTTTCATCCATATTGTCCAAGCTATGAAAAGAGTCAGAACCGTCTTTATCATCTTTCTCCATATCTGCTGTCATAGAATATCTTAATGAGTTAACAATATTATTTATATCTCCAGATCCAAATTGGCCTTTGTTACTATCTGACATCTCCATTTTTGTGCTGTCTGTAATAGAGTGTGGTGGTACCACCGGCCTGTCTTCTACTGCTATGTTAGGATTTGGTTGTGTTTCCCGTTGCTGTTCTATTATTGTTGAGCTTGGCAGGTAGGACTTTTCGTTCGAGTATTTCAAACTTTTGGATTTGCTAGGATATGATCTATCTTTATCTCTGTGATTTAATCGACTGATAGACCTAGGCAACGATACTGACGAAGATTTAGTTGAGTCGTGCGTTCGACTGTAGGCTTTCAACCCATTGTTACAATTATCACTGTTTGATGATTGATGGTGTTCTTTATGAGAAAACAGCTTTTTTAATGTCATTGAAACGTAGTAGTATATAATTGTTGACTAGTGATGCCACACGCAATATAACAGCTTCCAGGTTTTCCGGCAAAGACGAATGATGGGAAACTGCGAGAGAAACAACCGAAAAAAGAAAAAAAAGTTGGGTTGAGATCCCAAAAAAAAAAAAAAAAAAAAGAAAAAAAGAGAAACTAAGACTTGGTCGGGAAATGTGTGGTTTTAACCGAAGAGCCTTAAACCAAAAATAAATGATGTCACAGCGATTCTGATATGTTCAGAAAGTTAAATAAGCATTTTAGCATTGACTATTCATGATATATGGTTTTTTGCAAATGCGCGCCTGCCAATGCATAGATTGAGAGGTAAACCTGAAAAGCGTACAGGAGCGGGGGATCAATAATAAATTAAACAAGCTGTTATCAACGGAACAACCTGAGTTGAATAGGTAATTATGAAGTAAAAAGAAAAGAAAAACTCAGTCGTTTCTAGGAGCATCTTCACTAATAGTTTTATTATATTACTGTGAAGCAATGATTCTTTTGCCTAAAGCGGCCTTGTCTTATGAACACGTCTTTCCATTTTCCAATCACTCACCGATTCCTCGCTTACACCTATTTCGCAAAAAAAAAAAAAGGAATAAGATGAAAATATGTTTGCTTACATACTATGTGCAACAACTATCTTTAGCAGGAAAAGTAAAGTAGGAGATGAAGCTACATAAAATGAAGGCAAAGGATCAATGGAGCACACTCTTTAGTGTCTCTAATGCTTCAGAAAGTACAAAACAAGCTGCTACCTTCACTGAAAGAAAAAAGGAATCGTCGACAGTTGTAGGCCTTTTGTAATAGACCATTGCCTTTAGTCTTTTTCTTCTAGGCTTCTAAAAACTTATGAGCATTACAGCGCAAATCAGTAAGTAAGCGCGTCTTTTTAAACCTTTGTTGACGCAAATGTTCGCAAACGTAACATAGTCACCTTCACCTTCCTTGAGGTTTTGGTCAGTGCATTGTGGTTGAACAAGCTCAGGAGATTCAAAATTAACCATTCTGCTTGAATTTTTAGTGTTCTCTTATGTCGTACAGAAGGTCTTCTCCTTTGTACGTTCACCGCGGCATTCCAAGTAGATCATCATCGACGTTTAAGTATGTACAACACAATGACGGACAGTTGCCTCATATTGGATGATAAAAAATAGATTTGCTTTTTGTCCCTGTTTTTTATTTTTATTTTTTAAGTAACAAAACGTTCTGAATTTCGCTTTCTCCCTCTTTTACCTCAATTCAACAACTTTTTAGAAAGCTTTCTACAGCCCCATTCCACTTTCCTTCAATTCAATATTACGGCTTACTATAGATAGTCAACGCCTTCCTTTCCTTTGTTTAAAGAACCCCATTACACTCCCTTCCTGCAAACACCAGCTCACTTGAAACAATAATGAACGAAATACTATTGTCCGATTCAACTACTGAATACGATTATTCTAACGGATCAATGGTAGTCAATATTGACACTGACCTTATTCAACAGCAGACAAAAGTGGATGTCAACTCTACAACCTCATCCAATTCAGTTCCTTCTTATTCCGAAAACTCGCAACAATTACAATATGCATCTTATCCAGGTAACATAAATGAGATAAGTGATTTCAGGGGGGGCCAAAGGGAGGTTTACAGTAACAAAGTTGTCTCTTGTATACTCATTGAAGAAGAAAGGCGGAAAAACGCAAAATTATAATGAGGCAATAATAAGATTATTTTGAAGGCACAGCTCGTACTAACATTATCTTTCGCTCATTTTTTCACTCCTATTTCATTTGATTGTTCTTGATTATTTGCCTTGTGCACAGCCTACACATTTCAGTCGTTGCCTGTGGGATTCACCTCCGCTTTGCCCGCTTATACACATGCACTTCCTCGGTTAGATTACTTTGATGACTCGCCTAATAATGCTAATGTAGCGGTAGCTCCTACAACGTCTGTTACATCAACTTATAACAAGCAACCTACCAGCCCTGCATCGATTTCATCTGCTTCGTCATTGCCTTCTACACCTTCACCGCCTCCTCATACAATGAGTTCTTCAGCTTCTACAATAATGAATACAGCACATTTGAATTTTACAGTAGCCACTAATAAAACTAGTAATAATAACAATTCACACATTTTGACTCCACAATCTCTTAACGCAAATGAACTACTTAATACATCTTCTCTGGGATCGAGTACTTCATCTCGTGTTACTTCTGCAAATAATATAAACCTTTCCACTTCTCCATCGTCAACATGCTATACTACAATGACAGGAAATCCCAACAGACAACAGCAACAGTTCAATACCGATGTGGTTCTCTTGAAGGAATCTTCTTCACCACTGATTCATGCAGCTACGAACATTAGCTCTGCTATTGCTACTACCAGGAGCGGCACTATTACAACAGGCAACAACGACATGGTAGTCGTAGCTGCCGCGGCTGTTGCCGCGGCGGCGGCACCTCAGTATACCAATTCCACAACGGCACGTGTAAAAGAAATGATCTCTCGAGCTAACTCTATTCCAATGGAGTTCTATCATACAGAATTCTTGGAGTATTCCAAGGAAACATACGAGAAAAAGTTGGAATCGAAACGAAACAAGCGTAAAAGATATACTACTACTACTACTACCAACACCACCACTTCCTTGCAACGGCAACCAGAGCAACAGCAACACAGTCACTGCTCAAACGGAAATAACTCTGTTATTAGTGACAATGATCAAAATAGTGCCAGAAGAGGGGAAGAAGATCTCCAACAAGTGACGAAAAGGAAAAAAAGTAACACTAATATTACTTCAGACATTTCCAGCGAGAGCATCTACTGTAATCGAAGAAAAGATACTGATTTGGATGAAGAGGATTACTTTTTTTTCGTTGGAGATAGCACTAGAAATAGAGATGAAGTGGCACAGCATCAAAGTAATGATAGTAGCAGGACAACAGCAGACGGCAGCGTCTCTACAGCAGAAATTCGTCGACAAATTCATATTCAATCAGAACAAAAAAGACGTGCACAGATCAAGGATGGCTTTGATGAATTACGAAAGCATCTTCCTGGGTGCAGTAACAAGAAAATGAGTAAAGCAGCTTTACTAACGAGAACTGTTCAACAACTGCAACATTTGAAAGGGATGCAGAACGAACTCTTATCTGAAGTTGAGAGGCTTCTTCAGGAAAACGAAGCATTGAAAAAGTAAGTGATCAATAATTTTTGGTCTGCGTCTATAACCCGTAAGTAACATACTACTTCCTTTAGATTTCAGCATAGCATACTTCAACGTCAAGCAATGGAAAAACCATATACCTTTTAAGTTGTCATGTATCCTCTGTTTATAGTATATAGCTTAACTTATTACTTCAACCTTTGCATTCTATATGTCTCTGTAACCGCTCCTTCGTTCATTTTGCTTTTACACTGATGGCATTCCATCCGTTATTATTTACTCTATGGCCCTTACTCATTTAGGCGACGTAAGTCCCTCCTTGAACTTTCTTTTCTCTTTTTTCTCTTTTTCCGAATGATAAAATGCAGTTTCATACTTTGAAAACATAATTCTTGCTTGTTGTAGGACGGAAGCACGTATATTGAGTACTGTTTATAGAAATTTCTGTAATGTACATACACTTCTACAGCAGTTTCCTCAGTGCCATTGAAAGTTTGCTTCTTTTGTGATGGTTATAGTAGAGCTTTTTTTTTACCGTAGAAAGTAAAAGGGGTCGGAGATCTGCGTGGGGTTCTTCATACATAATGCATTTTACATATCCCTTATTCTTCTGTTCCTCTAGAACCAGTGCTTGTATAGTTCTGAAAACTACTCCTTACAATAACTTGGGGTGGGGGGTTATTTTTGCCCTTGACATAACAATTTAGAAATGATACGTAGGCCATCAATCCTATAAATAATTGAAAAGCCTCGAAGCTTATGTAACATTAAAGTACAATGTTGCTTTCATTGGTTCTAGTATAAAGTTATCACATTGATGTGGTTAAGACTCTTGTACCCACTGAAATTTACCTGCTTTTTCTCAAAATTTCGATACGTCGTCTTTTAGCAGATATTTGTTTGTAAGTGATTCTTAGAAATAGTATGTCGCTTGAAGGTAATTGTGCCGTATCATTTGAATGGAAAATAAGTTATGTTGAAGATGAACAATTGTAACTTTTTTAAACCAGAGTACTTGTTAATATGTTACTTTTTCTACTTTGTCATTCTGTCTTCTGTTATAGCGGCGAAAGTCAGAATAATGAAGTGAGTCCTGACTAAGGCTTAATGTTCATTTTAATATTTGCGAGGATAACAGCTCATCATTGCGTCTAGTTCAGCTAGCTTTGAGTTATCGCACAACCTAATAGGATTTAGCTTTAACAAGCTTGAATATATTTGAGTAATCAAAGCACGCAGAGTTAATTAAGAAGAGTTTTTGGTGTCTGGGCAACTCTTGACTCTTGAATCTTGATTTTTCAAATGCTGGTCACCAAGTGGATGTAGCAATCGCACAACTCTATATATTTTCAGCATTGATGGAGAAAAAAAAAGTTGTACGAAGCGGGTGCCTTCTCACTTATTATTCCTTTTGAATTACAACTCTCATACTTTTCACGACTATAAGTACAGCTCCATTTAATAAGTTTCTGTTCGCAAAAACTATCAAAAAATTACTAGTACACGAAGCCGCAATCTTATGTAGAATGTATTCCTTATTCTGGACGGTATTATATCCGGTCACAAAAGAGCATTATTGAACAACTGGCCCATCGAGTCGTATTATTTGCGGTGGAACTTGCAAGAAGCAATTGGTTTTTGCCAAAAATATTGTGAAACTCGCGGAAACTATGTAAGTGAAGTATATATCAGCAGCTCATGCATACTTGTTCGCCAAGTATACTTTTGGCAATAATTCAAGTTGTTCCTAGTTCATTCCGCGAGATATGTTCATGTATCTTTCTTCTCTATTGTAGGGAGGGGGGTTGACTTTGTAAGCCAGAAGAAGAGTAAAAAAACGCAGTTACTAATGATAGACGCGCATTATTGTCCTGCACTAATTAGGTCAACGGACTCGACTGTATTTTTCACCTGAGCAGCAAGCCCTCTTCATATAAGGCAGGACCACGTATGCTTATGAAAATAATTTCAGGATGACTCGGGTAAACACTACTACCAAGCAGTCAATGTAAAATAGAGTTTTATGAAAAAGACTTGTCAACCATATGAACAATTAAGGGAGCAAAGAAATCTAAACCAGCAGGGGGCAAATGCAAGAAATATATTGACGGATGACTCAAGCCTCTTCAAATTAACTGTTGTTTCATTTCAGCAGTTTCTTTACCAAGCAAATATTCTCAAAAAAGCTCTCGCTTCGTACAACAAATTACCTCTTTAAACAGCGTAATATCTGTTACAGCTGTAAAGCCCAGCCTGTACAGCATCTAAAGGTTTACTCTCACCACTGCCAATGCTTTGCTGTTGGTGATATGTGTCTTTTCAACTGTTGAGATGTAGGTATTCCCCATGCGACACAATTATGGATACCAAGTTTTTTGAACACAGTAATGCGACAACAATATACTGTTGATAAACCTTGGCGATAGAAATGCGATGAATTTGTTGGTTTCAAAAATGATAGATTATTCAAAAATTGAAGAACAAAATTCTTTTCGGCGACTTTATGGTATAACTATTATGCTGGTGTCAGTATTACTCAGAAACGATGTTTAAACATTGTTTGGATAGAATACGGCACACAGTTGCAATTGAAAATATTTGTTAAAAAGCGAATTAATCAAAAAGAACAACAACAATTTGTTAACCGCATTCGAACTTTTGACCAACTATTCAATACAGATCTACAAAGCCAAATGACGCTACAGGTTAAGAAATAAGACGTTACTGGCGTGTAAGGACAATGTAAACCGATAAGGTCATTGAAGCTGAATTCTACAACTTCAAGAATTTTAACTTGCATTCTCTAAATTCTGTAAGCGCTCAGCACCTTCAAAAGTGGCAACTCATGACGCTTGAAATACATCATTACGAACGAATTGCGTATGACTGAAGTGTTTGCAGTTTGTAACCAACTGTCTTTAATGTAGAAGAAAAAAGAAACCAAAAAAAAACCAACAACCTGAAATTCTCAGTTCACGACTAAAAAACATAGTTGGAAAAATAAGGTTCCATTATCTTAGCAGTTATAAATAATGTTTTTTTATGTCGCTTTGAAAGCACTTGGAAGCCAGTCTTCTAAGCAGCCATAAGAACGATATGTTGGATGCTGACGATTTGTTTGAATGAAAAAACAGGCCATTACTGTTTATCAAAACGGTTCAGGAAACTCTTGACTAGCAAAAGAAAAGCTCATCATTGGCGATTTGCTTTCGCATGTAGGTGTATATGATGAGCTTGCATTGTATTGCGTTATTACTAGATTTATAAATGCTTGAATATAGTGAAACTACTGAGATTGCAAGCTGCATTGCTTGTAACCGCTTGTTTGAATAGGAGCAGTATGTATATTCAATTTACGCCAACATGAAGTTATTCCTACTATTGTCCGTTGCCTGCAACGAAGCAATTTGGATGCGTAACATCAAGCAAGACTAGATGACGATGAAGAGCGATGACTGTCTTCATAACGTGCAGTGGTTGTAGCCATTCTTAGAATATATTCAGCCCACACAGTAACGGCTGATGTAACTAATGATGCCCAAGGGCAAAACATAGATTGACAAAAGGCAGGGAAGAAATAAACAATGCAATTAAGTTCTTTACATTGCTCGTTTATCTCCTGCTTCAGATTTCAAGTTCGAAAAAAATACTCTTACTCAAAACTCGAACTAATAGCTTTCCGTCTATTTTTTGTTTTTGTTATATCTATGTGAATAGAAATTTTTTGACTGCCTCAATTCTCTTTACTTCTTTCTGATTATGAATGGTACGACACAATTATCTTATTTTATTCAACATCATTTTTCTGCATTGTGCAATTTTATCAAAAAGTGCGTTTACGATTTAATACATGCAAGCCCTAAAGGTTTTAAAAGCTCGACTACCGAAAAGGTAAAGGAATCTTCAACTTTTAAAATAGTTGCTTCATATACGTTTAAACAAGGATTTTTATTACTGACATTTTTTAAGCCCAATGGACACGAGATATTAAACTTATCTAAATTGCCCGGGGCAGCTCGAGTTGAGAATAGAGCGATGCATAATGTCGGTCAGGGTGCCGTGGTGGGCGAAAAAGCATACTATCTAAATGGGGGGAGGGGGAAGGGGCTAAACTAATCATTATAATTGGTAGGCTAAGACTTTGGGCGCGGTTCGGGATCTTGCTTAATTAGGCCTGGGCGGGCACCGCAATTATTCATAACATGTTTAAACACCAACACCGACCGAGAACCACCTTGATAGCGGCATTAAAAAACCCTAGGAAGCAGAGAGAAAGGGATCAAAGCTGAAAAAATATCAGCGGCGTACAGGAATCGAACCAACAATCGTTGGTTTTGGAAGCCAAGGCGTTAACTACCTCCACCGGGGGCTGGGCCCCCTTTGCTTCATATACAGTTTTTTAGCTTTGGGTTTAGACGAAGCCGCAATATAACTAGACGAAAAAAGTAAATTTTTGAGATCATTAAGTTATAGTTTCAGGATCAAACTCCACAAAAATTGAGACGCTTACCTGTAAAAATCAAACCAGCTTCGTGCTGGCGATTAGAGGATGATGTTTAATTGGTTGTTGCGGGTGATTTTGGTTTTCTAGAAAACTCCGCAGGTCTTCCCGTTGACTTCCAGATCGAAACGCTAATTGTCAACATGTTTTTAGCAGCGTTGACGTCCCGGTTCCAAAGTATCGAACAGGTTTTGCAGGCAAGGATACTTTGGCCGGGAACTGTCTTCAATGCTTCAAGATTGTTGGAACGACAATTATTGCATATTCGAGAAGTTAGGTATTCATCAATGGTTAATACGAGCAAATCGCCAGCAGCCTCTCTTCGCTTCAAGGCACGCCAAAGAACTCCCACGACACCAGTCTTATGGCCTTTGATGGGCACTGCACTCTTCCCGAACATGCCATTACCAACTACAATCAAAGGGATCTTTTTAGTGTCGCCTACACTAAAGGGTTCAGGCTTCCACTTGTTCTTCAGGGGATTACTGTAGAAAGCATGAGTTCTATCAATATTTCTGCGAATAGTGGATGAATTGCTTATCATTTAAAAACCTTACCTCTCTTTCTTAGCGAGAACATCGCTTACTTCTCTCGCATCTGCTTCTTCCTTCTCTTCTGGAACCTTTTGCTTCTTCTTCTTCTTCTTTTTACGTTTACAAAAGGCCATTCTGTCGGTATTCTTCTTTGGCCACTTGCTTCGATCTTTCTTCTTCTTCAACCTCAATTGCTTATTGTACTTTGTGGTTCCATTAATAAGCAAATTGACCATGTTGTCGGCAGCACGCTCCTGACCCTGGTATAAACGAAATCGTTCTTCAGCAGTTCTCTCGCCGTAAAAAGAGAACAAGGCTTCCAAGTGCTGCAATATATATTGTACATGACGGTCATGTTGTTCGATAATAGAAGTTTTGGCGGTTGGTATGCCACTTTCGATCATTTTAATTGCGCCTGCTTTCTTCTTTTCCAGCTTTGCAGCGTATCTAGTACTTCCGGTCATATGATAATATTCCTTGGTAGAGCAGCTGCGTACTTGAAGTTTGTTATGATCTAATCCGATTGCCGCTGTGAAGACAGATCTTCGCCCTGGATCAAGGAAAGCGGGTCTGTAATTGTCTTGTACTTCGTCATAAGAAAAATCTTCCAAAGTCAAGGTGTGATTATGAATGGTCATGTCTTCTTTTGTTTTCTTTTTGCGGCTGAACAAAAAGTCTACAGTAAAGCCGTCCGACCTAACCATGTTTCGAAACATTACATCAGAACTTTCCTTCAAAGCGGTTAGACTATGACAGAAGCAAAAATAGGGGTGTGTTTACTATTAGGCATAATTTTGCTGAAGAAGTTCTTCTATAGTTTTACCTCTTAAAGCCAAACTTTTTGAAGTCGAAGACTTTACAGAATTGTTCGAGTTGGGCTGTATAACCCTTGGCAACTTTTCCGGGAAACATGAAGGGTGTAAGAGCGTTTATACTTATCGCGATGAAACGCCATTTCAGCGATGGAGTAGGAAAGAGAAAGAAACGCTGAGGAAGTGGTAGGACACGGACATCGTACGGTTTATTCTGTATATGTTCTTGCTCGTACGTAAACTGTATGTTCCATAACGCATTAACAAACTTTGCAGGAGCAGCAGAAAGAGAAACGAGGGTTACTTCTCCTGGAATGAACTTTTCAAATTGTTTGCAGAGTAATTCAATTCGGTTTTTGTCAACGGCCGCCAGCTCGAGGCTTTCTGGCCAATGAGGATGACCATGATAGACAGATTGGTAACAATACAGCTGTACAATTCTTTGTGCATCAGTGCGTTTGATATTCTAGAATGTGTATAAAGATAAATAAAATGAATAAAACAGCAGAGCATTAAGAAGGTACTCGGTTACAGCCTTACCGGGAGCATAGTTCTCAATTTGTAAGTAAGGAACTTTGTTAAGCGCTGCTCGAAGCGCTCTACAATGGAGTTCGTGTAAGAGACACTCAATTCCTTCGCTGCCTCTGTAAGGCAATGACTATATCCCACGGTCAGCTTGTGTTTCACTTCGATAGTAGGGAACTTTGCCTTGAAGTCTGTATAATACTGTTTTATGTTCTCGGATAATGCCGTTTTGTGAGTAACTTGCTTGCCCGTTACTAGCTGACCTACTGAATACCAGAATTGCTGGCAGAATACATCAGGAATAGACCTGTCTTTGTTGGCTTCTTTACTGTCTTTCTTGCTGGCTTCTTTGTTGGCTTCTTTACTGCCTTTGTTGCTGTTTTTATCAGTGTCTTTCTTTTCGCCTTTGTTTGCATTCCTTTTATTCTCCTGATAATGAATGAGGTACGAGTTAACGAATAATTGACTAGAGAATACTATTGTCCTTATGTCAGAGCAGCAAGATATGACTTTTTCTTGGAATTGTTCGCGAAACGCTGGCTTCACAGCAGACGTAAGAGGGAGCTTTCTCGTGAATACAGTGGAGCCTTCTCCAAGCGTCGAGGTAATAACTTCTTCCTTTGAAGCAATGTGATTGGGACATTCGAGAGAACGAGAAGTAGAATGACCTTTTAAGCCACAACTGATACACTTGATATCTCCAGTTGTTTGCTTCTTCTTTCTCTTTGCTTGCTTCTTTTCTTCCTTGATTGTAGCTGATTGCTTACGTTTCTTACCGCTACTTCCAACTAAATTTCCGCTAAGCAAACATAAACTTGTCTTGCAGTGAGAGCATGATACTTACCATCAGCTGCAGAAACTGCTTTGTAAAACTTGCATTCATGGTATGCCTTGTTGAAATGTCCGAGTGTTTTGCAATCCTTGCACTCGATGTTTACTAGTCATACAAAACATAATCTGAGGATTACCACTATAACTTATTTGTGGCAGCGCGCTCATGTGTTACTTACGGAAGGACTCATCTTTGACTTTATTCTTATGGGCCTCTGCCACCGATTTAATTTTTTGCAAGATTTGGGCTTTGTACATGGTAAGTAATAGCTATCAGGATGAGGAAAGAAAGTATAGAAGAAGAAGAAAAAGATGGAAATCAGAGGAAAGATGTCAAACATATTTTTATCTGTAAATGCTTCGAGTTTGACAACATCTATTTTTTTGTTACGATTGACAACAACAACCGTTATCTACGTGGCGGAAGAACGTGTCTGGGATTAGTTTAACGCGTAGATCAATTCATATGATCCATAAATAAAGTCTCGTAAACTACAACCCTATATCTATTGCTGATAAGACCTGTGTCACACTATAATACTCAGTACGTCTCGTAGTACTTTAACGTAATGCCACTATCTATTGAAAAATGTCCCTGACCTTCAAAGTAATGTCTACAATTATTTACTCAATAAATCGTCCAAGAATATTATACCATTTCATCCTAAAATAATTTAAAATTATCTAAATTAAATATATATATTGTCCAATAAAATTTGTATAAAGTGTAAAGTTGAAGCTAAAACACTGTAACTCAAACGATCTTTTGTGTAAATTTCAAAAAATTCAAATTATCGGTACGCAGAGATCCATTTTCCTAATACATGGAGTTTTTATTGCCTTTATGATTACATTATATGTCAAGAGTACACCTGTACTAATAAGCATCTTGATATTGAATGAAAACTGGTCTATTGAGTGCCATACCTCTTCTTTAGCAAAAGTATGTAAACACGTTTGCACATGATATTGGAGTTTTCAATTCACAGTGTTTCCAATATTGCAATATCCTCCATCATGGCAGGCGTTTCTCGGCACTTTTATTAATTACTTAACTCCTTAAAGCGCTCGCATTGTATTTCATCTTTGTTCTCCTTTTCGAACATTTCAATTTCTACTTACATAGTCAATGTTATTTTGATTCTATATACATTTCGGACAAAAGTCAAGTTTAATTTTTTTAGAAATAGTTGATTTTTTAATTTCAAAGCACAATTGTGATTTTCAGACAAAGTAACTAAAAATTGAGACGTTTAATCACAATATTTCCGGCTCAATTGGTACTCTTTTGACTGTTTTCAGACTAATGACATGAGAAGATCATATGCTTTTTATTTTAATTTTTGAAAGGATGATTTTTCAGAGTACTATTTGGATATGGACTTTAGCCTAAATCATCTTCATTTTCAAGATATCTATTCCAATACATCACAGGGTGTCTTACACAAGCTTGTAGATTTATCGTTAATACTGATTAACTAGCTTCAATAATGCGGGAATTAGCGTATCATTATTGCTCAAACTATTCCTTTGATTTACTCTTGTATACATGCAAAATTTTTCGATTGCAATCAAAATGATAAATATGTTGGCATAAACAGAAGTCTATATTCTCTTGTCATTATGGTGAAAACAAGTAAAGAAGCGAATTGTATTCATATTATTATAATGGACTGCCTTTTCTCACCCAAGTTATCTACAAATCTACAACAATCTCAAGGGAAGAAGCTAGAACCCCTTTTAATAGGCTGAGGTGCTACAGGTTCATCAGAAATGGCCTTCCTCTTCTTTGCTTTTCATTATAATATATATGCTTCCAAAAAACCACCACTGCCAGTCATATTGTCCGATTTATGAATCATCAGCTACGTATATATTGGATAGGCATAATGAAAAGGTAGGATTATTAAACTAGATATTTGTAGAACACATTATCCTACCTTTGTAAACGAGATGATTAAAACACGCGATATGAGCTTTTATTTATGCCTCCATACTCACCATTTTTTAAATCTAATTAAAGAGTGCTTGTCAAAAATCAAAAAGTACATTTGACGAGGTCCACTAAATTAAGCAGATATTCTTACTTCAAATATCAAAAATCTCATAGATGACTAGAAAGGGCAAGCCATAATATGAAATTCCGAAATTTGAATTAGTTCATTGAAAATAAAAACAAATTACTGTGAGATTCGAATGGGGGGATTCGGACTAATTTGGTGATCTGTTCTGGACCATTTCTAGAAAAATACTGGATTGATGGCAGATGCTCCATCCAAAATACCTTTAGGCTGAGAGCATAACAGTCTGAATAACCCTTGTTTCACATAGTTCCTATTTGAGAGCCCCTCTCGAAATGCTACAAAATACACCTTTTTAAGCGGAAAGCTTTGCAATTACCGATTCCATTGAGTATATGGAAACAGATAACATTTACAACATTCCAAATTGCTTAAGATTCATATACTGTTTAGAAGAATCAAATGACTTGTCCAAAGCTTGATTACGAAGCCGAATCTAATGAAATCAGCAAGTAAGTATCCCTCATTGCCCATGTCTATTGGAAACTTACGGTATACTGTAAACATTGTATTAATCAGAATGATTAAAAAGATGCGCACAGTACGCGTTACTGTAACAATGTATTCTCGCTTTTCTAGACTTACTCATAATAAGTACAAAAGGTCTTCTAAATTTGGTGATACTGTGAATTTTATTAAGTTGAGAATTGTAATGGGCCAAGTCAAGTAGCGAGACTGTAACAAAGGTCTTTACTTAAGTCTCAACGAGTGACGATTTCGAGAAAGTGCATGCCTGAAACCGTATCATGATTAGTAGTTCAAAGGTATGTAATCAATTGCACCAGTGATCACAATCATAACTCGAAATTCCGATATAACGCATTATCGTGCTACTTCAACAAAGGAAAAAACCCCATCAGATGTTCTTTTGCAAGTAGTGGAATTGTAATTGTAATGGCGCTAAAATATGTACCACATTGTTCAAGAGGTTTGGGCTGGTCATGGAAGACCCGGTACTTAAAGATTCTTCAGGTAGTAAGTCTACATTTTATCGAAAATATATCCAAAAATCCTGTCTCCAATTTCCAATTTTTTTTGTTATTTTGATCTGTAATTCAATTCAACCGACAGGGCTGTTTGTCCAAAAATTATTATACTATTGTCCGAAAGGTTCAAAAACCAAGTAAAGTGTATTAACAATTCTTCATTTACATACTTTACTAAATCCTAGTCGTACGTAGTTAGGAGTGGGTATATAAACAGGAGTGATCAGGAATTCCCTGAACGCAGAAAAATGCAAATTAATGCCGTGTGTATACATATGAGCTTCCAGAGACAAAGTTGTAAGTTGTATTTTGTAATCAAAACAAATCAGTGCGTTTTACAAAAAAAAAAAAAAAAAAAAAAAAAGGAAAATTGCAGATCTCATTATATCACACTTTATTCCAACAGAAGAAAACCAACCTTTTCACCAACCTTTTTTTTTCCATTTCTCGAGCGGTTCTTCCTCTATTCTCATATAATTAAATTATCTTTCACTCGTATACATTAGAGTTAACATATGTGCTTAAGTCTAGCCCTTCTCAAAATGCCCTTGCCACTACATCCTTTCATTTTGTTGACAAGTTACGTAACATTGAGTATGCAACAACAACAATCTGCTGACGATAATACCATTGACGATAGTAGCAGAGATGATGATGATGATGATTGTGCATTTATATCAGGTCAGCATTGTGACCAAAATGGTATTTGTAAATACTGCGCAATGTGTCTCCAGAGCTCATGTATCTTAAGCAAAACAATCGATAACAAACAGCCATTAGATCCAATAAACCATAACAATTGCAACTCAACACAATTTGGCACTACACATATATATGATTGGTACGACTATTGTTTGTCCAGCGGAAATGATAGCAATGGTGGTAATGGTTTATGATAGACAACAGTAGCCATTTGCATCTTCAATCGCACCTAATGGTTCTTTTTTTTTCTCACTAAAGATTATTGTGCAACAAGCACCGAATGTTATCAATATCGAAAGAGTGTAGAACCAACAGTAACCTATGCTTGGCATAATTTGACATGCAATCCGACTACTTGCATGTTAACGGCAAGCAACGGTTCAGCGCCACCTATTCCTGTATCACCTTCGACATTGACATCTACGAACGGTAGTAATAGTAGCAGTGGATCAAGCAATAATGGAACCGGGAGATTGCAACAAGAAAACGACAGCAAAAAAGATGAGAATTCAGCTTCCTCTACAGTAGAACACAATAGAGGACAGCATCATTATTACCATTTTAGAAATCCAGCAATGGTCGCATTAACAATAATATGTTCTCTGCTGTTACTTATAGCAATATGTTGGACACTAAATTTTTGTAGGAAAAGGAAGTGGTACAGTAACACAATTCTAACCTCCACAGGAGATATACTGTCTCGTCAACGTAATAAAAGATCATGGCTTAAAAACTCGTCAAAATTCACTGATGGTCAGCAGCAGCAGCAACAACAGCAGCAGCAAAGACGAGTACCTTCCATGCAAGAATCAATATCCTCAATTCCCAGCACTGCACCACCGTCATTCTCTACTATCCCGTCCGAAATGGTCACTATTCCCAATACAAATCTTGGCGCGGAGCATCCACATTTACGTGTATATACAACAACAACAACAACAACAACAAGAACAACAGGAACAGCGAGCCAACAATTCAATACAAGCATTAATAACAATTCAGCACGATCGTCGATTAATTCAATGATTGCCACTAATCCAATAGCTGTTACGAGCGGTGAATCCTTACCATCCTACTTAGCACCTTACCTTTCGCCCCCAAAATATGAGCAAGCCATAGTTACACAGATCAGAGGATTAAGAGAGGAGAGCAGCAGTAACAGCAGTAGCAGTAATAATCTAGTAGCAGACGCGGCGGACCCTTATCATTGCGAAAGTGCTGCTCCTATACCGTCTATGTGGGTTCCGGTTTACTTCGCCCCGCAAAATCTACATAATGTTAGTAGTGTAGGTAACAGCAGACGATTCACCACCACCGTCACTAATGATAATAGCAATTCTGATACAGCTGATCTCGTTAGACTCCCACATAACCATCCTATACATTCTTATTGGTTGCAGTTACTAGCAAGGAATAGCAGCAGTAGTAACAATAATGCCTTTGTCGGCCCTCTTCTTGTAAGGACCTCAACAGAAAACAATAATGAAGCAGACCTTGGCCCGATTAATGGAAGAGGCCAATAATAGTTAGTATAGTAGAACAACACCATATCAGATAGAGTATTAATCGTAACTATTTTGAGCTTCAAACAATAAAAGATTGTAGTTGATAACTTTCTTTTCCTAAGATGGCGCAAGTTAGCTTATCTTGTCTTCTTTGGCATATGTTAGTTTTTCCTAAAGTTGGCTGACCAATGTAAAGAATCAACGTAGTCAAATTTTTGGCCATAAATTAGCCTAGCTTAGAATCTCTTTTTTGGTGCAAATAGTCTTATTTGTCCTATATTGTTTTGTACTGCTTGTGCTATAGAGAAACTTCACAGAAAGTGAGAAGCAAACATGCGTTATATAATTGTAGAACGATATAGTATTCCTTTTTCCTCACCTTTCCAAAAAAAAAATAATTTCATTACAATGTCCAGCAGTTTCATAATGTAGCTGTGTTCTTTGATATGGGCTGCGCGGCTGCTTCACTATCCATAGCAGATCCTACTGGCCATATACAAAATGAGATTAACTCGGAAGTCTAATGTTTTAGGAGCATCTCTTTCAGCAGTGTACCTGACGGCCTTTTTAAATGAACAGCAATACTTCTTTGATATGTGTGCAAGCTTGCTAAAGCAGCTTCCTTAATCTCAAGATATCTTGCTAGAGGTTCTATTATTACTTCATGTAAGGCTAGGCATGGATTTTCGCAAAAAAGCTCGACCATAATACTTCATGTGCAGAGAAGTGCTTCTTGGGATCACTCCAATTTCTGGATATGTTCACTGCGAGGTAAAATGGTATCATTGCCTTTACATACTCCCTTCTTATATAAAACTCTGTGCTTCTCAGTATACTGCACGCTACTGCAACTTTGAGCAGAAATTCTTCTTCCTTAAAGCAAATATAAAAAGCGCCTAATCTGTTCAGGGACGTATTCTTACAAGTTTTCGCAGATATACTTCTTTTTGAATTAAAAAGGTAAGTAAGACTATCTTGATTTACAATGATTGATGCTTCGGCGGTGAATGCTTTTCTATCATTGCCACAACTCTTCGATTTGCTGAGAATCAATGTTCATCGCCATTTGACACTACGTTGACATCATCCTGTTCAAATTGGTAGCATGTGCAAGTGTTCCTATTTGGCCGTACAAAACAGTTACATTGTCTATTTTTATACGGTCATCATAAACTAAGCTATATTGATAATTGCAGCTACATAATGAAAAGAGACTAAGTCCATTGTTCCTTTTGATAATAACTATGTGTTCGGATTTGGATGATTTTTGACCAAAGACCTAGTTATGTCTCTGATCAATTTAAAACAGTTCACCGAACCGGTCTAAAAACAGTCTCGACGATATTCAATAGAGTCCGAATTTGAACGGAAAATACTGTGGTAGCATTAATTTTGCTTGGGTCGCTATATTATTGTCTGCTTCACATTAAATAGTTTCAAGAGAAGTATTATTATTGGGCAAGACAGAATGTAAGATGGTCCAGTAAAGAGCACTCACAATACTATGTTCTATGTGCAAGCAGTAGAAGTGTCGATGAAAATTGAGCGCCCATGCAAAGATTAGTAGTACGAACGACCCGTTCTAATCAAACTACTACAATCATTGAAATATGTAACATAAATCAGATCATCAAACAACTGAGCAATGAAATGGATCTCTTCTTTATTATCGTTGCGGTTAGTATCTTTCAACCATTGTGTGAGAAACCGGCTATTTGTGTTGAACAGGAATGCAACATCAAGAAGCCGCTTGTTTGTATGCATAAATTTTTTGTCAAACAACACACAACAAGGTAACATGACGAAGCGTTTCAGTCTTTTTATTCCCGCATCTCTCAACCGTCTTCCTTATTTTTCCTTTTATTCTTATTTCCAATCACTAATTCTCTAGTATGAAATTCTTATGCTTGTCCCTTTTGTCGATTTCAGCCTTCTCAGCATTTGTTCATGCTGGCCCCATGGCCGTCATTGAACAGCTGCGATTCTTCCAGACTTCCAACCCAGAACTTCGACTAATTCAATACAGGTACCACTTCTCTCAACAGTTTTTTGATTACTCTATAAGATACTTTATTAACGATTTTCCAAAAAAAAAAGTGACGATTCTCCAGCCAAATGGATGACAGAACAAGACAAAGAAGCTCTGATTCGAGCCGGCATTAAGTTTATGGATATAACTGACTACCGCAATACCAATGATATTTATTCCAGTAACGAAGATTGGACACCTTTTATTCCCACAGAAGCTAAATATCAGGATGAGGTATCACCTTTCATCGGTAATTTAACGACAGATACCATCAGAGATATTTTACAAGAGTTTACATCTTTCCGAACACGTTATTACAAATCTTCGTATGGTGCTGAATCTTGCAGATGGCTATTGAAACAAATTCGTGATATCGCTGAAGGATTTGATCATGTATCTGTTACTGAATTCAAACACAGTGTAAAGTATGACCACGACCATGATGATTCAACATGTTACCTTAACTTATGCAAATTATCTGTTGAATACTGAACTTCTTTCATAGTGGGATCAGTTTTCAATCATTGCTAGGTTTGATGGGTCTGATAAAAACCTTGCCAATGAGGTTGTTATTGTAGCCGCCCATCAGGATTCTGTTAATATGTGGTTGCCATCTTTTGGTCGTTCTCCAGGAGCAGATGATGATGGTAGTGGTACAAGCACTATCGTAGAAGCTTTCCGTAGTCTGGTTCAACATGGCTTCAAGCCTGAAAGGCCTGTTGAATTTCACTGGTATAGCGGAGAAGAGGCCGGCTTATTAGGTAGTCAGGCTGTAGCTGCTACGTATAAAAGTCAAGGTAGACGGGTAGTGGCCATGCTGCAAAATGATATGACAGGATACATAGGTAATAATGGAGAAGTAATCGGTATAGTTACCGATCATGTGGATGGAAAGGTAAGTTTAAAGTGTTCACGCATTTTTTACCTCTGTAAAATCTACAAATTAACTCTTTTCGACATTATTATAGTTGACCGATTTCTTAAAAACTTTGGTTGACAATTACGCTGCGATTCCTTATGTTCTGACTGAATGCGGATATGCTTGTAGTGGTAAGTAATACTTTTAGTGGTAGTTGTAGCTTAACTGTGTGAGTTATCTGAATATGGTTGCATTGTAGATCATGCATCATGGTTAAAGAATGGATATCCTTCCGCTTTTACAATCGAAAGCGCCTTTGGCGATTCCAATCCCTATATCCATACTACTAGTGACACTATTGACAAATTGTCTGTTGATCATATGAAGGAATTTGCAAAGGTTGCCGTTGGCTTTGCAGTGGAACTATCGCATGTCCGTAACTGAATTTGTTAATTTATGATGGAAAAGTCTATCTTTGTATGGGTAGAATCATTATGAAATAATATTCTTAGAAATGGAGAAAGAAAAAATTAAAGAAAAAAAAAATCAGATTGGTGGGTTTAAAAAAAGATAGCAGCCTTTTTTTTTTTTTTTTTTTTTTTTTTTTCTTCGTCCTTTTTTGCATTCTTTTGTTCCTGTCTCGACTTCAAATAATGAGCGAAAAATTGACACCTGTAACAAACCCAAATGATACAATCCAACTTTCAAAAAAATTATCTTATGTGTTAAGACATGGTGCTGTTAAGGAGAATATCTCCATATTGCCGAGCGGATTTGTTGCTATCAAAGATTTGGTAAGTGAGTACGGAAGGCGAGGTAAAGCAGCAAGGTGGCAAAAAGATCAGTCCTAACAAGCTTAAAACTGTACGCAGCTATCACATCCTAAATTTCGAAAAGTATCTTTCGAAAACATTCGGCATGTCGTAGATAACAATGATAAAAATCGGTATGAATTAATGCATAACGAGGACGAAGATGAATGGTATATAAGAGCTTGTCAAGGACATTCTATTGCGCATATCGACACCAAGCAATTGTTGGATGAAATAACAGAACCTATCAATATGCCTGTGGTACATGGAACATCACTGAAGGCTTGGAAAGAGGGTATCAAAGACAAAGGGTTATCTACCATGGGACGTAATCATATTCATTTTGCCACTGGTTTACCGGATGATCCAATTACCATTCCGGGGATAAGAAAATCGAGTGAAGTACTTATATTTATAGATGTGGAAAAAGCAAGAAAAGGTGAGAGTAGACTATTCGATAATTGATAAAGTTACAAATTACGCCTGGGTATCCTTACTAAACATATTGTGTACGATAGGTGGTGTAGTTTTTTATAAGTCAAAGAATAATGTTATTCTATCGGATGGTGTTGACGGGGTCATTTCGCCTGAATATTTCTTGAAGGTAGTCGATAGGTACAGCCACCCAATAAAAGAATAACATTAAAAAAAGGTATGAGAAGAATCCAGAAATCGTCCTCGACCAGTATCTATCTGTATTATCTATGTTGTTGAAGTGATTCATATGCATCAATAGCTGTTAAGAGAGGTTTCCATTGTTGGTGCTTTTTGTTGAGTTACAATTGGTTGATGATGCTGAGGTTGCAGTGGAGTCTGTAATTGAGGCATTACCATTAAATTCTGTTGTTGCTGCTGAGACTGTAATTGCGGTTGTTGCAAGTAATGCCCTGTAGGCGTAACCGGTACCAACCGTTGAGTGAAATCATTGTTATTGGTCTATAGTAATAATTTGTGGGTGATAAGTTAAGAGTTAGTCGTTGCCTATAACCTCTATTTCTCAATTTACCTTATCATAAGAAGAGGTCTTTGACTGTTGCTGATTATATACACCGCTACTATAAGGATTATTGTTATTCCTGTAGCCTACGTCTGTTGGTGTAGATGTAGGCGTCGCATAAGAAAAATAATTGCTTTGATATTCATTCTGTTGTAGTTGTAGCTGCTGCAGTTTTTCTGGTAGTGATGACGTACGATTAGTACCATTGCTGCTGTCACTATAAGATGTAAAAGTTTGCTGTTGAGACGGTCTTATCGTATTTATCGGTACTGTCGTATTGTACATGTGACAGTTAGCAGGTGTAGCGCTTTGACTAATAGAGGCTGAAGTCGGGGTGGCGTACACGTACGGATTAGGCATGCTACAGATATTGTTTAATTGTTTGTATGATGTTGGAGTTGTCGAATGTTGATGATAAATTGGCCTAGAAGGAATTCGCAATGGAACTCTCATTACTGGGCCATTCATTGCCGCAGCAGAGGGAATGGGCGGATAAGATTGTTGAGAATTACTGTTATTATTGAAAAGGTAAAAGTTATGTTGCTGTCGTTGTTGCTGTTGATGCTGTTGTTGATGGTTTTGTTGTTGCTGCTTCATGTGTGTATTACTAACCGAAATAGCCATTGTTTCCAACAATCTCTGCCTTTGCAATTCAGCTTTTGCGACTGCATTTTGGCAATTCAAGAGCTGATCCCTAAATCCGTATAACGCTGTCCTCCATCTTTCATATTCTTCTTTTGAGATAGTTAAATTAAAATGTAATACATCCAGAAACTCTATTTCCATAATGTTCAAATCCATTACTTTCATGCCGGAAACCTCTGACCAAGTTTTATTTGTGAATGTATTGTCATCTAAGAATTTATTCGCCAACATCAGTGCTACTGTAAACAACCTATATTCTGATCCATCTGCACCTTGAATATTCGGGCTATTCTGTAATAGCATGGCTATATATTTCAACGACAATAAAATGACGGATTCTGATAATTGTGTTGCTGTCAAGACTTGCCGACAATATTTTTTAAATGCTGCACTTGTCATATTTGCCATATTTACAGTTACTTTTGTTTGTTCTAAATTTTGACCACTATTGAGTCGATCAGAAACTGCTGCACTGCTGGGACTGAGTTTCGAGGTAGAATGTAGGTCTATGACGGATTGTCTTCTCACATGCCACATCAAATAAACCATTGTCGAAGCAAACTCGGCAATCTCAACTGTATTCAAGTTCACGTTCGGTCTGTCGTCTGTTGCGTTAGGTAATGGCTCTTGTTGGGGTTTTAATAGACGTTGCTGTGTATTAGTATACAAAGGCGAGATAAAATCAATATTGTACTCTCGTGAATCTTGAAGGGATTGAAGAGACATCTGTGGTTTTTGAGTTAAATAAGACTGTGATTGTTGTTGTTCATAAAAAAGATTGCTGTGTATTTGCTGAGAGGCAGATGGCTGTTGAAGCTGTGAGTATTGTTGCTGTTGAAGATGATGAGTTGGGCTTTTTGAGGAATAACCACCAATGTCCCAAAATAAATGTTGTTGGGATGAATGCATTCTATACAGATTAACTTAGATGGAGTATATTGTTATTATCTAGTATCTTTCAAAAATTGAAATACAAGGAAACAAGAAAAAGACACTTCAGTCGTAATTGAGACAGCCAGCATTCGCAGTGGTGTGCGTACGGAAATAAAATGTTAAAGACATATCCTTCGCACGGAGGGGTTTTTGTGCGGGCCAACAGCGAAGTAATCAGAGGTATCGAGCACACTTTCTCCGATGTTAAAAATCAGAAATGCAAAGATTTAGCATAGAACTCGTTATCATGTTTCAAGGTCAAAGTCGGGAAAATTTAGCTTATCCAAGGAGATTGACAAATTAAAAGTCTTCGAATCTACAGCTTAACTCGTGTGGCATGAATTAAAATCCTTTATTTCTGTATTGATATCAGAAAGAAAAGAATGATGGTAATCTAGTTATCGCAACAGTCTTCTCCCTGATACATTTCGTCAACGCACTGCTTTACCCAACCATGGCAATCGTCAGTTCACTTCTTTCTCACTTTCTTGTCTTTATTGGAGCATTTTGTTTCGTGCATTGTTTCGTGTTGTCTTTTGACGAAGTTCTTCCATTTGCTGAGGCAAGCCTTAATCGAATTAAACATAGGCGAGCTAAGAAGTAATAGGTATAGTTTATGTTGAGTATTTCTGAACTTTTCCCTGACCGGAGGAACGTTGTAGAAGCTTGCGTTTTCCATAATGATAAAAAACGCCTGCCCAGGATATTGTTCGTCCAGCCAGTGTAACGCTCCCAATAATTTTGCAAATATTTCGCTATCGGCTCCACAGTTGACCTTAACATCCTGAGGGTATTCCGTAAATTTTGAAGTAATTGCACCGATGATGGGTATGTTTTGTTTTTGTTCTTATAGTCTTCGTAAGGTCGCGATACGGTCTCTCTTCTATATCGCTCAAAAATGTTGCGTACAATGAAACCAGTCATTCTATTTTTTTTGACAAATATCGAAACATATATGTCGCTGTCGAAAATTATTAAAGCATATGCTTTCGTGAGCTTCTTCTGTTGTTTTTTCCAAACGCGTATTTTACTCTTGATTTTGGGCATCAGTGATATGTCAGATAGAGCGAAAAAGACTACGGCCGAGCTTCTACTCTTTTATATATCTTCAAGTATTGATATCAATGAAGTATGTCAAATTTTATTGTAGATTATTGATTCTAACGTCAATTGACTTTTCCTTTCATTGCATAACCCGACTTTGACCATTGAATTTCATTCAGCAAATATTCTTTCTTATTCCCGTTCAAAGGCAGCTTTACTCAAAATGTTAGTAAATGATGCAATCACATCTGTTACTGATAATACATACTTAAAAGGGAAATTATAAGCGGTAATATTTATGTAAGTACTTTTAGATAATGAGGGAAGTTGGGGAAAAATAGTTCATAGACAAAAATCGCATTTCAATACTGTTTGTACCATAGACAGTACTTTCTCAGAATTTGCAGGGTCAATTGCCTTCGAATACGATAGTACAGTACGGTTAGACATATATATTTGTTGAACGAATCAGGTGGCTCACGAGAAGGGAAACTTATTTAAATTTGCCCGAGCCAGTTTCTTACGGTATAGAAGCGGTTTTCTACATAGGTCGAGGTGCAGGAGGTGGGTGTAAAAGCCTACTATCTAAAATGGATGAAGGAGAGGGAGGGGGCTAAAGTGTTCATCATAATTGATCGGTTAAAACTTGGTGGCCAGTGATAGGAACATGCTTATTTGAGCCTGGGCGGGCGCCGCGATTATTTATAGGTTGTTTGAGAACCAACACCAACCAAAAACCACCGACAACGGCATTAAAAAAACGTAGAAAGCAGAGAGGCGAGGGTGAACAAGCTGAAATACAATGCTCGCAATGCCCAAATAGCGGTATATGGATTTTTTAAAATGTTAGACAAGGAAAACTGAAATGGCAGTTCTTGAAATACCAATGGCAAAAGTCAGATTTTTTTTAATATTCGTAGTTATTAAAGTACATCTTTATGAGACATACGGGAAATTGCCTGGTTAAGTGTTTTATATATGCTACCACGTTGCAAAGGAGTACCCTCCCATTATTCTCAGTAACTCTAGTCTGTAGATCTTTTTTTTTTTCCACTCTTATGCGTCTTACTTTTGTGGTATTCGCTAGTTTTAATTATGAAGTAAAAGGTAAAGAATAACACAAGAGAAAATAAACACGAAAGCTTAACGAAATCAAACCACCGTCTTTATTTCTCTTTCAAAAACAAACTAAAGAAAAAGAAAAGAAAAGTAAAATTACTGCTATTAATAAAGACTTATTGTGTTTGCTGTCTACGAAATGATTGTATCGGGATCTATAGCTGACACTGATGTATTATGGTCAAATAATACTCAGTGAATCAGAGGTTTCCGTAAAAGAATAGGTCTTCCCTTTAGGTGGATAATTACTCGTCCATCCCAGAGCGGATTGATTTGTAATGTGCTATCCTGGCAGATCCAGGGTGATCATGCAGCTACATCTATAATCCAATATCTATCGGCCACCAGTTGTGTAGCTCAGATACTGTGGGAATGATTATAGATGTTGGCTAGGAAGAGATATTCGTGCGTGGTGTTCTTTTGATTGCGTGAACAGTTATTGTGTTAATAAAGAGTGATTGAGCCTTTTTTATCTCCAACCATACTTTATTTCCAGAACAGGGAGCAGTACCGTGACCTACTATGTTTTGGTTGTTGAATCAATATATCCTACGAGTACATATACCAATCCTGCTATATACCTGAATGTCATATAGCCATAGATAACCTAAGTAAAATATATTTCATAAAGATAACCTGTTCAAGTCTTATGTGAGGTAGCTAATCTCACATAAGAATTATCCTTAATCCATATTCTTTTCTTATCTTATCTTTATGTGTTATACATTTGATCTAAGGTTCAAATGTATGCAATCGAACACACCGCTTACCAAACGGGAACGAAGATATGAGCAGTACTCATATCTGAGATCAAGTTTTATTTTACATTTCGTTAGACGTTTTGAGTGATGATTTACTCATATAATATTGCCATCGTGCCTCAAATACGACAACTTTGCCGTTCAATTCTGCAGAAAATTTTTTGATTGCGCTTTAATTACGGGAGGAAGAGCGCAAATATATCCACCAACAACCTTATCAATAAAGATACAGTTTCAAGATAGCTTATGTCCGTCTCTATTCACTTCTTGATCACTCATATCTATTATGTATTTTATATTTTCTCTTTATTGCCAAAGATTGACGAATGAGCTTTTTTAAGTGACAAATTACATTCATTCTTTATACAGACCGATCTTTTCAAATAAACTTTTCGAACACCTCAGTTCAAGATGCATTACTTCATTAATGGTAGCAGAAGTATTTTCATAATAAAGCTGGCTAACAAACTCTGTATACTTTTCTGTCACTGGCTTCGTTTCTGCATATATCAGTCTTATTTGCCTGCTTTTTTGTGGATATCCCAGGTAGCATCTTGCTGCTCATCTTCGCGTCGTTCTTTCAACAATTTCTGCGTGGCGACCAGTTACGCTAACGACCTTCGAAATTTTAAATGGTATAGTAAAAGAGTTTTCTGACCCTCCATGACGCTGGGTTTTTTCTAATTATCCTCCCTATCGTTTATCTTCAAGTCTTTAATTCCCTTGCAACAACAGATTCAAGAATCTCTGCTGCTTTAAGTGCAGTTTTCCAAATGATAAGGACCAGATTCCTCCCCATAATTTCTCACCATATTCCTTATATTCAAATAGCCCACATTCCTTGTCTTTATAAACGTGGCAGTGTAATTTGCCAGTCATCTACTGCTAGACATATTACGAATATTCTTTATAAAATTACAGAGAAACAAGTGGTACTCAATAGAGCTACAAAAAGGTCTGCAGTCATAAAGGTAGGCTTCGCCGGTAGAATTGATTGTTGTATCCCAACATAATATTACTCTTGATAACTATTTTAAATAAGGTTTACAGATCCTTGAAAAAGGATTAGGATAACCTCTTTTTTCTGGAAGAAATTATTATCTATTGCCAAATGACTTGGTGTTGGATATGTAATATAATAAGGTCAAAGTAGAGAAGAACTCAAAAATGAAATCTGTGAAAACCAAATTATCTTCTTCATTAATGGTAATATTCTGATGTAAAGTTGTTGTATCCAACATCATATTACGCGTAGATTATTACATAATGCTAAATAAGAGACTACAGATCCTTATAATGATTGGTTTAATCTTGAGTGATAGCTTTGTCAGAACAATTCTTATCGATCCCGGAAGAAGAGATCATCTGTATGTACATCCGAGACAACATCATATGAGTAATTGACTTGATTTAGAAATAAATTAATATAGTATTTGGATTTGTATAAATCAGATAACTTTATTTTGCAGATCAAACAATATACATATATCTCATCTATTCAAGCTATTATTCAACTTATTGTTCCTTCACTTTAACTCTTTACCTCCTGGCAAGATTCAGAAGACTTCAACAGAGACATCGGTAGAATTAAGGAATAGTTTATCCTGTCCGTCACGTTAGTTATAATGAAACTGCTGAAGTACTGGTCAAAGGAACCTTTAGTTAGATCAACCCACTTACCTCCTGTCACCGATCCAATCGGTCAAGGCACCGCTATAGCATGATGAACCGTGCAGTAACAATTGGGTATGTCTTTTCTTTTATCATCAGGTCATCTTGTACCTAAGAGTCTCGATAGAAAAAGTTTTTTTACAATATCCACAAATATAAATAGAAGTACTTTTTTCCTACATGGTTTTTGTCTTCAATTCTATATCAGAATATTCTACCTAATAAAAGAAGATAACTTGGTCTTCACTGATTTTCTTTTTGTTTTCTTTTCCTTTATACTTTTATCTTATCGTATACAAGAGAAATATTCTACCCGGAAAAACAAAAAATTGTTCTGAAAAATTTATCACTTAAGGTTATTCTAATAATCATAAGGATCCG